ATGATGATAATAATGAATACACATAAATGTAAATTTCAAAACACCGGTTCAAACATCAATCTTTTTTTAGTTGGTTCTCATTAACGTATTAAACAACAACAACAACAAAAAACAACCCAAAAAAATAACATCGGTTAACACAAGCCTACTATTTACCCGAAGAAATTTTTTTTGCCCTAAATCGATGCTTTAAATGAATTTTCATGTATTTTTTTTTTGTCCAAAAAAATTGAATTGAATTGATGAGAAATCTTTTAATTTAATAGACACAAACACACACATAACGCTGAGGTAAACATGCACGATAGAAAAATTTTTACCCGAAAAAATATTTTTCATTTTTTTCAAAAAACCCAACAGGCTGTATGTATGTATTTCCGAAGGATTCATAATCAAAAAAAAGGAGAAAACCATAAACCAAACCTAAAATAATGTTTGACCTGAATTTTTTTTGGCTTCAAATTTTATTGAATAAAAAAAGTCTAGTAAGAAACAAAACAAAAACAGAAACCACAATTTAGACATTGAATAGACCGAGGTGGAATACTAGAAAAGATTTTCATATATTTTTTTTTGTTGTTTATATTTGTTTGTTAGACGTTTTCTTATTTTTGTTTTGAGAGCAATGATGGTTATATGATGATCATCATGCGAAAATAAATATAGAAAAAACTACTGAAAGGTTGAATATATCTGAATATATTTCACTAACTATAGGAGAAAAAGGTCAAATTTTGGTGTGCGGGTGTTTCGTTTGGTTTGGTTTGGTGTTGGTGTTGTCTACGACCATAGTCTCAAGTATACCAAGATAATATTGTGACCATGATAGCCATTGATTATTATTATAATTTGGACATTGAAGCTTGACCTTAGACCTAAGATATATACTGACCTTGTTACATGGAGGGAAAGAGAAAAAAATACTTTTAAAAAAGGTGAACGTAACTAATGCAAAAATAAGTCAGTCATCCATTCATTCATTCATTCAAATGTGGCCAGACCAACGCATACAGACAACATCCAGACCTTGTCCTTGGATGAAAAATGCATTTTCTTAAGACCCTTTCATTTTTACTCTAGTTTTTAAAATCTAGATCAACAAAGAAGAAAAGCACACCCACGCATATTGGCTAACAACAATACAATGCCAATGTCATAATTGGGAGAACCATATGGATCAAAATGACCATGATCTTTGGGTCACAATCGAAAAAAAACATATTTGACTGTCTAAATCAAGTCTGCATAAAAAATCCATTCGAAAATCTGTTGTCATCAATGAGGAAAAGAGAGAGAGAGAAAAACAAAAACAGGAACAAGAAAAGTTGGATAATCAATTTATTTGATCTCATAAACCATTCATTCAAACAATTGACCGTTCAAAATTTGTGTGGGTGTGTGGAATGAAATAGAATAAAGATTTTCAAGGAAAAAGGAAGTCTGGACCAATTCAAAAAAACTACCTTATGTCACATAATATACTTGTGTAATATTCAGTAATCAATTGTTGGATTTTTCAACATCAACCAGGTATAGGAAGATGAAAAAATTGAATCAAACCAACAGAAATCCATGTGACCGTCAATTTTTTTTTGTATGTGCACACCAGTCAAGCCTTGTGACCTTATTTTTTTCAATATTTAAGCGTAGGCGAACCCAAAAGCAGTGAAACAGTGAGACCCTGTTGAGTGAACTTGATACCATACTTTAGTGTATCTGTGTGTCAAGAACATTTCATTAAAGTCCATGTTTGTATACTTGAAATATCGATGAAAAAACACGCACAAATATCCTATTACGTTAGTAACGGATCGACTAAAGGTTACGGTTACGTTTGTTGGTCGGTTAGTTGTTGTAATAACCATTTGGTTATGATGATTATCATTATAAAATGTTGTTTTTGATGGTCGAGGTCGTCACACAGAACACATTGAGAGAAAAAACCCCGAGGGTCTAGGGAAAAAAACGGTCAAATTCCTTATGTATAGATCGTGGCATTTGACCTCGAAAAAAAAATGTTTCAACAGAGTGAAAGAAGGTAGTTCTTAACTGAATGGCCCACCATCATCAAATAAAAATCATAATAATGTCACTATTACCTAATGATGATGAAATAACAACCTCCCACTCGAAGAAAAAAACATCTGCATAATCCAACGAAAAAACAAAACCGGAAACATATCGAAATCAATTAAAAGTTGTTTTTTTTGATATAGAAAATATTTACCGAAAATTTTTCTAGGTTTTCATCATCATCAATTAATTGAAAGCAAAATATTAAATAGCCATATCACATGTGATGATGAGTTGGATGCTTAATGGTTACATTCAACAGGCATCTAATTTCTAAATCCAAATCATTAACAACAGAAAAAAAAACATCAACATCTGCCTACACAAACATACACACACCTTGCCTGTCCCTTTCGGGTTAAAGGCCTCATGTCTATCATTGTGATTGAATAACATTTGTTAATGAATAAATGAATGCAAGAAAATATGGATTGACCTAGAATTTTTTGGTTCATAATTTATCAAATATTATTTGATCGGTTTGGATTTAGTTTAGTCATCTGTTGATTGGATTTATTTTTGATTCGGTTTAAAAGAAGAAAACAAAAATATTATGAAATCGGAAACATAATAATCAATATGATTGACATTCGATATGAATTGATTGGTTTATGACAGTTTTTTTTTACTTTTTGGTTCGTTTGCCCATTTTTTGTTGTTTTTTTTTCTGTGTGTGAATTTTTCTGCTTTTCAGGAACTTTTCTTTTGCATGGATACTGAAGGTGTGATTTTTTTATATGAAGGCTTAGGGTTGTTTGGTTTTATTTTTGATTTTCAACAACAACAAAAATTTCAAATTGAATAAAAGGTATAAAGAAAATTAGGTCATATCAACCACCAACACTAACACATAACCATCCATCGTGCACCAGGTGTGTGCATTACTTATGATCATAAACTGTGTATGTGTGTGTGGGTCAATACAATATGGCATTCATTTCTATATATCAAAAAACACAAAAAAATATCAAAATATTGAATCTTTTGATGTCTAACAATCTTTTTTCAATTTTTTTCGTAAATTTTTTGAATCATATTTTTATCGGGAAAGTTGTTAAAACATGGATAAGATGTCGCCATCTATTAGCAATGAATGTTAATAGGATCCTTTTGAATTGAGGATTTTTTTGTTGAAAATGTTCCAGAATGATATATGGCGCGATAATTTATTTAAAAAAATGACTTGTTTCAACGAATTATTATTGTTACAACCAACAAGGTCATTTCTTTTTGATTGTTTTGAGAAATGAAATATGACATGTGAAAAAGTGGTCAACAAGAGAAAAAAAATTGATGACCAACAAAGGAAATGATAGCAATGTGCATAACAAAATGATAATGAAATGATGGAAAAGTTTTTTCTCGGAATAAAAGGATTGATTGTGACACAAACAAACAATAATATATGTGGGTGTAAGAGAAATTTGAATATTTTCTCTTCTCTTTTCTCATCTGTAATTTAATTCAATAAATGGATAAAAAAGTGTGAAAAAAACAGTCATATTCCAAAAAATGAAATCGAGAATCAAAATTTCGACATCAAATAATATAATCATTAAAATAGAAAAAAAGTAATTATTATTCATAACAAAAAAACATTATAACTAAATGATGGCGGGGAAGAGAAATGATTCAAGATTCAATTTTCACAATTTGCTTTTTCATCATTGACATCCAATGAAGGTTTTCTCTCTCTTATTGCAAGCTTATTTTGTGACCATCCAATGGAAACAAAGCGAAATAACAAGACTGCAAAATAAAATGAAATTAAAAATAATCAAAATCCAAGGATCCCATCATCATCTGTAATGATTGATTTTTTCAATACATTTTTCCATCTACAGAATATTAAAATGATAGCGACAAAACAAAAGTGGATAAATTTAACACGAAATGACATGATGTATGAATCAAAAAAGACATTTCCAAATTCGGCTATATTCAAAAAAAAAGTTTATTGGGTCATCATCTAAATTACGAACAAACAAAACGGAGAAGAAATTATGAAAAATTCAATTAAATTTTATTAAAAAGCAAAAAATCTTCGCAAAAAATTGATGACGTGTTCATATGTTGAATTATCGATTTTTTAAGATTTTCAATAAAAGTTTCAAAACAAATTTTTTTTAATGATATGAATGGTTTCAGAAATCGAATTTTATGACAAAATTATAATGATTATTATCATCATCATCATGGTTCGTATTATTAAAATAAAAATTATAATGGAAAATTTTCAACAACAAAAAAACTAAATGAATGGATGTATCCCACACAAATGAATGAATGAATGGATAAGAATCTAAATCGATTAATGTTGCGATGTTTTCTTTGTCATAGAGATTTTTATTCCAGGTTCGATTACGATTATTATGTACAATGGATGATGAAATCAATTCAACAAGGTTAATCGTAACACAATTCTTTATAACTATTATTAGCATCATTAAAATGAAATGAATGTCATGTTTTATTTCTTGTTTCTTATTTGCAATTTATGCAAAATGATCATAATAATAAAATCTTATTGAAATGGACATGACAATTAAATTGATGGTAAAAACCATTTTTTTCAATGTCATCTTGTTGTCGTTTAAAAAGTGACGTGTACGAAATCCAAAACAAGATGATTAGAGAAATTTGAACAAAAACAACTAAATTTCCAACCTGGAACTCAATCTTAAAAGAAATGAGGAAAAAAATGCTGTTCTCTTTCGTTTTTTTTCCTACTTGCCATTTTCAATTAAATTCAGATTTTTTTCAGCTTTACTCTTAATTACTGATTCATGATCTTCAAAGATGATTTTGGCTCTTTCGAATCATAACTTTATTCAAGAACATTCAAGAGAAAAATGGCAACGCCTTTATTTCAAATGATGATATATCGAACCATGATGATTTTGTATATAAAAACCTCATACTTATTGATCATTTTTTCAGATTCTTCTTTGTGAATTTTCTCAATCCATCTTTTTTGATTAGGATTTATCAAATTTTTGGATAATTTTTCTTGTTTATTTCATTTTTATCAGTGTGTCTGTCTTTGTTCTAACAAAATATGAAATTCTCAACAATTTTTGCCATCACTTTGGCCACATCATCGATGATGATGATGACGGTAATGGCCGCTAACAAGAAAAATAAGATTGTTGCAGCTGCTTCCGAACCATCTACAGTTTCGGTTCAACCAGCAGATCAAACACCACGAAGGCCAAAAATCAATTGGGGCAGATGTCCACAATTAGAGCCGACTGAACGTGATATTGAATCAAAATCAAACATTCTACAGGAATGTTTACGACAAAATCCACCACCACAATCCGAATCGATTACACAAGAACAAATTATTCAACGTAAGTTTATTTTCGTAAACATCATATTCATCATCATTATATGATCTTAAATTATCATTTTCAAAAAACAGATCAACAAAAAGTTACGGAATGTGCATTGAAAATTGAAAATTGGGTATGTTTTTTTTTCATGGAAAAAACTCAACTTGATTTTAATGAATAAAAATTTTCAAAAAAACAATAGTTTGATAAAAATGGTGAATATAAATATAGTAAAGCGGAAAAAGAAATAAAAAACAAAAACCTAGCCAAAGATATGGAAAAAAAATTATTGGAATCACATAAACAATGTTCACAGATTGCAAAAGATCGATCACAAGCGGTGAAAAATATGACAATTGTTGAACAGGTTCAAGTTTATCAAGGATGTGTAAGTTTTGTTTCTGTGTTTGGCCAAATGTTGTTTTTCCAAATCAATAGGGGAAAACCCGAGATTCAAAAATTTAGTTTCAAAAAACTAATGTATTTTTCTTTCACTTTTTTTTGTTTCTCTAATTTTATCCCCATTTCACAGATGGATGCTCATATCACACAGAATTGTCAGATTGAAATCAGCGCTGTTTGAAACGGTCTGTTGGGTTATCAATCCGGTTTCGTCATTCATTCTTTCTTTCTTCTTATTCCCGAAAGACTGTGGAAAATCCAACGATAATAAAATTTCAACGCAAACAAAAAAAACAATAATTGAATTCTAATCTAATCTGATATTTTTTTTGAAATAAAATATGATCGTTTTTTTCAAATTTAATTTTTTTTTTTGAAAATTTTTCGATTAAATATACATTTACATTGTCTGTCTATGTTTATGTGTTATATGAATATATAATTTGTTCTGGAGAAAGTTTCCAAGAAATCGGAATTATAACAAACAGACAAAAATAAGGATGGGGCGAATGTTTTCAAGTTATTTAGGTTGAGTGATAATGTTCCAGAAATTTTTCGTGTAATACCCCCACACATACATTGTAAAAAGCAACAACAACCATTATCAATATTTTAAAAAAATTGAAAATATCAAAAGAAAAAAAAATCACATCAACAACGTTTGCTTCACTTCTTCCATATGAATGTTTGACGTCATAAATTCAGTTAAACCAAAAATAGATCAATGAATGAAAATGAAAACAAAAACAAACAACAGATTCTCCAAACATTGTCAAATAATAATACATGTAATATGAAATGATTTTACGTTTGTTATTTTTTCTGAAAAAATAATAGAAAAAAATTCATATAAAATTGACATAATATGCACGAAATTAATGAAAAAAAAACATAAAAGATAACATTATTATCATCATCATAATTATTTAAAAAGGAAGTATATATTTAATGTTTTTTAAGTGGGTGTGTAGATTGTTGATTTGAAGAAATAAGCTTATGTCAACGGAGTGTATTTTTATTTGTAATTGTAATATAATTCAAAATGCCCTTGTTTTTTAAAAAAAAGTGAGAAAAATTTAAAGGTTAAAATCAATAAAAATTCTTTTGACAATAAGATATTTAAAATTTTGTGGGTGGATTTTTCTGCTGTCGTTTTTGTTGTTGTCACGTACATTCATGTTTATCTCTATTCAATCAATTAATTAATTTAAATAATTTCAAAAATTCAATTGTTTTTGGTAAAATCGTGTTACAAATGTAAGAGGGTGCAAACGAAATGTGTGGTGGGAAGAAAATTCAATTGATTGAATTTCATTTTTTTGTTTTTTAATGTATCAATAAAAATAATGACGAAAAGGTAAATCATGTCAAGGTTGTGGTGGTGATGGAAAAAAATAACGACAATAATAAAAGTTGATGCGAAATTACGATAATGATGATTGTTATGGATGGTTTTGTTTTTTTTTTGTTTCGATAAAACAATGATGAGGATGATCGTGATTATATGATATCAATGATCAACAATTTCCCTATTTATATATAGCCCATCTATCACACATAGACATTTTGGACACGCACACAAGCACCGACACCTTAGCGGATAATGATAAAATGGCACATCATTCCACACCAGACATATTAAAGCGGACATTCAAATCTATAAGATCGGAAATTCTTTAGGATTAGATGATGCAGCAATATTTTCGTTTTGATGATGAACGATTATTGAACATTAACACTTTTTTCGGTTTATATTCACTTAGATAGTCCAATTGTTTTGCATTGATTGCACCACGTCGAGCAGCTATGTATGAAAAAAAACAGAGATTATTAATTCAATTATTATATCAATGTTTTTTTATTGTTATTAATATTTACCTCTGATCATTTCGACAGCATCAATATATTTTAAGCCGGCTTCAATTAATGCTATGGCAACAAGTACTGGCGCCCTACCTAAACCGGCTACACAATGGACAGCGATACATGGCAATTGGCTATCAATATTAGCGGCTGCTGTAGATCCTGGCGATCCTTCTACACTATTCGAACCATTTATTTGTGCCGGTGTTTGATTCGTAGTTGTCGAGCTAGCTTTACGATCAGCCCTAGATGTCTGCGGCATCGGACAATCTTTAAAACGTTCAATAATTAATTCCAACCATTGATCAATAATTTTTTGCGGAGGTGGAGTTCCTAATATAGTTTAAATGAATTATTTGAATATATTGAAAAAATGAATCACTTATCATACCATCATCAAAAGCCCAATCATGACATTTAATACCGGCTTGTTCCAAACGTTTTGGTGAATACGTTGCTTCACAAACACGAACAACATCAGTCACATTTCGTCGTTGTAGCTCCTAAATAAAACAATGAGAACGATAATAATTTATTAAAATTGTAAATTACCTCAACATATTGATTCAAAGTAGCATCAGTCGGTTTATCAGTGATTAGGAACCTTAAATTTCTATTACGGATTTCAGTAAATTTTGGTTGTACCAATTGATTTGGATTATGGCCATGAATTGATGATTTTTTAAATGATTTATTATGTGAATGATGACCAAATAATGATAATGAAGGTGATTGCGATGTTGAAGCACGTTTTTTAAATTCAATCGAAACGGCATCACCACCATCGAAGGTAGATAATGAAATCAATGGCATCGATGATGAGCAAAGAGAAAAACGAAGAGAAAAATATAAAAAACGAATTCAATTAGATTTAAAGTGAACAATCAATCAAGAATTTTTTTCTGTTGTGTTTTAATTAGCAAAAAAGTATTTTCAATGGAAAATATAAATCTGAAACAAGAGACTGAAATCGAAAAAGAAAAAAAAGGAACATCAACAACTAGAAGAAAAAATTTGTCGTCAAGTAGGCAACGAATATAAGCATTTTGAAGATAATCAAAATTGTTTTCTTCAGCACCCAAACACACGCAGTCAAATAGTGTGATATTGGATAACTTTTTTAGCTTATCGAAATCAAAATTCAACACGATATTTATATCTATCAAGCTCGATATTTTTTGATGATAAATCAATGAAATCATTAGACATAAATACACACTCACACACTCTCAATCCATATTTATGGGAACATCATCATTTTATAACATACAACAAATAATCTACAAACCAGAAAAGGATTCAATCCAAATAACTATTTATGTCCATTTTAAATCAGATGATGAAATTTTTCCATAAAAATATTGTTTGATAATTTTCAACACTAATGATTATGAATAATAAAACTGTTCGGACATACATTCTTCCTTGTTTACATGATAATTATTCAATCAAAATAGTTCTGAATGATGAAAATAAAAAGTTTTCACATCAGTAAGAAAATCAATGAGGAATAATAATCATAGGTAATTCTACTGAATACAAAAAATTAGGTCATGTCCATGTGTCGGTGTTGAAGAAAAAAACCAAAGAAATAACGGAAATGCACTTACCGATATTTGATCAATGAAGGTCCACAACGTCCTGATGATGATGATGATAATAATGATGATGAAACGGTTATCCCCAGATGATTATTATGATGTGAGCCTGATGTTATTGTTGTTGATGATGAATGATGATGATTACTAACACCACCACCACCACCAACAGCACTAGTAGTCGTCGTTGTCGACGACGACAATGCCGCATTGGCTGTCATTATTACTTTTTGTTTTTGATCGTTTCAATTATATAATTATAATAAAATTTGAATCAATTTTTCTTAACAAAGTTATTCATCAGATAGATCAATGATTGATATAGATAGATTTTTGCTACTTCTAGATTGTTCGTCGATGATTTTTGCTTTTGTTTTGTTGTTGTAAATAAGATTTCTTCGTTATTTATTCATGGAAGGAAAAAAACATGGTCAATAGTTGCGTTTTGTAGAACAAATAATCTATGTGGTGACTTTCTTGACAAATGATTTTGTTGTTGACGTCTTTCTTTATTATTATTATTACACAAACGATATTATGGTACTTCAACACATCCACGACAACAACGATAACAAAAAATATGGGCAATAAATCCTATAATTTTTAGTTGTCATTGATATTAAGAAAAAAATTGACAAAATTATTGTACATTATCATTTTCTTTATTCAAAAAAATATGATAAGCATACCTTGATGGATGGAACAAATTTATTTGAGGATTAAACTGATAATGTCAATAAGTTGTTGATGATGAGGATGATGATTGGTGGTCGTTATGGCGATCAACAAATTCAATCCGGATGATTAAAATTGAAGATTTAAGCAAGAACAAAAAGGAATGATAACTTTGACGATACTAGGTATCTATATTGTAGTAGTAATCAGAATTTACATGACTGATATATGAATTTTAGATGGTTTTAATCGACGGCACAAATGATTCACTTTTGTTTCACACACGAATGTCACATTGTCGATTTTGTTGTTGTTTGGATTCAAGAAAAACAAGAAAGAAGAGAAAACGATTCTGATCAAAGCCAATTACTAATCTCGACCTTCATCTTTGACAAACCGAAAAGCAAAAAAAACAAAAGCTATTATCATAAACATTTCACGATAACTTACATACCTGTGATTATCGAAACAAATCTTCTAGATATATAAAATACGTCCTTAACAAGATATGATGATAGGTAAAATATATTGAAAAATAACTAAAGAAAATTTTATCTAAATTTTGTTTTAGAGGAACAGAATTTGAGCTCAATAAAAATAACAAAAAAAAAAATTCGTCATCGATTTCTAGTTCTTTTTTTTCACACATTTACATCATACATACACACATGAACACCACTGAAAAAAAAATAAAAAATAAAAATTTGCTAAAATGATTAAAGCAGAAGCATATAGCTGTGTTAATCATTTACATCGACTGTTTCATTATAAACAACTACTACTTTTTCATCAATCACCAAATAATCATTCATTATATTGTCTTATACCGAAATTATTGCTTCTATTTCAAACACAAACACACACCTTCTGTTCGGTATATTATAGTTGTAGTAGCATAGTTTGATGCTAAATTAAATATTTACATCTATTTTAACCTAATATGGTACACCTAAATGATGATGATAGTTGTCATTTAAATTTTTAAAAGATTTATATATTCAGATTAAAGTTACAAGAAAAAAAATTCAATCAAAACAATTAAAAAATCTAAATGAAATGATTTCCTAATCACATGATTGCCATGTCTATTGCTGTATGTTTAGAAGGATTGCAAACAAACAAAATATTCTATTCAGACTTTTTTTTGTGTTTATGACACTTATATCATTTTCCATGTTTATATATACACCATAAGATATACATGGTAATCATGTGAAAAAAAACTATCAAATTATAATAAATCAAAGATCAAAAACATTTTTTAAAGCACATGAATTACTGTAATTATAAAACGATAAAATCGATAATTACCAATTATTTCTTAAATAAGAATAAAAGATGGCGCTTCAAACACATTGAAATTAATTCTAAATTTTAACGAGATAATAAAATTTTTAAAAAAAAGTTCATTGAATGTTAACAAAAAAAATATGATTCTTTTGAATTGCTTGGGTCATTGAAACAACTATCAACACTTGGATATTCCATCTTGGATTACCATCTTATTACCATCGTCATCATGAAGATCGAATCTTTTTTCTTAGATTGTCAACAATCACAAAAAACAACGAATATTGCATCGTAGCGATTTGTTCATTATGATCAGTTGATTTAACAAAGCAAAGCAAAACAAAATAAATAATACGATTTAAATAAACAAGTCATACATATACATGCAAAGATTCTTGGCAGAATAATAGTGACGTCGTATTGAATATGACGATATATAAATAACCTCGACAATTGAAGGAAAAAGACCTGATTATCACACCATTCTTATTCATAAGCAGAATTTCATTCTTTCTCTTAATCTATATGTTTGTGACAAATATAAAAACATCAAAATGTTTCAAAAAAAACTATGTCTATGTTTCATATTGATATTGTTGAAACCATATTATTGTTATGTCCAAGGTATGTAATTTAAAATTAATTACGTAAATATTTTAAACATTTTTTTTTTTAATTAAAGGTATAATTGAACATTCAACACCATCATCCGATGAAATGATATTCATTCATAATCATCATGATAATATGGATGCCGAATCATATGAGGATAAAATTTTACGTGCGCGTGCTTATGTTAATGTTCTATCGATGTCATCTGATGATCATCATTTTAATCAAGAATCATCATTGTCATCATCATCATCATCAAAGTATATGTATGGTCCAATCGAACCATTTGATCATCGAAATAATGATAATCATCATCATCATAATAATGTAAGATTCGAATGGATGTATCCATTTGAATTATACGAATGTAATATGGAATGAAACAAAATGATGTTTATGTATAAATGGATTTTTACATTTTCTATTTCTATCATTTTTTATGCGGATATTCTGGCTTTGTATTCTTTTGGAAAAATTGAATAAATATACATACTTTTTTCTGATCAAAAACTATCCCGGTTTATCAATTTGTTGCTCATTGTTTTGAATCAATAATAATAAAATTTTTATCATCATTATCATTATCATCGGCATCGAAAGCAATAATGTCGTACGGTTTTTTCACAATGATTAAATATGCTAACCAATATTCTTATTGGTGATAATTATCGAGAAAAGGATTGATTTTTACTTTTTTTTCATAAACGTAAACAAAAAAAAAACACAAGAAAAATAATTCTTTATAAATGAGAAGATATACTATCGTTGTGATTATTAATAATCCTAGAGGATAATGATAGAAATGATGGAGAAAAAAATTTAAATAAATGGATTTTATGTCATAAATTTCATTTTTTTATTATTATTTGTACTGATAATCAACATCATGATGATGACATGTGTATTTGGTATGATAAAAGCAAGAGGATTTTTTTTAATCAGCGACAACAACAACAACAAACAATAAATTTTGAAAATAACAACAACATATACCATTTGTAGTGTTAAAGATACAACTTGTCAATTTTTTTTGTTTGGTAAAACAAAATCTAATATGTGAAATTGATTAGATAAATGTTTGTTTTTTTCAAATATTTTAGATAATGAGTTGAACGAGTGTTTGTTTTATCAAATGATAATAGAATTTTAACCATTGCCAAATAATCAATTATTATTGATTTGATAATCAATAATTTCTTGTCGTAATTGTTGATAATCATCATAAGTATAATCATCATCATTATCATTGTTATTATCATTCATCATTGTTGTCATAATCATTTTATGATCCCATTCAGGTGGATAATAATATGGATCAATAATTGAATGCCAATAATTCAACACATCTTTATTGAATATAATCAACATTGTTATGATGATTGCCATCAATAATATCGATATCAATATACAACCATGTTGTCGTTTACGTTGTAAAGCAATTTCATAAAAATCTGTACTGGTTGCCATAATTTTTGTGCCAATGAACGATAAAAAGAAAAAAATTGATCAATTTTAAGCTAATCAATTGCTTTTTATAACAAAAATTCATCATTTTTGGATTAAATATAATTATTTTTTAGGAAAAAAAGGTCAAAATAGATTTAAAATTCATTTAAACTTGAGTAATATTCAGCAAAAATAAATTCTATATTTTAGTTAAATTCTTCGCCTATTTTTCATGCGTTAATCATGTCATTAGTTGCTTCATTCAAAATTGTACATGAAGTTTTCTTCTCTTTCTTCTCTCTCTTTTTGTTTCTTGACAAACACACACACACACACAATCAATTGACCATAAAATTTAAATAAACAATAATTATAATTCGATTGATTGATTGTCGATTGCAATAATTTTTTTTCTGATCAAAACAAAAGCTAATCAATAAACAAAGCAAAAAAATGAATGAATTCCGATTTTTTCATTTATCGTCAAACGATTGTACAATGCAAATACCTTGAATTTTTAAAAGGCTGCCCGAAATTTCAAAAAAAAATTCTGATAATGAATTCAAAATTATTAAAATTATTTATTATCGTTGCTTTTATAATCATTTCAGGTGAGTAATTTTGTTTTTTTAAAGATTCAAATTTCCAATTGATTTCAATCAATGTATAGTTAGATCGGCAACGGATAATGTTGGCATTAGCAGCAATTCTCATCATCAAAACGATAATAATGATGATGAAGTAGATGAATTGGCCAATCGATTGATTGATGGAGCTCTCGAAAGAATACGTAATCTTTCGGATATTGAACCATATCATTTGCATCGAAACTATCGTCTGGAAATACATCAACAACTTGGTCTAATTCCAGTCGATATTTGTTTATCATCATGTTATCTGATCATACGTAATGGTATACTAAATGGTTTATCGCGAATGCAACGTACATCAAATGGTGCAATTGTTAATGAAGAAGGTACCAATGATTTGATAGCTTATTTTGTTGTTGGCATTGAAAATGCAAATCTTGAATCAATTCTACAATTTACCATTGGTCACATGGAAGTGTTTAGCCGTTTGACAAGTAGTCATATTGGTTTGATACGGATCAAAATGAAAATTGCATCACGAAAAAAAGGTTTAGAGTTGTTGAGTTTACGCGTACGACGTATACAAAATGTACGGATAAGATTTTTGACAAAAAACGAAACAACGGTTAATAATGATGGTGATGATGATAATGAACGATGGTTAATCGATACACTGACCGATGCTATAATCACCTATTTCAATGATCATGTTCGTCGTGTACTATCACGTGCATTATTTGAAATTCTAAGTGAAGAATTTAAATTTATGCAAGATTGATTCGAAGAGAAATCATTTGAATTATTTGATAAACAATAATTAAATATCAATTTTCCCCCTACCCTTAATATTTTTCATTATTGATTTGATTGATTGATTGATTAAAAATTTAAGAAAAATAAATAAATAAGTAAATTTATATGTAGATGTAGTAAATTAACTGGAATTTCGAATGCTTCATCGAATCGAAATAAGATAAGAAATCATCATTCTTCTTGCCATTCGATCATTTTTAATGTGTGAGTGTGAGTAGAACAAAGAAAAAATGTTTTACCGAATCATTTTTCCATCATTGTTATTATTATCCAGTATAATTTCTATCATCGGTAAGTCTATATTCAATAATGTTCTTATATTCGTTTAATCATTTTTTTTCGTTGATGTTATTTCTGGAATTGAAAATATCAATTTTTAATAGCAAATGCGATTGATAATGAAAAAACAATAACAACTCAAAATTCAATCGATCTAAATGATTGGGGTATGAATGATGATGATGAAGTTGATCCAGTTACCAATAATCTAATCGATCAGATGCTTGATGGTTTGAAAAATAATGGTCAACTTGATGAATATCGTTTGCATGAAGATTATGAATTGGATTTGGTTGATGCATTTTTATTTACATGGGATCCATGTTATGGTAAATGTAAAATTCGTTTAACAAATGCAACCGTTTGGGGATTGACTAATATGACCCGTTATGGTAATGGTATTATGACCAATGATGGTAATGATTTGGTATTACGATTTCGTTTACAGGCATATAATCTTAAAATGAAAGGTGTCATGTCAATAAAATTGATCGGCTATAGTGTAACCGATGCACCATTCATTGATAAAGTTGGCTATCAAATACAATATATGGATCTATCTATTGGTCCAAAAAATAAGATTAGTCTAAAAGAATTACGTGTCGAAGAAATTCGAGATGTTGAATTGGAATTTACAAGATTTCAAGATTCAAAAATATTGAAAAAATTTAGTGATATGATTGCAAAGAAATTAGTTGCCATGATGGAAGATCAGATGGCCGAACTATCGACAAAAATATTTTTTCCAATTTTAGAAGGAGAATTAAAATATTTGGGCAAAGATGAAGATGAGATTGCCAGTATCAAGGAAAAAGAACAAGGACAATAGCCAACATCATTTGTTTAACATTTTTTGTTGCATTTTAAACCGAATTATAATTTGTTTTAAATAAAAATTTTTCAATTTCAATTGAAAGTAAATTCAAATTTCAAGGCTACTATTGTGATTTTTCATCGTTATTTGAAAAAAACGAATACAAATTATTATTAATGATTAAAAATAAATAATTACTATCATTCATTAATTTAAAAAAATTTTCAAATCAATCATTAAGAAAGCATAATGTTTTCTTTTCTTTTTTGAATTACAGAATCATTCATGCTAATCATTGAATTATTTAAATTATGAAAAAAAACTTGCATAATAATTAAAGTGAAATCTTTTTTTTCTGTCGAAATTCTTGTTTAATTGTTTTTGTTTGTTCAAGTTTTTTACAAGTAAAAAACTTGTTGTTATAGATTTTTGTTTATGTTTTTGATAGTAAATGAAAATATCCATTTCAACATTGATTAATTAATTAATCGAAAAAAAAATTTAGAAAAAAATCATGATAATGATTAATTACCAACTTGATATGTAAATATTATTTTAAAAAAAACAATGTTAAAACCACCATTCTTTTAATTTGAAAAAGAAAAAAGAAAAAGAACCGAACAAGACATTTGAAGGAAATAAACACTTAACTATTCATAATTCTCTATCTATAGTTTCTCAAACACTATAGAAAATACTATAAAACTCTACACAAAAAAAAAATTTCTTCTGCGCATTGCAGAATCGAATGAAAAAAATTCCTATACTAAAATATACAATACACAAATGGAAACAGAATTCAGTCGCATTCTAGCAATCATCCATTACAGTCAGTTCCATTTTCATGTTCAAAAAGAATGGTTTTTTTTCGTATTGAATAAATAAATATTTTCGTCGAAGAAAAAAAAAAGAAAATGAACAAATGATGTGTCAGCTTGCCGAAAGAGAAAAAATCTTTGATCAACAAAATCAACCCGAAAAAAATCTTCAATTCTTTTTTTTCATTTCAATCGCACAAGGTGAGTATTGAATGAAGATTCTTCAATTGTATGAATGGATGTGATCATTTTATTTTAATAACAACCACAAAAAAAATGAAAAAAATTGAATTGAAAAAATCAATTTGAAATGAGTGAAAAAAATGTCCCCATTTTTTAATGTGAAGAAGAAAATTTAAGAAATTTTAAATTAATTTCCATCAACAACAACAATCATCGCTACTACCTCTACCAATTGTATTATTATCATTTTCGATTCAAGAAATTCTTTTTCAAATCAATGAATCGAACATCAAAACCAACGCACAAAAATTTCCTATAGGAAATCAAACTTATCAATAGAGACTGTCATTGTCAATCAATCAATCAATAAACCTAACAGGAAAAAAATGTAGAAGAAAAAATTCTACTAGAACGGAAATACATCCGAATACGGGAAAAAAGTCGGGCTTCACTCATACAAAGTGAAATTGAAATTTTTTTTCTTTTTAATTTTCAATTTTTTTCACGCACAAAAAAAAAACGAAGACGACACCATTGAATTTTGTTTTTTGTTGCTCTTTTTTTTCACTTTAATTTTCCCATTTTTTTTTCTTTGATTCATATAGTTCCGTTTGGTTTAAACATTCGCTCTATGGTTTCGAATATATTTTCTAAAAATACTATATCTACTTGCCAATCGATCATATTTTTTTCCAAAATATTTTGACATTGAAATGAAATGAATTCATTACAATTCTTAAAACATTCGCATCATTCATTCATTTATTTTCATTGACAAAAGTAGAAATCGATTTCAAACTAAAAAAAATCGACGACGATTAAATAATCGTTTCAATATTATAAATGTGAAATAATAAATCTTATATGTCATTATCATCATTTGAAAACTTTGTCAAGAAGAGAGCAAAAAAAAATTCATCATCACTTAAAACACTATTGAAACGGAATAGAAATTTTAGTATTTTCAAGAATTCTAAATGTGATTCCGAAACAGTTATCGTTTATTTTTTTTTCATTTTTTTCATTGTGTGTGTGTGTTTTGACTATGGTGAAAGATGTCAAAAAGTACATGATACATCAGTCGTTGTTGTATTATTTTCCTATTGAACTCAACAATAATCATCATCATAATTTTATGTTTGAAAAGAAAATGACAAATAAATTTCATTCATCATAAATTCTTCTTTTTTTTCATTCGTGTATCATCATCATGTTTCATTGGATTGTTATTGTTGTCATTGGATGTCATGAAATGAATTGCGAAAAAGGAAGATTGTAAATTTTAATTTTATCGAAGCAACGATAATGACAATTTTTCTTTAGAAAAAAATTCTTCATTTTTTTCGTTTGTTGTTGTTGTTGTTGTTATTGTTAATATAATATGACAACATAAATGACATTTTTCTTGGTTCCAAAAAAAAGCAACGGAATTTCATTCACTAACATCAACATCATTATCATACATTATTTTCGGAACAATATTTTGACAAATAAATATATAGGTTATTGAGATAAAAAAAAAATAATAACAACGCAACAAACAACAATAATGATGACAGATCCGATTGTTTTAACAACAACAACCAGAAAACCAAAATATTGGTCGATCAATCAAAATACTAACAACGATGATCATGATGATAATCATGATGTTTTCAATATAGTCAAAAGCACTATTAATTATGTAAATGATGATGATAAAAATTTGGAATCGATCGATTATCATGTAAAAAATTCTTATTTTATTAATGTTTTCGAACATCAAACATACGACGATTATTATGATGACAGCAGACAAATGCATTTATCATTATCAATGATGAATATTCATAATAATAAACATCAACAACATCATCATTATTATCATTGTGATGTTAATCATAATATTCATGTGAAAATAATGCAAAAATTTTTCCTCTATATATTATTCACAATATCAATAATATCGATTTCAAATGATCATATTACAATTGTACAGTTAGCGAATGCCGCATCATCATCAGTGAATCATGAAAACATAATCAATTCAACAATATTAACAAGGTTCCAGCAACAACAACAACAGCAACAACGATTAATAAAAAAAGCCTATGATCCACAACAACAATCGACGGTATCATATCTTTCTACAATCGATGGTAAGTACATACAAAAATGAATGGATGAACAAATGAATCTTGTTTCAAGTACAAATCATTATCAATTGATAATTAGTTTTCTTTTTTGAGTGTGTGCATGTGTTTATGACATGAATAAAATGAAACTTCATCAATTTTCCATTATAAATTATTTTATTCATTCATTATATGTTTGGGATAAATAATCGAAAAGGTTCAAGTATTGTTGTGAACAATAACAACAACAACAAATCAAGTTTAAACATCGATCAATTCGTGATTCATTATTCTATTTTTTTTCATATCCAAAATAAAAAATGATACAATTTCATGACATCATTAAATATCGTTGTATTGAATATCGCATTCCATTTCCAATTGAAAATCATTATTAACCATAAACGAACAAACCAGAATGGAAAAAAATATATGAAAAGGAAGTAGAATAGCAAAAAAAAAAAGTTTTCGTTCCATTTTTTTCATTTTAATAGAATAAAAAAAATAACCGGATCGATTTTTTTCCAAATGCCAGAAAAATTCTATATATTTTTTTGAAAAATACGAATTAAGATTTTCTGGACCAATGTATACGAAAGCGTGCGCACGTTCGTGTGAGTGTTTGTCACATTTAGAATCATGAATTCATGAATTATGACAAAATAAAAATTTTCATAAAAAATCATGAATTTATGGAAATGATCATTCATATAGATCAAAAAGCAAACGAAATGAGAAAAGAAACTAAGAGAGTAAGGGAAAGAGACCAGGTTTTTCATGATCAATATATTATTTTATGGAATGAATGGCCAAACACGCTATCATTACCGTTAACGATAATCATGAAATTCAATGTTTTTTTTTTGTGAAGAAAAAATTCATGTCGTTTCTAAACCTTTTTTTCGAACAAATCGATTTACGATAGTCGTAATGAAAAGGAAGAAAAATCATTCAAACTGGCCATGATCATCATTATCAAAAGCATTATATTTTTTTTACGCTGTCGTCATCCGTTTTTGATAAGACCTAGAAAAAATAAAAAATAAATGTCAGTGTGTGTGTGTATGTGTAGGTTTGCGTGTATCATTTTCGAATGAATATGAAGGAAAAAATTCAGCCCTAATCAATTTTTTTGAGAAAAAAAATTGAAAAATTTATTCACAAAAAAAACAAAATGAATGAATAAGCTATTCAAAAAAAAAAATTCAAAATTCAATGTAAAGATTTCATTTTCAATGATGAATTCGCAGAATTTTTTTTTATGATGATGATGAAAATCAATAGGAAAAAGAAGATGAATTTGTTTTACTCTGCAATTCATTTTATGAACCAAAAAAAACGAAAGTTTTTATCCAAAGTAGTAATATTTTCATGAAAAAAAGATAGAAAAGAAAAGAAAAATCATTATTATTATTCATTTATAATGAAATAAAATAAAATCAATGGCTGATGTATGCAAATTGATGATCCAACATTAATGATTGATGAAGAAATAAGAAAGAAAATAGTGGAAAAGGGTTCCGAAACAAAAACCATTGATGTCGCTTCTATTTTATTCATCTATGTTTAAAAATCATGTCTCTAATAATTGCAAGAAAAAAATTATCATTGTCATCTTCATCATAAGTCGATATTGGGAAAAAAATCTTCATCATTTTTATGTCAATTATGATTTTGGTTCCCATGTTAGGAACAAGTAATTAAACATTAACCAATATTTCCAGCCAAACTTGTGTCATTTGGTTTTTGAAAAAAAATAAAGATTCATGAATAAACATTGACTAAATTAATGAAATAATGATGATTCATTATTTCTCAATAAATCTATAATTATTCATCAATTCATTTCCGATTCTGATATATTTTTTTTCTTATTTTTGCATTCATCACACATACACACACACATTTAGGTCATCAAAAAGCATTCATATCGAATAATGGCAATAGTAACGAGAAAAAACAATCATCATCATTATTAGGATCATGTACAGCACCAGAAGTAATGGTAAATGGTGCACCATCACCAGATATTGCAGGTACTGTAAACGGTGGTGAATGGGGCACTATTGAAGAGATACAATTTGTCGGTATGGTTATGTCGCCAATGATCAAAAACAATGATGATGATGAAACGATCGATATTAAACAGAAACGTATCTGTAAAATAAAGTGCCTTAATGGCGTCTGGATTGGACCATTCTGTGCATTCCAAACTGGTAAGTCAATGATAAAAATTTTTGTTTCTTAAGAAAGTAAAGCAAGAAAAATCTCATCCATCAAGGTGAATAATTGATGTGAATTTTATAAACTGTTCAAAGGCATGCAATTTATTTACATTTTTTTAGTAATATATAATTATTTCACAATAAACATTTGGTACAAAAAGCTTTTAAGTTGAATGAAAGAATATAGAAAAAAAACTTTCAATCATATTCAAACAGCTTAAACTGACTTAATATAAACTTTGACAATCAGGAATATTGATTAATTCATTCATTCGATTTGCATGTTTTATCATTTTTGGAAATTTTACTATGCATAATAAGAAAATAGTAACCAAGAGACAAAGAAATCTCAAAACGGAAAACAAAATGTTTTAATTATAAGGTGAAACAAAAGATTTTTATTGATAAGCCTAATAATTCTGGAAATTCATTAATGTATTTTCTGTGTATGAACATCGATGATTATTTTTTCCATAAATCAATGACAATACATAATTTTGATTACATCAAATCAATTTTTAAAAATTATTCAATATTCAGCAAGTAAGCCAAGCAAATAAGAAAAACAAAATTGTAGTTATTAATAATTTATAGGATTCGATTCGATCCATAAATCATTATCAACAGAATATTCTGTCAAGTATTTGACCGGTCGTCGTCGTCGTATTCATAGATTCTCTCAATTCAATAAATAAAATCAATCAATGACAAAATTACGAAAAAAAATTTGATTAAAAATGATATAGCTTTTGTTATAAAATTTGATGAATATGATTTTTGGAAAAAATTCTCACATTCATGATGAACTGAAAATCATAATCATCAGTTGATTGATTGAATAAAGAAATTTTTTTTGTATATGAAATTAAAATATAGGAATGAATTCTAAAAAAAACTTTTCAATCAATCAATCAATCGATCGATCAATCAATAAATTGATTTCTTTCGAAACAAATGATTAAAAAACTGAAAATAGTTCTATCAGTTTTTTTTTTGAAATTCAGCAGACAAACAACAACAGCAAAATTCCTAAATTGGAAATAAACTACTACCACCATAGTAAAAAAAAACAAAATCTAGACAGAATAATGTTTGTGGTTGGTGGTGATAGTAATGAAAACAAAACTGACAAAAATTTTCCATTCAATTTCTTCAGTTCCTAGAATATCATTTTTCTTTTTTTGTCATTCATTTATCCTTTGCTCTACCCGCGCAAAGTTATTGGTTTATTTTTGTTTTGTTTTTTTTAATAATCAAAATAAAACAATAACAAGATTTATTTGGATCAAATTGCTGTATGACAATAAAATGAATAAATGAATGAAATGACCCTCAAGCATCGATTGTCATGAGAGATGATTGAATATTTTTGTTTTGAATGGTCACAAGAGAAACAAAAAAAAATTCATTATCATTTTATTCAATCAAATAAATTCCAGCTAAAATTATTATGGGATATGATTTTGATGATGATAATATAATGAAATTAATTGTTTCAATAATAATAAGTTTAGTAGCCAAACTATTATAACAGAAGCTGAGCGAATCAATGGTAAATTATTCAGAAAACAAGATTTTGTGGTTCATTTTTTCGCACACACTTTTTTTGGTTTCTTTCAAAGACTTTTATTTTTTTCAAATTTAAATTTAATTAATTTTATAAAGTTTACATTTTATATATTCAAAATAACAAAAATCGAAAAAAATATTCCTGAAAACTAAACACCTGAACAATTTATTTCTTTCATTCCCTCATATAATTCATTAAAATTCCATAAAAATTCAAGAATTTTTATTTAAAAAACAAATTTAAACCATTATTTTCCCTCAAAAAAAGTTTTTTAATTAAACATTTTCGTTGTTGTTGTAACCAACATTCCACAGAAAAAAATAGAAACAAACAAACAAACACAGTTGACAAAATGATACATTGGTTTACTGTTTTTTCCAGTTGACTTACGCTTTGAATTTCCAAATTACAAAATTCAATGAATAAAGGAAAGGAAGAAAACAACATCAACAGCAAAAGATAATCAAACTGACCAATGATTCATGAAAGAAAAACTAGACATGATTAAAAGTAAAAGTATGTGCATTATCATCATAGTCAAATTATTAATTAGCTTGAATACCAAAAATACTTTCGATGAAATGAATGTACCAAACTAAACTAAACTAATTCACTAGTTACATGGACAAAATGTACTGAGATGTATGTTCGGCCCTAAATGAACACGAATCGTGTTTGTTTCATCAAAAAGTTTTATCATTTAGAAAAAAAAAGAATTTTTTTTTCATTTTCCCTTTACTTGTATATTTGGGCTTCAATGAAAATAAATTGGTATGTTTTAACGAATTTAGCTTGGACAGAATCGTTTCGAAATGATTTTAGGGCGTCAATATGAACGACAACAACTTTCAAACATAAAATTGACACAAAAAGTTAATCAATTTTATCAACATTCGATATTTTTGTATTGATGATAATCAATAAAAACTTTCGTCGTCGTTGTTGTGCTATGATTGTGGGACATGCATTGTTGAATTTATAATAATAATAATGTATGAATGAGAATAAGAAATAAACAAATTATTATCAAAGTTATTACTAAATATATAAGTCATTAAATATATAATTGAAGAGTTTTTAGCTATAATTTTTTGGATGAAATTCGTGAAATTACATTTTTTCTTGCTTGCGACTAACTTTTTTTTTGGTTTCACTGATTTTATCTTTTATTTGTGCCATAAAATCATAATGATACAATAAATGAATGGAATATAATCCTCACTAATGACGTAATTCAATACAATTATTTAGCCGATGAATATGAGCCAATTTTACGATCATGTCGTGTGCCAATTATTGCCAATGGTTCGATAGTAATTATCGATTCTAAAAATACTTATAATCACAATTCAAATGATGATTATATGATGATGAAAAAAATTCATCATCGAAAACCGCGTGAATTACCTCATGGATCAATTATCAAGGTGAGTAAACAGCACATCAAACAAAACATGGAGTAAAGAAATTTTTTTTGTAACTACTTAAATATGTTCATCATATGTATAACATTTCATAATAGGTAAAATGTAAAGAGATTGGAATGTTTAAGCTAACAACAATGAACGGAAATGAAACAATGCAATGTATTGACGGTGTTTGGGATCAGGCGGAAATTCCACGTTGTGAACCAACAACATTGCATATGAATTTTTCACGTAAGTCTTTATAATCAGCTTTTTTTGTTTATTTTTGGCAATAATAATTTATTTATGTTTACTTTTTTGTTTTTTATTTAGTATCTAGTCCTCCAAGTATTCTTTATACATTATTAGATGGTACATTGGGTATTAATGATTTTGATGAACAATATTTGGATTTATCATTTAATAATAATGATGATGATAATGATGATTATCATGAAATGGAAATCTATGAACAACAACAACAACAGCCACAAATTGTGATATCACCTGGTTCAATTGTACATCTTGATTGTGTATTTCAGGAAACATTTGGACAACCACAATGGTCAGTATCGGATATACCAATCTCGAACAATATTTATTATGATTCTGAGCATGGTACAATCAACAATAAGATTGATTCATCATCATCATCATCATTTGATCAACAACATTATCATCAACTACATCATACACAGATATTGAATGAACAGCATTGGAATCCGAATCAAGAACAACATCAAACACAACATCAGCAACAACAAAAACAACAAAGAAAATATCAATATTCATTATCAAGAAATAAGCATTTACGTCGTAATAAATATCAGAATCGCCGTAAACATTATTATCAACAGAAAAAACCTGGATCATCGGCTAATATCAGGTATGTTTTGTGTTTATTTTACATGCATCTCATAAACATAAAGTTTTTTTTGTCTGCTGTTGTCAAAGTTCTTTTTATTTTACATCATGATGATCAGATTTTGTTTTTATTACAAAACAGGATTCTGTTGTTGGATAACCAACTGCAAAAAAAACTCATTTCTCCATATAATTAATTGATATGAGACACTTTGAGCTTATGTTTTTTTTGTTGTATCTTTCGTTTTTCTTTTCATTCATTGTCCTATGTTTTTTGATCATTCAATTTTCTATTCTGGTTTTTTCAAACATGACAAAACAAAACAAGAAATGCTGTTATCAATGATCAATAGAAAGTCAATGAAATGAAAGTCAATATCATTGATTATCATCATTCATGGTCTGTACAATGATCCAATCTGATGATGATGGTTTTTACGTTAATCAAAAAAAAGAAAGAAAGAAAGCAATTTTTTTTTTGTTCATTTTCATTAACCCAGAATTTTTTTTTCTTGTTAATTTATTGATTTTACTTCATTCAGTAATGGATTTCTTTTTGCTTTTCTAAAACTTTTTTCTTCTTCTTCTTCTTTCAACAAAATATCGATCAATTGAATGAATGATTGAGAGCATTATCCTCTTGGTTTATATATGAATGATTTGAATCCAAAGAAAAAAAAATATACACAAGGGGAATCTTTATCGAATTGAGCTTATAAAATTATTGATGATGGATGAATATTAACCATATTTATCATCATTTCAAGCATTTATTGCTAAACACTATTTCTGTTTTATTGAAAATGTTCAATTGTCTTGATCTTGATTCGATTTGATTCTATTATTTATTTGTTTCATGTTATGCCGTAAGATATGTACCAATTTATCTTTTTTTCTCATGCTGCCATTTCTTTAAAAATTATGAGAATGAAATCGATTCTTTTTTACCAGTTAAACAATCATGATTGTGATGATTAATTCTTCAATTTAATCTCAGTTTGAAAATGAGAATTCAAATTGCTCATCATATTTTGTTTTGTTTATATGATGCCTTGAAGGCATTATTTTTCTCAATAATGATACTAATATTCGCATTATGCAAATCATTTTTGTGGAAGTAAATTTGTTGAAAATGAATCGATTTATGTTTATTATTTTTTCTTTTATTCTTGATTATATAATAATTTAGAACTCATACCACTGGTTGGGCAATATTAACCGATAAACATTCATGGAAATATCGTTTAGCTATTTATTATGCAAATGAAATTGATACCGGACGTTATACATGTACAACACCGAATGGTTTGAGCAATTATATTGATATTGTTGTTAAAGGTAAGTGTGAAAAAGAAAAAAAAAATGTTTTTTTTATTGAATTTTTTTATTAATCTTTTTCTTAGATGTTCAATGTCCATCATTAGAAGAATTGAAACTACAACAAAATAATAACGATAATAATAATCATCATAATCCTTATCGTGATGATCCAAATCGTTTAGCATCTAAAACTGGTTATCATATGCATGATCGTATTCGATTTTCATGTAAAGATGGTTATCGTTTATATGGAAGTCATAGTGAAGTTAAATGTCTACCAAATGGTCATTGGTCACATTCATTTCCAATATGTCAAGGTAGGTTGTTGATTCATCAACAATGACAAAACAAAAATCCCATTTACTATACATGTATTGCGTGTATGAGAAGGATTCCATTAATTATGTTCAATATTATTCGATTTGGTTCACTTTTATATGAGCTGGGAGCAGAAATTTCGGTCTATTATTATATCATAATCATAATCATCATTATGACAATGATGATGAAAAAATTAACTAATTTAGTAGCCGAAATAAAGCTTTGCTCTGACATACACACACGCAGGCATCAAAAGCATCATTTTTGTCGGTTGGATGAACAATTTTTTAATTATTTTTTTTGCGGCAGTCATCAATTCATTATCGTTTCATTCTTTTTTATAGAATTTTTTTCAATATTTATATAACAGAATTAGGTGTATTTTAATTTCAAAAATTTTTTGCTGTTTTTATGATTTAGAAAAAAAAATAGTGAATAGATGCTATTCAATCATTCATTTATGATTGATCCTACATAAAGAAAGCATTTTTTCATTACCGTGAACGATATCGAAAATGAAAATCATATCGAAACATTTTTTTTTTCATTATCCATTTCATTTCGATTACATAATGATACACATAAATTGATGATGATAATGGAAAGGAGAATTTTTGAATTGATGAAAAATAATGATTTCCTTTTTTTGGTTTTCAATGAATTTTTGCTTCAACACATCTCATCTTGCCAATATTATTGAAAGATTGATTTTTTTTCACTCATCCATCCATTTACACGCACACACATTGATGATACTGATTGGCTCATTATATATTGCTTATTGTCATCGAATGTATAGTGTTTTTTTCTCTTCTTGCCATTAATTCTTTTCACCGAGAAAAAAATATCATTATTATTCTTCGAACCCAAAATTGTTCATCAATAGATCTTGATTATTTACTATTAGTGAAAGCATCACTTTTGACTTTTTTTTTATCATAGCCCATTATAATTTGTGCAGAATGTTTCTATAGCTATCTTTGTCGTTGTTGTTGATGCTTTGACATATAACAACAACAACAACAATAGGCTGTGATTTTCGTTTTCAAGAAAAAATATATTTTTCTTGTTTCAAATTGAATTCTTTCTATTTTAATTCGAAGTAATTTTTTCCAAATCCTTTTCAAATCTATGTTTCGCAAATACCATAATAGTTACGAAAACGAAATATTTTGATAGAAAAAAATCATTGAAATTACAAAGTTTGTTGTTACGTTACTTTGTCTTTTGATATTCTTTAATCCTTATAAAAGATTCAGTTTTCGTTGTTGTTGTTGTTGCTTCATTTTTTTCAGTCAATGAAGCATAAATTCCTTGATATGTTTATTCTTTGAACGAACAAATCTTTCTTATAAATAAATAACTAAAACTGATGTTTTTTTCTCCAATTTCCATTTTATTTTATTTTTTTGAACAGAAATAAGCTGTCCAGATTATGTCAATTTAAAAGATTTAGATCCCAATCTATTCATAACATATGAGAAATTAACAAATGTTCATGAACAACAACAATCATCAATTAATCATTATGGTAATGATGATATTAGATCGACACAGAAACGAAATATGGATTTTAATGATGATTTTTTCATTCATTCTTCATCATCAACACCACCATCATCATCATCAAACGATCATTACCATTCCCATCATCATCATTATCATAATCATCATGATCGACAAGCATTACGATTTCGTTGTCCAATTGGATATCGTTTGATTGGTCCATCATTAATCAAATGTGATCATAAACGTAATGAATGGAGTGAAATATTTCCAAAATGTCAACGTAAGTTTTTTCCTTTTATTTATTTTTTTTATATACGCAATACAAGTTACATTGTGACTGACTAACTGACCAAACCAAACAATAGTCGTTGGTCGGTAAATCAGAATTTCATGAAACAGCATGTGACATAATAATAAACAAAATTTTTTCATTTTAGCTTGTTTTTTTTTGATTATCAAACCTTTCGTTATTTTCTTTGCAATGAAAAATCACGACAGGGTTTATTTATTGTTGTTGTCGTTGTTGTTGATTCTGATTCTGGTTTTTTTTTGATTTTTTTTCTGCATATAATTTGAATAATTTAGTAACAAGAAAAAATATTCTTTTTTTCCTGAATAGAAAGATGGTTGAATAGAAAAACTGTCAGAATTTTATTCTTTTTGAAATGGCTCAACAATAACAACAACAACAGCAAAAATCAAAACTGAGTTATAAACTTGAAATAAACAACCATAATAGCAAAAGAAATCCACTATTCTTTATTCATAATTTTGAATTCACAATTTTTTGGCCATTGTTCTCAGCAGTGGAACAAATAATGAAAAAACACAAACACAAGCGGTAATTGTTTTTTTTCACTAACCCGTTTGTTGTTCATAAATATCTAGCTATGAATAATCAAAAAAGAAAAAAGTTGCGATAAAATTGATTTTTTTCATAATGATTTGATGAAATGAATTCTCCCAAAAACGAATTACATTCGTGTTTTTTACCAATTCGTTATGATAATAATGATGATTCTTGAGAAAATTATCTTGTTCAATAAGAGTTATTCTAATAAGACTCTTACTTTGAGTATCTTTCATATCTCAATAAAATATTCATTCATTCATTCAGTCGTTTTCAGCATTCAAAATTTATTGAGTTTATTTTCGATTTTTTTCATTTAAAAGAGATATTTGAAAAAAACTAGTTAGTTGGTATACGAATTCTGTTCTTTTTTTAGAATGATTTGAATTCAAACAAATTCAGAATTCATTTGAAAATATTATACAGGTTTTTTTCTGAAATTCAAAAAAAAAAAGAAATATCAAATCAAATATTGATTTGTGTATATTTCGCACCCAATATATTTCTTTTTGATTCTTTATATAAATGTTGCAATAACAATGATCTTTGATCAAATACATTTTTTTCATCATCAAAACAAAAAGTAGTGAAATTTGAAATAGCAGTGTCATCTTTTTAGAATAAAAAAGTAAAATATTAATAATAAGGAAAAAATGACAAACAGAAAACATTTCTAAGTAAAAAGTTTCCCAAAAAAATGGTCAAAAAAAAAGATATTCCAAATAATGAATGAATGCATCATATTTCAACCGAAAAAATTGCTAAAAATGATAGTTTTTTTTCCTTAATGTTTGTTTGTAGACAAAACATAAATAGCATTGTCATTAGCCATTTATTTTCATTTATAGTCATAACAAAATGTGAAAAATGTATAGCCGCCAGAAAAAAACACGATTCGTGAGAATCTAACCTTAAATTTTCTTCTTTTTTTTTTGTTTTACATTCAAAACTAAAATGATTTGAATTTTATTCAAATGAACATTGGTATCGTTGTTGTTTTCAACTTGGTTTTTCATCTGAAAATTGAATCGAAAATAAATAAATTTCAAATCTCAACGGATTTTATTCCAAATAGATGATGATTATTTTGTTTTCCATTATGTTTATTTTGGTTTTTAAAAATCAATTTCATATTCATATGTAAATTGAATCATTTCATTTGAAAACTATATATTTTTGTCAAAAAAAATTGAATTTGAATTCTTTCAGAAAAAAATTCAAAAAATAAAAACTTTTTTTTAAGAATCATTATTATCATAAATGGCCATAGTTTCCAAGTTCTTTTTTCTTCGAACATTCAAAGGTTTGTCTGTTTGCTATGGAAATTCAATTTCGTATTTTGTTTTAAATAAAAGATTTTCTTATTAATGGAAAGTTTCACGCTTCATATATTCTTTTTAATATTGAAAACAAAAGAAGAATTTCTGGTAACATTCATGTCATGATTCAATGTAATGTGTTGTGATGTATAATAAGAAAATTTTCAATACCAAAATAACATGACATTTGTCACCCGTAAAAATTAAATGGAAATGGAATTTCATTTCTTTTATGTATTGTGTTGATTGTTTTGTTTTCTGGTCTCATTTCTGCAATATAGACATTCCGTCGCTAATGACAATAACAATGATGATGATAACGACAACAAATTATCAACAAATTCTACTTACCCAGCTATTCTCAGTTGATTATCACAAGTTTATTTGGAAATTTAAGAATGAAAAGTAAAATAAAGAATTTTGGATTCCACATGAAGGAAAGAAATTTTGTTGTTGTTGTTGTTAAAAGAATGCTACTGAAAACAAAACAAAATAAAAAGATGATTATTTCACAGATCAAAGTGAAAAAAACAAAATACAAAAAAATCATATAATATTCTGGATAATGTTTCCACATTATTATTTTTATTACAAATTGAATCCACGAAAAAATAAAAAAAAAACATATACGGATTTTGTTATTTTCTTTTCGCACACATTTTTAGATATAAAATGGAACACACACAACAAAGCTAAAACAAAGTCTTATGATGAGTTTTAAGAATTTTCTTCCATTTTGTTACTGCTACTATTTTTTAGGTAATAATAATGGTAATAATAGCAAGAATTGGCTGGCCAACCAATTCTTGAAAATAATAGTAATGTAGGCTCTACTAATAATATACTTTTTATAATGATAACGATGATGTTGGTGATTTTCACTTGCTTGCTTTTTTATTTCAAATTTAGTTTGGTCAAAACCAAAGTTATCTTTAATTCTTTCATTAATAAAATGAAAGATTAGACCAGTTTTAGTTTATAGTTTTGTTTTTTTTGATTAGCTTTTTTCGAATTTTTTTTCGTGATCCAATACTAATTAATTCCAATCTTTCTTCATTATTTTCTAGTTTTTTCGGTTGGTTAGCTATTTGCAGTTTGTTTGTTTGGCTGGTTGTTTGCGTAGTGTTGACCAAAATGAAAATAATAACCAACCAACCGACCAAATAAACAACAATAAGGTGCTATAAATACATTGTAGATTGGTGAATTGTGAACATTTCATTTAGTAATAAGCCAATTTCACTTTTGAAAAACCCACTCGCATTAATGACGAGTAATAATTGAAATGAAAATATATTCTTAGTGATATATACGCTAAGCCCTATAGAAAATTGAATGTTTTCTCTGATATTACTCAAATTAAACTCAATTCTTTTCTAAATGGGATACTCATTTGTTGTCTTTTTTTTTGTTTTGTTTGATTTTTTGGTCCTCGAAAACCTTTTTTTCCTTCATTGATAATGATTGTGAAACATTGTGAAAAAACAATTGTTTCAGATAAAGATAAATGGTATATAACGATGCAATCTTCTTCAAAACATTATATTATTTGATCAATAATAATAACAATAAAATACAATATTGAAACCTTGTATGTAATGTATTTTCCTATACACCGAATATTCTATTTTTATTTATTCTCTCATTTTTTTACAAATTCCGGATACAGCAAAAAGAAAATAAACGAAACAATCTTGTATATTATGGAACAAATTATCATGATGATGATGATTATGGCTTTGATATAGTAAAAACAACAACAACATTATTATTATGTTGATGGAATTTATATGATGATGAAAATGAGTGAAAATGATGATAATAATGGTTATTTTAATGCTACACACACATAGAGGCACTTTATTGAATATAATATTTATACTCAAATTGTTTTTCCATTATCATTCATTCAATGGATGAATGAATGATTGATAATAAATTTGATTAAATTTACCAACAATGAATATTTTTGTTTATCATCATTATAACTAATGTTGTTTCGGAAATATTTTTCAAATAAATTTTTTTTTTCGATTAACCTTTTGCATCTCTTTTTGTTGTTGTTGATTATATAGAGATACGATGCCCAGAACCGGAACTACCATCAAACGGAGAAATAATTATTAAATCTAGTTCCGGTAATCAATTATCATCATCATCTAGTTTCAATCAAACACAAACATCATCATCATATCTTGTTGGTGATTATATACAATTTGGTTGTCGTAAAGGTTATCGTATGATTGGTTCAGATATTATTACCTGTTTACATAATGAACAATGGTCTTCATCACCACCGAAATGTAAGTGAAAATCCCGATTTTTTTATTTCTTTTATTTGTTATTACGACAGTTATCATACATGTTACATTATTTTTGCATTTGAGGTTAATGTTAAAAGATTTGAATTTAATCCCGAATGAATGGAAAAAAATTGAAGCTGAAATCCTATGTAAACTGACAAATTTAGACAAACACAGACAATGTATTAATTCATTCTTTTTGTCGTTTCTTTTTGCCTGTCACATTCAATTTTAATTATTAATGTGATGATGCCACCGACAAATACAGAATCGTTGCACACAGATTTTATATAGAAAAAATATGTGGATGATACATTCGAATTGAAAACAAACAAGACAAGTCTTTTTCATTTTCAGGCCTAGATTCTTCAATTGGCTTACGATGAAAAATAAGAATTTTTTATTTATTGAACTTAGTGGCCAAAAAATAAAAAAATAAATCTCTTCACACTTTTTCGAGTTTTTTGCATTTCGATAAATGGGTTAGGAGTTTTTTTTTCTGCTGTTGCTTTCAGAAAATTGAATTAAATTTTCTTAATGTTGACAACAATCTTGTTCGAACACGAATTTCATTCGTTCAAGTAGATGACAACCGACCGTAATAAAGTGAATTGAAATGACAGAAGAAGAAAATCTGGAAATGAAATTTCTTTTTCATTTTCTATGATTTTAAGAAAAGAAAAAAATTCTAACCAAAATGAAAATTCATTATCGAAAATATACCGGCGTAATAAGAGATTGTATTTGGCAATTTCCATAGCATCACCATAGTTATTTGTTTGTTTATTTTCAGGATACCAATTCAGAATTTGAATTTTGAGAGAAAAACCATTCCTAATGAATAAGGTGAATCATTTTTACAATGACAAAAAAAAAATTTCATTAGTGAAATTGATTTTTGTTTTTCCATTTTTATTTCCATTTCCTTTGCATGTTTCGTATGCTTTTATTTTATATAAATTATATTTTTTTTGTCTGTTTTTTCTCATTCTTTCTCTTTTTTGATATTTTATTGTAGGCAAACAAGTTTGTTCATATCCGGCTAAACTATTACATGGCTATTATGAACCAGTAAAATTCTATTATGATATTGGCGATATTGTTCATATACATTGTGATCATGGTTTTCGTTTGGCCAAAGAATTTGATGATAATATTTATCCATTACATCAAAATAATGAAACAATTACAATGTTATGTGGTAATGATGGACTTTGGATTGGACCGGCTATCAAATGTAAACGATTGAATAATAATAAACAGAATGCAAAACATTAATTCGCTTTTTTGGAATAAAAAGTGGCTTATGGAACATTTCGCTATTTCATTATTTAATTGATTGTTGAAATCATGATCTCATCATCAATTTCAAAATTGATTTTATTTCATTAGTTAATAGTGGTTTTCATTTTTTTTTGTTTTGTTTTTCCTCTCGTAAAATGTAAATTATTTTTTTCTGTTATCAGGTCATTATTATGATGATGATTATTATTATTGCGTTGAAAATCAAATAAAATACGATAAAATTTTCATTATAGAATTTGTTCAATGAAAAAAAATTGCCAAGATATAAAAAGACATATATCGTTATTGTTTTGTTTTTAAAAATCGAGAAAAAAATGCTCTTTTAAATGGAATTTTCATTATAACGACGACGACGACTGAGAAGAAAAAGAAACAAAAAAAAAAGATAAATAAAATTGATCAAGAAAAATTGAGAATTTTATCCATGAAACTGGGAAAACAAAATATCAACAGTAACGATGAAATATACGCCAATTGCCTTGCCAATTTATTTATTTATTTGTTTATTGACAACCAAAAAGAAAAAAAAGCATTTTTCTTCGTTTATTTTTTTGGTTGTTGAGAGACTGAAGAACAGGAATGAAAAAAAATCAGCTATTTCAGATAGAGAATTAGTTATTGAATGTTTTTTATTTTTTTTTAGCAAGTTTAATTCCATTAATCCGATTAGATATTTTTCTTTTTTTCCACCTCTTTTTTCATATATTCTGTTTATTTGGGCTAAAATTGTTTTCAACAAAAAAAAATTGAAACAGCAAATGGATTGATATTCCATATGGTCTCTCTACTTTTATGATTGGTTAAAATGACGTAATAGAATTTTTTTTAAGCAAAAAAAAAGGAACGGTAAAAATTTTTCCATCAAATATAATCGTGAGTGTGCTTTATCAGCATCTAAACAAGAAGAATTTTCAATCTTTACTCAGTAATAATATCAGTGATAATTTAAATCTATAAGGAAAATCAATAAAATGAAAATCTCATCACCCTTTCACCATCATCATCATTATATCGTAAACAACATTTGAATTGAACAACATCAATTCATGTTTAACATTAGTTTTTTTCATTTGATTAAATTTTTATCATAATGAAAAAAAGAAATGAAAAGAATGTTGACTGGAATGTTGTATAACTGGAATTATTATTCTTAATTTATTTCCAAATATCATCGATTTCAATTTTCTTTTAAGTTTTTTTTGTTCCTGTGCTCTCCTCGGTTATCACCGTGAAAAATCCAAAATGAAAGATGATCATTTTTTTTTGTTCTGAAAAAATGGACAGGAATTTAATTCCAAATTCTGTTTTTTCTGTTTGTGTTCGAATTCCAGAAGAAAAAAATGAAATAAAACAGATCAACACAATAAATTTTTATCATTCTGAGTTTGTGTATAGATTAAATTGACCCAAAATGTGATTTGGTCAATCAATTGGGTTTTCTCTTTGTTTGTCCACAAAACAAATAATAAATATATTTATTATGAACAATATATAGAGTCATTGTGATGATGAAATTATTTCTGATTCATTCCCTCTGATGGCTACTTTGTGTGTTTGGATAAATTCGTTCAAGAAAAAAAAAATAAATGAAGATGAAAATTTATCGTCAATTTGATGATGATGAGAAAACAAACAACCAACCAACCATTTTTTTATACATTTATGATGAACCAGCATACAATTTTCAGTAATGTTTTTTTTTTGTTTCTTCCGATTTTTTTTTCTTTCGATTGTTTTTGAAAACAAAGTTACGATAAATAATATAAACGTATGTTTTTTCTTAAAACCTACAACATACAATTCACACACACCCACACACACAACATAAATGATCATAGTTAAAAGAATAAATATCAAATAAGAGAAAAATCATTTTTACGGTAGAATAATTTTTCAATTGTTTTTTTTTTGCAAAACTAAAGGAGAAAAAAAAATATTGATAGTAAATAAGGAAGGAAAAATGAATGAATGTAGCATCGAAAATAATAACAATGTCTTGTCTTTAGTTTTTTTTGTTGTTGTTGTTGATGTTATTGCGTTGTTCGGTATCACAAAAACTTAAAACAATACAGTAACGGAGAAAATTATTAAGAATCAAAGAAACAAGAAGGATTTTGGGTATACAATATATAAAAACGCATTCATCCAAATCGATCATCAAAAAAAAAGAACATGGTTAAGATTTGGGCGTATTTCCTTCATTTGGTCCTATGAATTCAACAAGATTCTTATTTTTTCCTGTCTAAAAAAATAAATCTACAACAAATCAAAATCAAAAGAAAAAAATGTTTATTTTTTCTGTCGGTAAGCAATAGGATTGATTTGGTATTAAAAAAAACGGCATTCGAAATTGAGAATCATTCCCAAAGGCAATCATCAATTTTGAATTGGATTTTTTTTACCAATAATATAAATTTCTCATTTTGATTCTTGGGTGAAGTTCTTCGTCGGAAGAACTCTGATGGTTATTCATCATATATTCGCGACAACAGCCAACTAGAAAATAACTGTAATTTCCTTTAACAACCAAAAAAGGGGTTTTTATCCAAATATTTAAAAAAAATCGGATATGGTTTATTGATGAAAACTTGCAATTATAAAAACCACAATTTTGTAAATCCATGCATGCCATATCCGATTATTGTATGAATGAAGATTAAATTAAATTTTGTTTTACCTTTTCATCTCTTTCTATCAATTATATTTCAAGTATTTGAATCTAAAATTTTGAACATCATCACAAATAATCAATCAATGAATGACTTTTTTCATAAGCATATCTTCTCGTATTTATCTTTATCACCTGCAAATTTTTTCATGTAACATCTATCCTTTTTTATTTTCTTAACATAGATCGATATGAATTATTTATTTGTTTTTTTGCTGTTGTTGTTGTTGTTGTTGTTGTTGTTTTTTATTACAAATCGAATAAAATTAACATTTTGTGTTATTTTTTCAGACATGGATGGTGGATAATAAAAAATAGAAAATTGAGTAAGCATAATTTAATGAATTACTTATTATAAATGAATAAAAAAAAATCTTTTCCCATAAGTTTATTTATTTATTTCGTAATTTATTTTCTTTCACATGTGTTTTTGTGTGTGTGATATGAATGAAAATCTATTTCTTATTTTTAGTTTTTGACTTAGTGTGCACACCATTCTTGTTTGGAATTCATCAGTTATGTGCTTGATTTGAATTTCATTTTATTTTATTTTTTTTTGTTTGGTTTTGAAATGCAGACTTTAAGATATTCTTTTTTTCCTGTTGAAAATATATGATGAATCAATTTGCAATTTAAAATCCCGAAAAAAAGTTGACCAAAACGAAATAAATTTGAAAAATATCACCGAAATTCTTATAATTGAATTATGGCCGAAAAGAATGAACCAAATCTTAGGATTTAAATATGAAATATAAATAAAAATGATTACAAATATGATAATTTTAGCTAAAATAAATTCTAGATTTGCTTTCCTTATATAACAAACAAACAAACAAACTTTAAGTGAGAAATTTTGCTCATTTTTAAAAGATAAATAGTGATATATAGTGTATGTAATAAAATCTTATTTTTTATTCTAGGAAAAAATTTAATTTTGAAATGAAAAAGAGATGAATAAGAGATTCATTCGTTTGCTAGCTTTCTTCATTTTTTTTTGTCGAACGATAAATTTTCAAGAAATAAACAATGTTTCACATTTATTATTATTTTTTTCATCATCGAGTTTCTGTTTATCTGAACATCATTTTGTTTGTTTGATCCGAGCCAAAAAAAAACACTGAACCAAAAAGGAAACAAAAGTGTAAGATTAGAATCTTTTTTATAGAGAAAATCGAATTAAAAATGAAAAACAAAACAAAAAAAATCTTTCCGATTTTCGGCAGTGAAGCCAACTGTTATTTTTTTGCAGTATAGTTTCATTTTTGCCCAAGTGTATTTTTGCTTTACAGTATAGGATATTCAAGAAAGTGAGAAAGTGAAAATTGAGTAAATGAAAACAACCAGAAACAAAATCTTTGCAATTGAAGAAGATTTCTCCAGAGAATTTTTTTTTTGAATCGAAAAAAAATTTCTTCTTTTTTATGTTGCTGTTGTTGTTGTTGTTTTATTTCATTTCATTAACATTTAACGAAATTTTATTGCCCATCGAAAATAATCTTTCTGTCATTCACATTTGTGTGCGTATTTTTTATTTATTCAATTCATTCATGATCATCAAGTCGAGAATAGTGTGAACAAAATAAAACAGTAAAATAAAAAAAAACAAAAAACTTTAAAATTCATTCAATGATATGATTCGATTGTTTTTACAATGATTTTCATTTATGATTTTCAAAAAGATGATGTAAAAGCCTATCTTTGTGTATGTTTGTTTTCTGGTTGGCAGACATTTTGTTTCAATGAATTCCGAATAAATGAAAACAAAAATACTTTTTCTTCCTTTTCAATACTTACGTTTCCCTAAGGCTTTTTTTCCTGGCCATGATGTATGTGAAAATGTTTCCCGGTGAAAAAAATGATTGTTTTTGACAGATTATTTCTTTGATTGAAATTTTAATTTAAAATTTTTTTTACAGCAATCAAAAAAAGTGAAAAAGTTTCATTTTGAATGGATTATTTGATATTTTCATTTTATTTGATATTCTTTTTTTTTGTTACTATCGCGCATTATAAATAAAGCTAATGATTAAAAACACAAATTAAACAACAAAAACATGTAAAGAAAAAGTTTAGCGATGCAATTATGAATTTTTTTTTCGTGGAATAAAAATGAATTAAAGCAAACGAAAGAAAGTTTGCTTGTTGTTGTTGTTGTTGCTTTTTTTCCATTATTATTTGTCTATAATCAACATCTGGTGAAAAAAAAGAATAATGTACAAACCATTTTGAAGCAATAATTGGTTATCGTCCTACTAGAATAATGATAATAATTCTGTTGATGGATCATAACTCATGGTCAGTAAAAAAAATAATGATTTTAAAGTGGTTATATTTTCTATTACCATCATCATCATTATTTATAATCATAATGATGGTCCCTTACTATTCATTATTATTATTATTATTATGACCACATTCACGAGGAAATAATTAATTTGAATCATTGATGCATATATGATGCTACCGTTGTCGCATTACATATTCATAATCACATCATAATTATTATTATGTTCACAAAAAAAAAATCCAATCATCATCATTATATCATCAAATCTTTGGTTGAGTAAGATTTTTAATCATAAAATTAAATGAATTATAAAATTTTTAAAACTGTTTTTGATTGCCATCTAGCGTTGGCAAATTTTGTTAAACTATCATTTTTATAAAAAATAATCAATTATAAAAAAGAATATAATCATTAGATATTTGCCTACTATAAACAGAATTAGATATGTATTTTTACGAATTACTTTGAATTTACTTGGAACAAACACAACATTTTTCTCATTCTTTTCACTTTGGTGAGGAGATGATGTAAAGCGTGATTTTGGGCTTCCTATTGTTTGAAATTCTGATGATATTGTCGTTGTATCAGATCTAGTTCTGTTGTTATCTGGATGAACAATCTCATCATCTTTGTCTTTTGCAGTTGGATTAAGTTTATCCGGACAAAAAAATATCGATTCAATTGACACAAATGTAATCTCCTTATGTACATCCAATTCAGTTAACAATGATTTGTCAACTAAAAGTATCGTTGATTTTGCTGTAAATACCAGATATATTAATTTATTGCAAATAAAACCAAAATCAAATGACGGCCAAAGATAATAATCTTGATCAAAATTATTTCCACAATAATTTTCTGTTAAACTTATAGATTGATTTTTTATATCATGACAAATGTAACCTTTACGTTTATTATTTACAAAGGTTTCATGATATATTTCAAGATCATAATGTGATGTCTGTACCCAATATCTAAGTATCCAGATTGAATTATGCTCATCAACTATATAACGTAACAATATTGATGTACCATCTTTCGGCCATCCATCATCGGTTTTAAATTCATCATGTGATTGTGATTGTTTCAGTTGAAATTCTGTGGTTGTCAATGAATGCGAAGGACTAAATGGATTAAACATTGCAAAATCCAGTCGTATCTTAATGTATTCTATGTCAAAATTCATTGCAAAAACACCACGATATCGTAGCTGATGTTCTTCTAATCGAAACCAATTATCAAAACGTTCAAATAATTTGTTTACAAATTTGGACATTGGTAATTCAAAACCTTCGGCTAAGTAAAATTTAGTAAAAAATTTCGAAATAATGCTCTGTGCTATTGGATAAACAATTAATTTATGATCCAAAGTATAAAGAATGATTAATTTCTTTCCACTTTTAGACACTGGCCATATTGACATTGAAATCGTTCGATTAAGATAAGAATTTCGTTGAGCACAATTAATATTCTGCTCTATATGATGATTTTCATTTGATAAGGTAATAAAATGTTCTCGGAACGTTTTGACGCTTTTGATCAATTCATAAGGTTCTTGCTTCGATAATTTAACAGCTATCATAATTGTAATAAACAACCAAAATGATAATTGAATCGAATACATTCACAATACATTTGTGAAAACAACCGATTAAATTCAAAAATTCCTAATCAATTTTTATGGACAGCCCAATTATAATTATTCTAAAAAACAACAATTAACAAATAGAATTCGAATTATTATTATTCGAATATTTGATTGTATTCAATTCATTCATTTATTTATAATAATGAAAATAATTTGGTGGTGTGTTGTAATGCTGCACAGTTAATTATTTTTTCAAATGTTTTTGGTTGACAAATTTCTGTGTTTAGTGTGTGTATGGTTGCCATTTAGTAGTGTGAGAATTCATTTTTTAAATAAAAACTTTTACAGTTGTTGTTTTTGTCAAAATCGTATAACAGAGACACAAATATATAATATGAATAATAATTTGAAAGAAAGGAAGAATTTATCATCTTTCAAAAAAAAAATCATTAAGAATAAGTAAGTACACCAATAAGTAATTTATATATAGATAAATGATTTTGGCATTCCGAATTCGGAAGAGAGAGAGAGAGAGAAACAAAACAAATAATGGCTTTAAATTTAAGAGTGAGAGCGAGAGAGAGACTAATTCATTCACAATCAAAACTTTTAATTCCTTTTTTTTGTTTTGAGTATTTTATTTCCATTTTGGCTGCTTCTGTGGATAATATCGATCGTTTAATCCGAATAAACGAGCAAAAAAAAATTCACTAACTGATTGTTGATTAATGCTTATGATGAAAAAAAATCGAATGAATGGTACGGATGTATTTCAGATGGAATTCTGTAGAGATCATAAGTTGACCGATGATGATGATGATGATGAGAATAAGAAAAAATATTTTTTTTTGTACAAGAAAAATTTTAATGATTGTTTTCAGGTTTCGGTGAAATTGAATACACAATGATGATAAATGAGGAGAATTGATGCTTTAGTTCTTTTTCAATGAGAATTTGGCCGAAATTTGTTTGGCGAAATAAAAAAAAACGTCATTTTTTTGTCGTTTGAGCAATGTTTCGAATCTATCGGTGGTTATAGAAAAAGAAAATGAACAGTGAATTATTAGTAAATCTTTATCCGATCTTTACCTTTGAATTGTGATTCCTCACTAAATTAAAATTATGGCTATGTAAGATTGTTTTTTTGCATTCGAATCAAATGGAATCAAAATTCCTCTTTGACCTGTGTATTTCTTTTTCGGCCACGGCGGCCACCGCCACCACCACTAGTTGTATTAGTTGTGTTGGTCGTCGTATTGCCAGTCGAATTATTCGGTGTAGTTGATGTTGGCGGCGTTACTCTTGTGTTGACATTATTAACTCCTGGTCCAATACCATTCGGTGCTGATTGAGGTGGTTGAGGGCCATTAGGAGGCCCATTAGAATTCGGCATCCCTGTTTGATGACCCATATGAGGATGATGATGATGATGATGGTGGTGATGTGGATGATGATGGCCGCCATACATTCCATTCATGTTATTTGCTCCGTTATTATTATTTTGATTCGGTGGTGGATATCCATTGGGTGGTCCACCTCCCATCATAAAATTTGATGATTGATGAGGTTGCAGGGGATGTGAATGTGATGAGTGTGATGAATGTGGAGGGTGAGGGTGTTGCTGATGTTGTTGCGGTCCAAAATTTTGCTGCTGTCCAGATAATGGTCCTTGACCGTGCGAATGATGGTTGCCATGCTGATTTTGAGGCGGTTGTCCTAGTTGATGTTGTTGAGAATGGTGATGAGGATATTGTGGTGGCGGCGGTCCATGACCGTGATGATTACCACCACCACCACTTGATATCATTGAACCTGAATGATGACCATGCATTGATGGCCCTTGTGGTCCATGTTGTTGCATCATAGGGCCCATAGGCGTTGGATTAACCATCTGTGAATGTGGATGTGAATGCAATGAGTGCTGCGGTGGTGTAGCGTTCGGTCCAGCACTGGTCGTACCAGAACCTGGCGGACCTTGCGGATGTTGTTGCATAATACATTTCTGGCATACGATCATCTGATCGGTGGTGAGCATGAATCGATCACCGGTTTCCAGACGATGTTGACATCGTCCACAAAAAACGCATTTATCATGCATATATCCATATCCATTGGCTTTGATCACCATATCACTTTGGCTGAGTGGTCTTGAACACGTTTTACAAACGCAATTAATACGCATATAATCATTTTTACAAATCAATGAACCACGAAACATATACATGGATTGTTCACCAACCACCGACGGTGTATGGCCACACATTTGACAAGTGAGACATGATGAATGCCAATAGCGATTATCACATTTCGATACCATCGGTTCGGTGATGGCTTTATGGCACTTGGAACATGAATAGACCATTTTTTGCATGTTTGGCTTATTTTCGTATTTATTGTCTGTACGTCGTTTTGATTTTTTTTTGCTTTCAAGATCAAACATCAATTGATCAACAGTGGCAATGAAGATGGATCTGGTGATCAAATGATTGTCTTTTCAACATTGAATATGAAAATAATAACAGCAATAAACAATGGCGATGAAAACAAATGGAGGACATTTTTGAAAATATTTATCATCAAATTTAATAAACCAAAGGACCTGTTATTGTTAACTTTCTATAATGTTGTCCAGTGGGCGTGTGTAACTGCTTGTTTTTATTTCACGAGAATATTGTAATACAAGTAGGTGCTGAGAATATACATGCAAGCCCACACGCACAATTATTTAATTGAAATTAATATTTTTTTTCGCCAAATTGTTTAATAAACAAAAATGTTTTTCTTTTTTGTTCAATTAGATGATATCTTATCGTTGTGTTTTTCTTCTATATTTTGATTCATTGCCCACACATTCTGAGAGAAAAAAGAAATTTTTCAATTAAAATTATTGTCCAAATTTAATTATTATTTCAGTCTAAAAATCTAATTATTGTTCATCATTTAATAATACCTAAGTCCACAACACAACAAGCTGTCAAATTTCAGCGGGAAACACATGTTTTTATTTTGTTATAAAAACGGATGGATGTGTATTGTTTGAGAGAATAAAGCAATACAGAGTCATGTGAAAAGAAAACAAACACAGTTCAAAAGAATGTTCATTGTTCATGTAAACTAAGAAAACTTTCATACGAACAACAACAACAATGGAATTCCATTCATCAATGAAAAAAAAACATGAGATAAAATTTTAAAATAAGATGATATTGAAATGAATGTTGGCCTCAATCACTTATTAAATTAATCAACGAAGGATAATGATGACAGAATTTTTGATGATGATGACCAATTGATCCAAGGTCCAAGCTATCAAATGAATTTGTACTTGTTTTACGATCATTCAAGAAATTTTGGAAGTTGTTAGTGTTGGTGGTGATGATGATGATGATGATAATGGTCGATATAATTAAAATGATTATCACTTAACATGATTATCATGATTATTTTTTTTTACTAATCATAATAAAATTAATAAATAAGAATGATATATATTCGAGTAGTAGTGGTATTGATTGGATTCGCGCGGATTCAATACAACACTCAATACACAACACAATAGGAAAATAATGATTCGAAGAATAAATGAAGCAAAATAATTCGATGCTCCACACATACACACACAAGGTGGGAGGAAATTTAAGTTACAAATGTTGTGGTTGGGGGCGTGGAATAATGGAATAAAACAAGTTCCTAAACATTCAATTTACTCGTAAGCTCGTATGTGTTTGAATCGCCACCACTACAACGGCTATTATTATTATTGTTACAACTACTACTTTTTTTATATTCTTCGATACACATTTTCTCTGTTTTTCCTTCCCCTTTCTTTGTCTATTTTCCCCATCCTACACACACACACACCATTATCCATCATTATATTATCATTATCATTGTCCCTTTGTAGATATAAGAAGTCATGCTTTTGGATGTTAGGAATTTTCAAATGGATGTGTTGATGATGGATATGATTATTGATCAACACCAAAAATATAAATGTGAATGATCATATAGGTATAAATGTGTAGGGTTAGGAAGCTTTTTTTTTTGATTAATTGAATCTTTTCTTTTCTTTTTTTTTACTTTTTAATCACATCACATTTATTCTTTTGTTTCGATTCTTGTCGTTAGATGGTGCCGTATAGTTTGAAAAAAGAAGAATAATGATAATTTGAATGTCAAGTGTTTTTCTTGTTCAAGAAAAAAGATTGATTAGATTTGATGGGATCAACTTTAATCGATCGTCATATGATTTTGTTTACGTCAAATCAATAATCACTTGATCGATCTATTTCAGATTAAAGTATTCGAAATCAATTCGATCCACCTACACTTTCCTCTTCAAATTGGATAGACTTATGGCAAAATTTGAAATCAAAATCGGTAGCTTATGGTCAGTTCCGTATTTTTTCCCCTGACAAACTAATGAAAATAGACAAATAAGTGGTTGACCTAAATCCTCTCGTTTTGTTCCTGTTCCATTAGTTTGTGTTTGATGGCAAATAAAAAGAGAAAATAAATTCATTGATCATTTTAAATCACAAAAAATTATTTCTTTTTTTTCCACATTTTTCTCACACTCAAATTTAGGTATTATATTCAAACTCGATTTTTATCATAATCTATTGATTGATTATAAATGAAAAATCTTGTTAAACACGTTCCAAACAGAGTTACATCACATTCGAATCGAAACCTTGTCAACAAGAAAAAAAACACGTTTGACTGACTAAACTACGTACCACTACCGTATCTCATTCCCACCATGCTCTTTAGCTATTATCCGGTTCCTTTTTTCTCACATTCTTACTCGTTCTCTTCTCACATCCAATGATATTTCAATAAATTGCATCAAATTGTAGTGGTATTGTTTGTTGAACGAAATTGTTGTGAGAAATAAAATCGAACGCATGCGTAACACATAAATTGGAAGTGTGTATGTGGTGTGCTCGCGTCATCATTTTTATTTTTCATCATTTTATTTCTGGTAGTTATTCCCTTCAGGTTTTTTGTTTTTTTTCTCTTTTCATCATCTTAATAAATAAAAAAATTAAAAAAAACCCAAAAAAATTCCATCTTTATTGATCGAAGTAGTAAAATATTTTCTGGATCACCAGACCTTCAAGATTTTGTCGTTTCATATTCGAACACGACATCACAAAATCCACCCCCAAAATCGAACAATGATTAACTGAAAAAAAATAAAAAAAACAACCCCTAATAAACTAAACCACAAAAAAAAAACAAAAAAAAATTGAAAAATTCTCAACAAAACTTTAAAAAAAACAAAAAAATCCAAAAAAATCGTAAAATTAAAAAAATCACTTATTTGGCTGTGTGAAAAAAATACCGAAAAATACATAATCGCTAATATTTTGGTGAGTATTTTTAATCCTTTTTTGTATAATATTCTTGTAACGAATGCTTTTAGGCGCGTTTTACTTTTTTTTCGTTCAGTTTTTTCAATAAAGTCAATTTTTAATGCGTCATCTAGTTTTTCATGTGATGATGATTAACACTTATCTTTTTCCAAAAAAAAACTTGCGTTGTAGCCGGAAAATGATAGTTCTGTGTTAGTGATAATCATTACCATCATCCAGAAAAAATATACATCATTTTATATGATTATATGGGTACGCATTTATTATCATCAACTAAGAAAGCATTGAATAAATGCGTTTAGCAGCGACGATGTTGCTATGTTTACCTATTTTATGAATATGCTCAATTAATACACTTTGTTTTTGAACATGACCAAGAGTCACGTTGTTTAATTTGATTAGGATTTTTTTCATTTCATTTTAATTCGATTTCTTTTTCGACCTTATATAAAATCAGTCAATCCAATCATTGGTCAAATTAATATAGTAATTATTTTTTTGTTTCTTTTTTTCTTGTTTTCCAACATCATATAACTTAAAGAAAAAAATTCATTTTCAACAAAAAAAATAGTAAAATCTTTATAAAATCCAATCTTGAAAAAAAATTGAAATCAAAATGAACAATTCTACAACAACAGCGGCACCAGCAGCAGCACCAACTGCAGCCACCACCACCACCACAAGTACAAACAGTTCTGCAAATCATTATCCTATTGCATCGTTGTATGTTGGCGATTTAGCTCCTGATGTTACCGAAGCTGTATTGTTCGAAAAATTCTCCAGCGTTGGTCCTGTTCTTTCTATTCGGGTTTGCCGTGATATTATCACTCGTCGTTCATTAGGCTATGCCTATGTTAACTATCAGAATTCATCGGATGCTGAAACCGCTATCGATACATTGAATTTCGAACGTTTGAATGGCCGACCTATTCGTATCATGTGGTCACAACGTGATCCATCTCTTCGACGATCTGGTGTTGGCAACATTTTCATCAAGAATCTGGAAAAATCTGTTGACAACAAAGTTTTGTTCGATACTTTCTCCTATTTTGGAAACATTTTGTCATGCAAGATTTCTTATGATGACAAAGGGCAATCAAAAGGTTATGGTTTTGTACATTTTGATTCGGAAGAAACAGCTCAGGCTGCCATTAGCGGATTGAATGGAAAAGTTATCAATAATAAAAAAATTTATGTCGGCAAGTTTATCTCGCGTAAAGAACGTGAACACAAATTGGGTACACCGCGGCGATTCACCAACATCTATATCAAGAATCTGAGCGATGAATATGATACGGATGATAAAGTAAGAAACTTGTTCGAACCTTTTGGCTCAATTACATCTGCTGTTGTAACCAAAGATGATGATGGAAAATCTAAAGGTTTTGGTTTTGTTTGTTTCGCCACTCCGGATCAAGCTGAACAAGCTGTTAATGCATTGAATGGCAAAGATATGGGCAATGGTGAGTTGATGCTTTTCATTTTTTGATGAACATATTTTTATATTCATTACTTTTCAGGCAAACAATTGTATGTTGGTCGTGCACAAAAAAAAGCTGAACGTGAAGCTGAATTGAAACGAAAATTGGAATTATTGAAAATCGAAAGAATTAATCGTTCCCAAGGTGTCAACTTGTATGTGAAAAATCTTGAAGATTCGGTCAATGACGAAAGATTGCAAAAAGAATTTAGTGCTTATGGTACGATTACATCAGCCAAAGTTATGACCGATGAAAAAGGACGATCAAAAGGTTTTGGCTTCGTTTGTTTTTCCACACCCGAAGAGGCGACCAAAGCTGTTACCGAAATGAACAATCGTATCATCGAATCGAAACCATTGTATGTTGCATTGGCACAACGTAAAGAGGATCGTGAAGCACAGAAATTGAATACAATGCGATTTGGCGCTCCAAACGCTCGTTTACATCAACCGATGCCACCACAACCTGGCCATCCTCATCATCCGCTTGCTCCAGCACAGATGCCATTTGCTAATCCTGCTTCATTGGCTGGATTTGCTGGTCTTCAAGGTCAACCCGTGCAAGGACCACAATCACAGCCTTACTTGTTGCCAATAGCACCGAATGCTCATATGCAACGTGGTTATTACCCATCGAATGGACCAGCTGCTATGCCACCAGGAAGCCAAGGACCTCCAGGCGGTATTCGTATGGCTCGATGGAATACAAATGCCGGCATTCCCCGTGGCCAAATGTCTTACAACCAACAAGGATTTCAACGAAATATGCCACCACGTGGACAACATCAAAATATGCCTCGTCCTGGAGTTGTGCAAGGACCTGCTTCTAATCAAGGTGGTCCTAGACCATATGTTGGTGGTCCTGTTACCGCAAACGGTGCTGTTAATGTTCGTGGTCAAGGTCGTGGACCGCAAACTGGAATTCGTGGCCCGAGCAAATCGATGGTAGCAACACCCGGTGGTCAACCGTTGCCATCACATGGCGTACAACAGGCACATCTCGCTCCGATACCGATTTTGGCCGAACAATCAGGCGAGGATCCAACACAGTTACTTGGTAAGTTTTTTAACAATGAAAATCACGGAAAAAATTATACACAGAAATCGTATGTGATGATATCTATCCGGAAATTGGTCTAAGATTTGTTAATCTGGTCAGAGCTAGAAATAGCTGAACCCACTGACCGTTAAGGATGGCATTTCGATGGCGACAATCATGCTCCCTCGTCTGAAACTTTTTCAAAGATATCTCCAACCATATATTTTGATGACTAGAAATTAAAATCAATTATTTCTTTGTACGCATAGGTGAACGATTGTATCCATTGGTACAAAAATTGCAACCAGAATTGGCATCCAAAATCACTGGCATGTTGCTCGAGATGGATATACAGGAAATTATGCATATGCTTGATAATCAAGAAAGTCTTCGTTCTAAAGTTGATGAAGCATTAGCCGTATTGCAAGCTCATCGTGCCAAAGAAATGGTTAAAAAGGAATGAATTGATCGAACAACGACCATCGGTACACAGCCAAATAACTAAAAAAATGCAGAGAAACTAAAACCGTAACAATCCTTCCTTTAAATACCACTGATGATGATGAAAAAAAATTCTTTTAAACCTGAATACACACACACAAACACTACAAATTTAAAAACACCTATCCAAAATTCATACAAACACACATTCAGTCTAAAAATTCTGAAAATCAACTTAACAAAAACATTTAAAAAATTTTACAAAAAAATAGCAAAATTTTACAAAAAAACTAAAAATATGTCCACATCGTCTTCCATCTGTGAACAAAATTTTCTTTATGAATGATGTAATTCAATGATGATGGAAAATGAATGCAAGAAACATTTCTATTTTTGTCTAAATGATAATGTTTAATTTTTGTGAAGAAAAAAAAATTTAAAATCAAAAGTTTCATTTTCAAAGAATAGATGGTAGCACTTTTCAGATTTGAGCGGTCGCAGTATTGTTATCAGTGTTTTATTAGTATTGCCGCGTTTTTCAACGGATTTTTTATTTTGGATTGAAATTCAATCACATGTTCCAGATGAACTCTTTTGTTTACCATGGTTTTTAGGATCCATTTTTGTTTTAAACTAATTGGCTTTCATCGTTCATTTATATGTTATAATCACTAATGATTTTTTTGTCATGGCTAAAATTCATCCCGATATCAATGATCATGATCGTCGATGTCCAAATAATGGATTTAAAGTGCAATTACGATGCTTACAAATGAAACACGATGATGGTAATGATGATAATAAACAAATGATTAAACAAGAATCATCCACAACTACGCTCGAACATGATTTGAAACCAATTGTGTTTGATAACAAAAATCCTTCAGTTGGAGTTAAAATCGAATCAACAACAACAACATCTTATTCGTTAAGCTATGAAACGGATCCATTATTGAGTAATATTATGAATAAATTAAATATATCGGGTAAAGTGTTGACCACACCTAAACGCAATTTCGATCATTGTATACGTTCATTACCAAAACCTGCATCATCGGTTAATGACAATAAATATAAAACAAATTCAATGTCTAATATTGAGAACATGAAACAGACATTTAATCATGACAGTTTTGATCATGAATCGTCAGTCATCAATGTTGTTTCTGTTGATCAAAATAAGGATATTGACTCAAATTTAATTCTCAATCGTTTATATGGTGATGATACGAGTAGTAGCTATTCTAAGACCAATTTCGAATTTCATCGCTCGGATGCATTACGGCGACAAGAATTACTAAAACAAAATGTCGATCTTGTTCGTTTGTTTGGCAAAATAAAATTTGACAATTCAGCCGACGACGACGACGACAATATTAATCAATGTGATAATCTAGAAGTTGATGACGATAATGATAACAACGAAAACGACAATATCAAAAACGACATCCAATCCAAATCATTTAATTTAGAACGAACTCTAGATAATAATTCTATTAATAAAATGATACGAACATTTTCAGCTGATGAATCAGTTGCTGAAATTGCACCGGATGATTTGGAGCCCAAATTCGCTAAAAACATTGATTTTGAAATTCTTAAACATCCGAATTCTCGACAATTTCGTTGGAATTCGACATCAAAAAAGAAAGAATCTTCTGGCAAAAAAATTCCCCATCGAGCACATGAAACATTAAAAAATAATCGTTCTCCATTAGTTGCATTGAATCTTGATTCAAAATTTGATTCTGTACAGACAACCAATGATGAAAAACCTAGCAAATCCAAATCATTGCCAAATTCTTTGAATAATATTGAAAATAACAAATCTAAAAATTCCACAGCAAATAACAATGAAGCAAAAGATTTAACTTTTTCATCTTCATCTTCGTTACCGAAAGCAGTATCATCACCCAATTTTAGTGAAGTGCAGAAAATTGGTTCAAAACATTTAATGACTAGTAAAAATAAAAGTGATACGATAATCAAAAAGAAAACGAAAATATCGACTTCAAAAAAGAAAGAATCTTCTAGCAAAAAAATTCCCTTTCGAGCACCTGAAACATTAAAAAATAATCGTCCTCCATTAGTTGCATTGAATCTTGATTCAAAGTTTGATTCTGTACAAACAACCAATGATGCAACAGCTAGCAAATCCAAATCATTGCCTGATTCTTTGAATGATATTGAAATTGACAAATCTAAAAATTCGACCGCAAATGACAATAAGGCTAAAGATTTAACTTTTTCACCTTCATCTTCATTATCGAAAGCAGTATCATCACCTGATTTCAGTAAAGTGCAGAAAATGGTCGAGAAAATTGGTCCAAAACATTTAATGACTAGTAAAAAGAAAAGTGATACGATAATCAAAAAGAAATCTGCTTGTACAATCAATAACAACACAAATGCTTCAACAAATAAAGATGACCTCAAAATAGAGAAAATTTCTGTCAATAATAAAAATTATCAACTATTAAATCAGATTGGTAAAGGTGGATCATCTATTGTTTATCAGGTCTATGCACCGTATGCTATGAAGTTATTGGCATTGAAAGTAGTTGATTTAAATAATGCTGATAAAACAGTGGTTGAAGGATTTCGTAGAGAAATTAGACTTCTCAATCGTTTACGGAAATGTCAGCGTGTTGTACGAATGTATGATTATGAATTTCGTAATGGAAACAAAGAATTGTTTATTGTAATGGAAAAAGGAGATGCCGATCTTTCACAGGTACTTAAATCACATTTTCAATTATCATCATCGAAACATTCACCTCATGTTATACGATTATATTGGCAAGAAATGCTTGAAGCTGTGAAAGAAATTCATGATGCCCAAATTGTTCATTCAGATCTAAAACCAGTCAATTTCATTCTGGTTTCGGGTACTTTGAAACTAATCGACTTTGGTATTGCCAATACAATTCAATCAAATCAGACAAATGTGTATAAAGATTCTATTATTGGAACAGTTGATTATATGGCACCGGAATCAATTCAGAGACGTTCTGAACATCAAAACAAAGTAAAATATAATCAAAAAGTAGATATATGGAGTCTTGGCATCATTCTATACAATCTTGTATATGGCCGTACACCATTCTCACGTTATGATTCAAATATGTTTCAAAAAGCTATGGCAATCGTCAATGATAATATTGAATATGAACCGATTGATGATGATTTATTACTCGATGTTATCAAGGTATGTAATTAAAAATATGGTTGTTTTCTTTATTTAAAATCATTCTTTTTTTTTGGTAAATACAGAAATGCTTACAGAAAGATCCGAAAAAACGACCTACAGCCAATGAATTACTTAAGCATCCATATCTAACATTACAGAATCGGACCGATATGTTATTGGATTCATCATCAACCAAATCTAAGCAATCGGAATGTCAACAAGCAAACACTAATATACCCCCGGAATTATTAAATCAGATGAATAAACTATCTCCGAATACATTGCGAACATTTACAGAGGTATATTTAATTTTATGGATTAATCATTTTCTTAATTTTACTTTTCTCAAACAGTTTATTTCGAATTTCACCAAAAAATGATCATGGAATGGATTTGGATTATTTGGATTTTTAAAATTTTTTTAGTTAATAATAAACAATTCTTTCAATGTATTTCAGTTTCAACGTATTTTAACAGTCGTTGATTTGTATCACTAGGAGTCATTGCCCACTAATATAACCATCCGTACGATAATCAATCATTGAATGTAAATTATTTGATTGTTGTTGATGTTGAATACTGCTTTCGTCATTTTTGGTAACACTAACACCATAGTTGTGTTGTAACAATGTCTTCGTTGTCGCCATCATCATAGCATAGACACCAGTATCTAACCATAATCGATTTGTCGTTAACGTTGAAGCATCTGTGTAATCATCATTATCATCCAATTGTTGACTACTTCTGTTGATTTGTTGTTTATCATCTGTTGACCATAGATTTTGTCGATCAAACATACGAATTAATAGATCAATGTAAGCACGTGGAAAATTTGATTCATAGAAAAATGTATCCGGAGGTTGATAGAAAATTCTTGATTCATCTAATGAACTTTTTAATGTTTGACAATTGAGAAAAATTTTGTTCATTACTTGAACAGCAGCTGATAATGATTGTAATGGTCCACGGCCACCAACGCTGCCAATGATTAGATGAATGATTTCCTGTTGGACATCTTTAATCAATATTGGCCATGATACTTGCGAATGGATTTGAAATGTTTCATCATTATCGTTGAAAATATCGTGCACCATTCCTGTACGTTTGGAAATGAATTTATGTTTACCTTCAAACATTGATCGCCGTTTAGATGTGGTCAACGTAACTACATCGCCTGTACGTCCATCATAAACGGTGATTTGTACGTTATGTCCTTTCAGTTTTTCATTCGGAATTAATTCCTCATATATCAATGATTTTTTGATGTCAAAATATTCCATATTTCGTTGATTCATTTTTTTTGCAGTACTTTCAGCTATTTGTTTGGCAATTTGATCAATATAGATTTGATTCAATAGATACGATTCATTCGATTGTTTCGCGCGAAGTTTAGCTAATGCTGCTGCTCCGAATTGAATCGTATCAAGTAGATATTGAAATTCTAATGCACCTTCTTTCAAAGATCTAGCCCGATTATCATCATCGTCATTGAGAACATGACAATTCGAACCGGAATCTATTTCATTATATGTAAGTTTTTCTAGGATTTTCATCATAAATGCCAATGTAATTGCTTCGTTTGAATTTTTCAAGCTTCCAGTCAGAATATTCAATTTTGAATTAAACATTGAAAATACAAATGGTTCATCGATAGTAATCAATTCAGTGTTGGTAAGAAATGAACGAAATTCTTGAATCGAAATTGTTTCATTTAGTTCTTGATTTATTTCATCGACGTAACTTTCCTGAAATAATGCCATAGATCCATTGGCTGAAATTGATCGTAATATTGCAGCTAATGAAGGATTTTTATACATTTCACCGTCATTCAATAAACGTTCAGTTGAATTTATCGATCGAACAAAACGATCGCGAATTATTTTAAATTCATTTAAAAGTCTTTTATCATTGGCACGAATTTCTCTTGCCAAGTGTTCACTAACTGGTGAACCATTTTCGGCCAACCATAAAGATGGCATTAATATTGTAGGCCAGGAAACTTTTCCAAAATTTTTCCAAAGTAATTGGGCTGCAATCGGTAGAACTGGATATGATAGACTAGGTTTTTTTGTCGAATTTGATTGTTTCAATGGAAAGCTTCGTTCCATCACATCGAAAGTATAAGGTTTTTGATTCGAATAAACAAGGCCGCGAAAACCGGAATCAAATCCAACTAAATGCGGTGATGCCATAGTCACACAGAATAATGATGCTAATGCAGCATCCATCGCTGAACCATTCCTATTCATTAACATTTCACGGCCGGCATCAGCGCAGCTTGGATATTCATTATCGCTAACAAGGACAGCAAATTTTGAATTAAAAACTTCGGGTAAGGGTGATTCATAGAACCGAGCAGCAAAATATTCATCCCGCTTAGCTTTCAATCGTGGTAGACCGAATATCAATGTTACCGTAACAGCAGCGATAAATAATAACATCGAAATGGCTGCAATGAAAAATTGTTTACGAGTAAAATATGTACGTGGATATCTGGTATCAATCAACATGGTACGTTTGAAACCATATGATGATGTTGATGCACGATTTGATTGAAGTGTACCATAACGAGTACTTGAACTGGCACTATTTGGATTGTTAGTCATTAATGAAGATGATGATTGAGGTGTTCCAGTTGATGACGACGATGATGATGATGGTGATGGTTCAATTGCTTTACTCATTTTTTCCGATTGTTTTTCAGCAAAAGTATTTCGGTGACGAATCTTATTATTATTTTTATTGACCATCAATGAGGTTGTTGGTCGCAGATCTTTTAATTCTTGTTGATCGTTATTTTCGTTATCATCATCTTGAAGCAAAGGTTTTGTTTCGCTCATTCTCTGATTTGTTTGTTTTTTTGTTTTTGTTTTAATATAAAGCAAATTTTGAAAAATGTTTCGTTTTTGCTCAACAAAACAAACAAATTATTTTGTCCAATAGTTTAAGCTAAATGATATCAGTAGGGTATGATGATGTGATTGTGTAGGCAAACATGCAATACATTAATACACAAAAACACATGGGCCAAATCATCATAAGCAACAAGTTTTATCTAAAATAATCAAAATTGATGATTGTTGATCGATTTTTATCGCATGCATGTTTATCGCTGATTAAACAATTCAAATCAAATAAAGATGATTTCCATTACTGTTGCGTAGTTTTCAATGGTTGCGAATCACTATGCAATATGATAACATTTTTACTATCATTTCCAAAATGACAAATAGAAAAAAAAATTCATAATCTGGAAACGATAAAAAAAACATGAATTTTGAAAATAATAAGGAGAGAGCCATCTATTGATCAGAATTCTTATCACATTGAAAATAATTATTTAGCTTTAAATGATCCAAAAAAAAGAAGCAGCACGCGCCCAACAGAATATACGCGTTTTGGATGAGAAGAGACAAATACAATTGTACATTACCACCCCTCCTATATATATAAATGACATCAGTCACACAAATACACACACAATAACAAACCGATGGCCTAACCTGCGGGTTTCATATTCAATTTATCCCAATCTGTCTGTCCAACCGATTCGTTCGTCCAAGCTACCCTGTTTTCCTCTTTTTTTGGTTGTGTTATTGAGTCGCATGTTTATTTTTGTGCGTGTGTGTGTTGATGTTTCTGTTTGATGCATGGATCAAAGTTCGAATTATCGTTCGATTCATCTGTCTATTGGACAATTATTTACTAAATAATAATCATTTTAGAAATTTAAATCAATTAATTTAGCATTTTTCATTTGTTTGTAATAGATTTATTGTGAAAATTTCATTTTATCCGTCCAATCATTTTTGTTTCAAAAAAACAAAAACAACAACAAAAAACGAAAGAATCCTATAGCTGCCATTTATTTGTATGTGTTTATTTTTTTCCCCACCAACTTAATCTTCATTTCTTTCTTAATTCTATTTTTTAAATAATCAATTTTATCGTAATCAAAATTCTTTTCTTTTTTTATTCATTATTATTTATTATAAATAGTTGGCACCTGTTTCATGAATTTGGGATTTTTGATTTATTATTACTGGTAAGTCATTTGTTATTCAATCAATGTTCTGGAGAACCATTGTTGTTTTATTTTATTTGTTTAAACGGTGACTTAGGCCCGTTATTTTTCCAATTGAATTTTTTTTTTTGATGATATTGTTATGTCAATCCTGTTTACATTTTGAGACGTCGTCATAGTTCGAGGCGAGCAAAATCTTGGCTTCAGCTTATATATAGTAGCTAGCGAACTCCATTAAAAATGATTGTGATTCTCTCGTTTCATTTGTAGTTCAAAATATATACATGTACACACACACACACATACAATACAGATATATTTTTTTAAAAAATATCTGAACTCTTAATCTTTAGGATTCGGGCATACCATAGGCACTGATATGGTATATGTGATAGCATGGGTTCACCGGAAAATTATAACCAATAAATAAAAATATGCGAAAAGTGAAATAAAAAACATTGGCATTTCTATATCCAAAGTGATCTGATCATTCTGTTTGGATTGCAAAAAAAAACTTAATTTTTGTTTTTGAATGAAAAAATGAAATCCTTCGATTCTTAGCATCAATTTATAACCTCTGTCTTTTTTCGACTTGATTCATGATTTAGATTTTTCAACCTTTCTTCTTATCAATTCTTTTTCAACAATGATGTCCGTAGTATTATTTGAATGGTGGAAAATTGAATGAGAATATTGGTAGTCAAAAATAAAGAAAATTTGTTTTCCTAACTGCATTTAAATTTTGTTCTTCATTAAAAAACAAAATTGCAATTAAAATGGCATCCACTGTTGATGATGGTGGATGCGAACCAGCATCTGAAGTTTCAATTGGTTCGAATGAACATTCAAAAACTAAAATCGCCATTGAATCATTAGCAACAAATATTGATAATAAATTGAATCTAAATGATCATATAAGTGATTCAACAATATCATCATCACAATGTCCTAATGATCATGAAACGACCACCAAATCTGAATCGCAATCTTCATCGACATTATCATCATCATCATCATCAGCTCAAACAAGCTCAAAAACAACAAGTAATGTAACAGCTAACCAAAACAATCATCATCATAACAATACCAATAATGTGCCCAAGTCTGGTACACCAATTCCAAATCGTGTATTCGTTGGTGGTATACCTGATGATGTAAGCATTTTATATTAAAATATTTCTGGTCATGATTATTTGTAATTTTATTTTTTTACAAATGAAAAGGCGACTGAAAATGATTTACGGCATTTGTTTGCGCAATATGGTCATATTAAGTTGGTCAAAATAATTAATGATCGTGCTGGCATCTCCAAAGGGTATGTGACACATTTTATGGCCTCGATGATGACATCTCATCGGTTTTTTTTTGTTCGCACACACACATTTTCATTCATAAACAGTTATGGTTTTGTTACATTCGAACGTGCTGATGATGCACAGAAAGTGATCAAAGAAGCTGAAAATATGATCATTAAAAATCGTAAACTCAACGTTTCGGCAGCTGTGATTAAGAAGCAAGATTTTCCATTAGGTATGTAATAAATGTGTTAACTATTGTGTGATTTTCCATTGGCAATTCTTATTTTATTATTATTATTATTATTATTATTTAAAGAATCGAGAATGATGCCGACTACTGGAATGTTGTTCTATCCACAGATTTCTACATTTGCCAATCCTGTTACGGCTTCAGCCTCAGCAGGCTACAATCATCATCCATACTATAGTGAAAATTATCCCTATCCATTGATCGAAGGATTACCCTTTGCCATGCCACTGGCCGCGATGAATGGACATTTCATTCCTGGACCACCTCCATCCGGAAATGCCTGTGCTCCTCTTTTGACATCGCCAGTTTCTGCTGCGGCTTCCCAATATATTGCAGCTCAACAACCCCCACCGACAGCTTCAACTCAAACCTATTCTCCAGTCACTCCATATCCACCAGCGTGTCCAACAGCGCCCACACATTTTATCTATTCAGCCAATCCATCGGCCAATTCATCTTCCATTGCGATCTATGGTGGATCACAGCATTCAACACATATGTTAACAGGATCAGGAACTAACCCAAATGCTGTCATGAACGTATCGCCTGTCTTTCCCACACCACCATCGCAAACAACGCCATATCCATCTAATGTCACTGCCACAACTAGTACGACATCCAATACTGGAAATAATGGTTATCAGCAAATGAATGGCGTTAATGCCACTGGTGGACATCCAGCCGGAAATTCAGTGCCAATATCATCATCATCTCAGGTTTGTTGCAGTTTATGATAAAATTGATGTTTTCTTATATTCATTCATTGATTTCGGAAAACAGATGAACGTGGGCAATAGTCAATCACAACAGCAGCAATACTTGGCATATTCTAATTCGCTATCGGATTCAATGGTGGTCAATTCCAACTCTCCGAATAATAATGCTGGTATGATGATTATGGCCGGTGGTCATCCATCGCATCATCAGCAAACATACGCAACATATCCCTCATCAACAAATCCTTCTATGAAAATGGATGGATTGGTCGATATGGCATTGGTATCATCTTCGATGGATTCGACAAATGCCGCTATGGTCCCTCATCCCATGAGCACTCATTATGCCAGTCATATGCCTAATGCTCATCATTACATGCAACCACCGCAACCAGGTGCTCATTACATGCATATGGCAGGTATGGGTGGTGTTGAACTACATCCCATGTGGTCATCATCGACAACAACCTCCACCACTTCAGCTCATGGTCATCATCAAAATAATGCAGCAAATGTGCCTAATGGTCAACCTTCCCCACAAAAGTTACCTGTGGCCGGAAATTTCGCCGTTGTGCAACCACATACAACAACTTCAGTGAATGGTCAAAAATCAAATCAACCGCTAATAACGTCTGCAACAGGATCAAGATCCCAATATCATGGTCATTACGCGAATAAACGATCATCACCGCCTGTATCCCAATCAACTTCTTCATCGAATCGATCATCATCATATTCGACTACTAACAATGTTCAGTATAATCAATCGCTAGTAACCAAAGATAAGATGGCTGTTCACAGTAGTCGCCATACAAATCAAAATTCGTCTTCGTACAACCATAACAGTCATTCTAGTTCTTCATACAACAACAATAGTAGTAATGCTAGTCATCATAATAAAAAAATATACCACAATAATAGCCATCATTCATGGAATTCGAATTCACGAATTCCATCGAACAAAGTATTGAATGGCCATGGTCATAATCGTGGTCATAATTATCATGATACTATGGCTATAGCAGATATGGCGAAATCATCATCATCATCATACAGTAGTGGTCATCATTATCCACCTTCAAACAACCATAAAACATCATCGGATATATATTCCAATAATCACAATCGAACGGGTAATGGCCATCATCAATATCCGTCGAGTGCAATAAAAACTAATCATTTGGTACATTCATCATCTACTTCTTCGTCGTTGCAACCGCATCTCCAAACCTTTGTTACGAAAACGATCAATGGTGTTCAGATTTATGCATTGGCCAATAGTAACAATACAACCTCTTTAGATGCTCAATCACAAACAGTACCTGGAAATGGTGTCTCGAATGGTAGCATTTTAACATCGCCTCCATCATCATCATCATCTTCACCATACAAGACATCAACATAACTTAGCATTTGAGAAAAATACGAACGACGATCTCACCTCGAAACCGGAATTTGAACATTCCAAGCCCAATCAGGAAATGACAACCACTTGGATCACCACCATCATACCATTTGTCATTGTTAAATTCTCTCTACCGTTTTCGTTTCGTTTATCTCCTTTTTGTTTTGTTTCATTTTATTATTATGTTCTGTTTCCGTTCCATTTTATATGATTATCCCGTATCCATCTTTTTTCTCATTTTCTCTGTAGCGTTCTGTCTTTGTTCAATATACACACATAAACACACCCTAGTCACATTCATGCTAAATAGGCACATATGCCCAGCATCTACTGCTACTTTATCAAGGTATTTATCTTCGTTTTCTTTAGTATTTTATTATCATCCTTTGTTGGTTGACAGATCTTATTGTTTTTTTTTGGTCCAGAAGTGGTCGAAATTTGAAGAAAGAAAAAAATTCAACAGACACGGTTTTTGTTTCTACTTAAAATATCCAGTTCAACAAACACGCCCAAAACCCAAAATCCAGATTGATTATAAACGTGTGCCTTTGTCATCGTTGTTCATAATTTTTGTTAAATAATTTTCAACTCGGTCAATATCGATAGCTAATGATTATTTACTTATCACGGAAAATTACCTGAGCATGCATATAAACCGAGGTTTGCTTTCGTTTTTTTCGATGAAATCTTATTTCAAATTCTGGTTAGAAGAGGAGTAGTTTCACTAATATCACACTACGACTCCTTTTTTTCGTTTTTCTAATTGTAGAATCAATGGCTGACTGGATAATCTTTCGTAACCTGTTGTCAATTGTGATAACCGAACATACATACATATGCATACACACACACACCCAACACAACACAATCAGTCAATTTTTTTCTTGTGTTTATTGCCAAAATTAAAACAAGTTTGTAATAACACAAAAATTTGTAATACAAAATTAAATTCAACATTCACACAAAAAACAATAGCAGTAAGAAACGATCAAATAAATGAAAAACAAGCAAGACAGAATTTTTCTGGGAGAATTTTGAGAATAAAATAATTAAAATTTTAAAGCAAATGTAAACCAATGTCCATCTTCATAAGGTTATGGAATGATTAAAACTTTGCCTGGGTTGAATAAGTTCTTTGGATCCATAGTTTGTTTAATTTTTTTCATAACTTCTAAAGAAAAAGCATCGTGTTCTTTCTGTAAGAATTTGATTTTACCACGACCGATTCCGTGTTCACCGGTACAGGTACCTCCCAATCGTATCGCTTCTCTATAGAAAAAGTTTTTTATTTAAACATCCATGATATGTTTGAATAAATTCGACTTACTCGGCAATCATTTCGCTGATCATCAAAACATTGCCAGTTTCAACACTATCATTCGGATCATAAGTAATGACGGAATGAAAATTTCCATCACCTACATGACCAAACGACGAACCTTTAATATTATATTTATCTAGATAGTTTCGCATTATTAGGATAATTTCCGGTAATTTGGATATTGGTACGCAAACATCGGTGATCAATGCTCGGGTGTTTGGTCGGGTATCAAAATTGCGACATGCATAGTAAAGATCATGTCGTGCTTTCCATAGACGCGATCGCTCTTCCATTATGCTTGAATGTTTAAAATCAAGAGCGCCATTATCTAAAACAATTTCTTTAACCAATTCAGCTATTGACTCGACAACGGTCTGATTGCCAGCGATTTCCATAAACAAAGATGGCTTCACCAATAAGTCACCTTTACTGTATTGATTTGAAGCATGAATTGATTGACTATCCACGTATTCGATTCGTGATAAGGGTATTCCATTCTGTAGTAATAAAACTACGGTGTGGATTGCAGAGGCATTATCTTCAAATGGACAAACGCATAAACAAGTCTGAACAGAAAAATAACAATAAATCCTCCTAAATAAAATTTAAATATGATTTTTAACAAACCGATTCAGGTATCGGATAAAGACGTAAAGTCAGTTGAGTTACCGTACCAAGAATGCCTTCACTCCCGACGAATAATTCGGTCAAATTTAAACCTGCAGCTGATTTTCGGCAACGAGAATTTATGCCAGCCGTTTTTATTACTTCACCGGTGGGCAATACGACTTCCATATTAAGGACATTTTCTTTCATTGTGCCATAGCGAACAGCATTAGTACCAGATGCATTGGTGGCTGACATTCCACCTAAACTGGCTGATGCCCCAGGGTCTATAGGGAAAAAAAGCCCGGTATCAGACAGATATTGATTCAATTCTCGCCATGTAACACCAGCTTCAACAGTACAATCAAAATCTTCGACATTTACTTCGATTATTTGATTCATTTTATTAGTTGCCAAACAAACACCTCCTTTGAGAGCGTTCACGCCACCTTCTAAACCAGTACCAGTTCCGAATAATGTGATTGCTACATTCGAATCGTAACATAATCGAGATATACGGCTTACATGATCGGTATTCAACGGCCATACGACAAAATCAGCCAGAACAGGACTGTTGAGAATTTATATATTTATTAAAAGGTTTTGATTTATTTGATTGACAATTCATATAATACCTGAAATGACTTTCATCGCGACCATATTGTTCCCGTACCGCTTCAGCTTTGCTCACATTATCCACACTGACAATATCACACAGTTGTTCATAAAGAAAAGCATTTTCTTTCAAATCCTATGATTCAATCAAGAAAAATTCATTTAAAATAAATTCTTTTAAAAATCAATAAATACATTGTGAATCGCTGTTGTACGAAAATATCTAGACGTACACCTTAAATTATTATCAATACGGCAAAGTTTAATATCATTTTGTAGATAATGGAATGATTTAGAGCGTACTAAATTGATTAAATGACGTAACATTATTTTTTTTTTGGTTGTAGAACAAATCAATTAACTTGATCAATAACGGATAACATAACGGGAATTTGTTTTGATTTATACCACCGCCATCAGGCGACATTGAATGCAACCTTGGAATTCGTATAAAATTCGTGTTTTCAAGTTATGTTTTTAAATATGTAATTTATTAATATTTCGAAATGAATAAATCAAAATGTTCAACGAAATCATCAAATGAAAAGATGATCATCATTTTCAGTGATTAGAATTAGAATTTAGTATTTACATCAATGAAGCAGTTACATCGATTTGTGTGCATATATTTAAATTGAACTAGAAATAAATGAGACGAGCATCAGCCGGATTTTGTTCGGCTGGACAATATGGGCATTTAAGCTTAGATCCATTGGATAGCTTGTTCAATGCATCACGGGATATAACATGACCACATTGTAGTCGCATCGGAGGATTTGAATCACAACTTTGTTGTCGAAGTATGGGGCATGCAAATATTGAATGATAATGACATTTACGAGTTACATCGATTTCGATAGGCAATTCATCGCGAGAACTCCAAACATCATTCACGTTTCTTTGTTGGATAGCCTGTTTGATATTGATCAATGCGGGTAATGCAATACATCCAGCATTAAATGTGACAGATAATGGAGAATCAACTGATACTTCCAGGAGAGAGCATGCTTCTTTAGTAAACATTTGACATATTTCAACCCAATTGTTTGAATCCAACAGATATTGATATGGAGATTTTTCAATGCCCGATCGCAGAAACATTAATGAACCCATCAGAGCTTTTATCTCTGCCTGGTATCTCTGAGCGAACGGTGTAAAATGTGTGCGTGAATAAGTGATCAATTTCCATTGGTTTTCGATTCCACCTCGCAATAATTCAATGAATTGCAACCGATGAAGCTTGAATTCAAAATCGCTATTGCTTTTTAGCAGTTGGTCACGATGGGTTTGAGCCCATTTCAAAGCTGGTTGTAAATTGTGATTTTTCAATGCATCTAATACAAATTGTTTATTGTAAGATTAAAAGTATAGTTTTAATATGAAAAAAACTTACCGAGTATTTTGTTCATTTTAATGTAAGGAATTTTATCATTCGTATCGATATCAAGCTTAGATTCCTGAATCAATTTTTCAGCAATATCCGATCGTCCTTGTCGCAAAAAATGTTCGACAATAACTTTGTTAAGAATTTCATTATTTTTGCCTTGTTCGAAAAGAAACTCATTGCCCACGCAAACATAGTCAGAAATAAAATTTTTATCGATTGCCTTGCCAATCCGTGATACGGAAGAATGTATATCTCGATGTTCGGTCGAGAATTGACTTATAATATTGCGAGTTTTTTTAATCACATTATCAAGCAACAATTGACATTGAATATCAGTCAATGGACAATCAGGAGCTAAAATTAGAACATAACAAAACAAAAAATTATGCAACGAACATTAAGAAAATAAACTTACAAGTCAATATGCTCAAATCTCGTTGATAGCTTTCAATCTGTTGTATTAATTCGGAAAGATTTTTTTCGCCATGATCTTTAAGACTTTTGAATTTATGTAAGACTTTTTCCGTTTCTTTTTCAACGTTTTCGATAGCATTAGCCATTTTGTTTCGTTTTTTTTCTTTAATAACTAAAAACGCAAAAAACAACTCAGTTATTATTTAACAAAAATTGTAACTGAGCAAGATGATCATATGATGAGTTGACACAAACATCAATACAAAACAAAAACATTTCGTTCATAGACAATAGGACAATGAAATTTATTTTTTGGTTCGAACTTTTTTTTTAATACAAAATCAATTTAAATATTATACTTGATTTACCGAGAATTCTTATTGATTGTTGAGACAATCCAATCACGATAACCAGATACACTAGTGAAAACGGCAGCATAATTTCTGGACACACAATCACTGATCGTCCATGAAGCGATGCCAAATTGTACCCATTCACCATTTTTGAGTCGACATTGAATTGGGCCACCAGAATCACCATTACAAACACCTTTACCACCTCTTAAATCACCAATGCAAATATGATTTTGAGTGATTGGCCAACCAACACCTTTCCAAATTTGACGACAAGTAGTGGAATTATGAACTGGTTGTGGTAATTTCTGCAAAATGTCTGTAACGACACGACCTGAAAAAGAATGAAAGGGAAAAAATAATGTCCACAAAAAAGCATGCCCATTTTTTACCTTTATTACCGCGTCCCCATCCAGTCGCAACGCATTCATAATTACTTTTAGGCACATCTGTTCTTTTGGCAAGACAGATTGTCTTCAAGTGTGGATCTTGTTGAAAATCGATCGGTTTTTCTAATCGCAATAATGCAATATCGTATAGTTGTTTGTTTCGATCATAATTTTCGTGAATAATAATCTGTTTTGGTTTGAAAAATTGTTGAATAGAACATTAATAGAGCAAAATAATTGGAATTTACCTTATCAACTTTTGACAAGCGTTCTGTTGAATCTTGCTTTCGAAGGTTATGTTCGCCTAATTTGATTTGCCATGAATATGGATAATCATTTCGGGTGAAACAATGGGCAGCACAAAGAACCCATCGATTAGTGATCAACGTTGCACCACAAACATGTGAATTGAAGTAACGAATCTGCAACGATGCCTGATGAGGGAATTCCATTGGTTTTGCATCTTTTCCGCCATAAATTCGTTTCACATCGATAGCAAAATCCGAATTACAAGTTCTCAATTTACTCGGATCAAATTGAGCTTGCTGAATCAATTCTAAGCCATGACAATCGATTGTGGCGAATGTTCCAAGTGCCAACCACAGAAAGATGAATAGAAATTGCATTTCGATCGATTAGCCGATAATGATCATGGATCGAAAGGGATGTGATTAACTGCTTCATTACTGAACCATATTTATAGCAACATGATAATTGACCATCTATGAATGCGACATCCCGGAAATAAATGCTCAGGGTTATTCGAATGGATAAATTAATGATATGACAAGATTGTTCATTAAAGATAGGTTCAATTTTAAATATAATCGATCGAATAAAACCAGGCTAAATCATGACATGGATTTTGAAATCGATAATCAGGAAAAACATCAAAAGCTGTGGATATCCGTGCATTTTTAATACAATTTAAAAACGATACAATCGATACTTGGTTATGCAACGTAAAGTCACATGGTCTTTAGCAATAACAGCAACATTATTTGTTCCAGATAAATCGATCAAGAATGGCCACAAACGCATCCGATATTGAAATCAAAACGTTCAAAGATTTCTTTATTAATTATAACAAATTGGCCGAAATGTGTTTCATGGACTGTATACATGATTTTACCTTTCGTGAAGTATCGAAACGAGAAGAAAAATGTGCTGAAAATTGTTTTGATAAATTTGTCAAATTAAACAATCGTATTAGTCAACGTTTCCAAGAGATACAATTTGCTCAACATGAAACCATTTCTGCATCAATTTCGAAATAGTTTTCAAATCTATCATAGCTATTCGGATCGATTCCAAAAAATAGTACCATCATCATCATCATTATTGTTTTGTCTCGTTTGTTTATATACAAAATAATACATTCGCTATACAATGAATGAGGTCAATGTAATAATCCTTTTTTTCCTAAACCAATCATAATCGATTTACGTTATGAACAAAATTTTGTTTAAAAAAATTTATAATTAATAATTAAAATTAATAAATAGTTAATTGCAAAAACAAAAACGTTTTAAATTATTTTTCATTTGTCTGTATATAGATGGCAGTATTAAAGTGATAAATATAAAAAAATTCAAAATTCTATGCATACGATCTTACATAACTTGATGTTGCACACCTTAAAGTGCAATGGTTAATTGTTTTATATGTTTGTATGATCGGTAGGTAAGTAGTTTTATTTGTTAAAAACCAAAGAACTGGTTCGTCATCGAATGTAGTTGCTGTTTTGCTATAGTCTGAAATACCAATGAAAAAAGTCATCACATCACGGGAGGGTTAATGAAGTTCATTTTATTGAATTCTTTCGTTTTGTTTGAAAAAAAATTCAATGACTGACGACAAATGACCATCAATGATGATTATTTAATGGATTCTACGCGTGTGTGAACAACGGGTTTTTGAAAGAACAAAAATTAAATGGAATCATTAATATAACGAATAACGAACGGGTAAAATATACGTACTTTATTTACATATATTTGTACGGTTGTGGAAAAAAGTATTGAATATGAGAAAAATGTGTGTATACGAGAAATAATAATCATGATCCCAAAGCCAAACATTTTGGCCGTTGGAACTTGAACATAACAAACCAACCAAAACAACAACCGCTGACTTCGCTTTTTTTCTTTTTATCCTTCTTTCTCTCTCATTCACTCTGACCATCCACATGTCTGCCATTTTTATCTAATATATAAAAAAACCAAGCTATTCTATCTTTTGCATTCAGTCTCGTCGTCACCTTGACTGACGTGAATGAACTGTGTTCAGTGTGTTTTGTATATTGGCGTGTTTGCATGGTGGCATTCTCAATTGTTGATGATTTCGAACGAGTATTTCATTTGCCCGCGCGGCCTAGTCTCGCTCTCGCGCGTTCATTTTTTTTTACAATTCGTTACAATTGTGTTTAAAAAATCTAAACGGCAAAAACTTATGACATTAGTTTTCCATTCAATTTTGTGATTCAGTCTCTCATTGATGGTGATTGTGTTCACTTCGGTTGTGTTTATTGTATAACATCATATTAGATGAAAAAGATCATCATATCCGATGAAATGAATGATGATGATGATGATGATGAATTATCTTTTGAATCCATTTTGGTTATGATAAATACAATCTGTTCGCGGTCACAATTGTACATTCCATCAATTGCTTAATATCACGTCACATTCTTATTAATATTCGAATTTCCTCATTCGTCCATCACCAATTTCAATTATTCTCAGTTTTGTGTTTATTGTCATTATAATTGGAAAAAATAACGAAAGAAATCCTATCGTTTATTATTGTGTTTTGTGTATTTTTGTTGTTGTTGTTCGAGAATAAAATTTAAATGAAAAAAAACACTCATGTCGAACATCGATCACATTCATCATGTATGTCAACAACAAATATACATGTCTGTGTTTGTTTTGCTATTTGCAAATATTAATTAATAATGAATGTCATTGATTATCAATTGAATAAATGATAATCAATTTTAATTGATTGATTTTGGTGGAATTTATCAACATTGAAACAAACTTCCGATTTTATAAATTGATAACATCATTTCTGAAAAGACGATATATCACCGATTTTTATCGTTATCGTTTTCCTTTTCTTTTGTTTATAATATTTATGTGTGCATGAATAAGAATCACAATTAAAATCGCTATAAGAAAATCTTGTTAAATTGAGTTGTTCACTATTTTTTTCCCATGAACAAATTGTTTTCATTTGAATCATCATTTGAATCTTGTCGTATACTTGTATATATGTGAAACACAACGAGTTTTCTTCTTGTTTTTTTTTTGGTTTTTGCCGCTTTTAATGTTTGTTCTGTTTGTGTGTTTTAATGTTATTATTATTATTTTTTGGTTAAACGACAAAAAAATAAATAACATTATCCAATAAAAAAGTGAAAAAGACAAAGCAATGTTCAATATATAGTCATCACATTATCATCACTTTCATCATAAATTCAATATCAGAAAAAATTGATAATAATCTTGATTGATGAAAAAAAAACAAAATGAAAAGAAAAAAATTTCATTTCCTATGTCATATTTGAAATATTATCTTCATCATCATCATCATCATCATATGGCTTTAATCAATAATTTTTATTGAAAAAAAAAGAAATTTACAATAAATTGATAATTTTTTTTCTCTCAACTAACAAACAAAACAATTAATGTTTTGATGATAACGAAAATATCTTTAATAGAATATGAAAGTATTCATCAATTTTGGTGATATTCGTTGTGTTGTACCGGTTGGTGATGGCTCATTAACCGTATCCGAAGTAATTTTATTAGCAATCGAGCGTTATCGTAAAGCTATCACAAAGGTATGATGAATCAATGCAATTGAACCTTTAATAATAATAATCTATCAGAAATCAAATTTGATCGAAATATTCCTCACACACAAACACACATATTCGCATCATAAAAATCTAATTTCCATGTTTGTTGATTTTTGTCAGAATTTGGGCGAGGTACTATTTCGCATTCATCAACATCATCATGCTCAATTTCATTTTTTTCAAAGTTAGGTTTTAATATGGTCACCATCGATACCAACCAACAAAAAAGAAAAAGAAAACAACTTTCGTTAGTAAATTTGTCGCTTTTTGTTCCTGTGACACTATGTTGAGCTTGTGGTTGGTTGATTGGGGTTTTTTCTGCTGGTTGGTTGTCCTCCCTCTCTCATTTTTTTTCATTCATAAAACATTGGTGGGTCTTTTTCCTACTCCTCTTTATTCATACCACCACCACCACCACCACCAATAAATATGACCTTATATCGTGTGTGTGTGTTTCATGATTATAAAGGACATTAATTTGAAGCCCAACGAACAAACAAACAAATAAACAGAACAACCAAACATGCCAGGTGTTCGATGACGAACTTTTATGAAAAGAAACTTGAATCTCAAACATAATTTGACTAGGGCCATTTTCACTGTTTTCCCATTGTAGAATAGACCAATTTTGTATAATTCTTCAAATACAAAAACAAGGGATGGCACAGAGATCAAATCACCATTTTAAATGATGATAACATAAAATTTTTATAATGATAAAATTAATGTGAAAAAAACTAAATAGCTTTTCATCATTCATTAGGATTTTCTTTTAAAACATTCAATTAATTTTCATGATGTTCCAAATTGGATTCCGATATCTTTTGTGTTTGTGTGAATAGACACATTGCAGATGTTTCTTTCACTGAAATTTTCTGGAGAAAATTTCTCATTTCAATTACAATTTTGTTCAAGGACTTTTTTCCTTAAATCCTTTAAAAAAAATGTCGCCTACGTTAATTCATTTTTATTATATACAGTGGAAAAAAATTATTCAATTGTTCTTGATAATTCATTCATATCTCTATAAATGACTATTAATTCATCATTTAGTTTGTACCAATTTTTCTATTTTATTATCATTATCAACAAAATAAAATAACACGGAATCATTTAATCTTTAAATCATCCTACATGTTTTCATGTTTTTTTTTTGAATCAATGGTTTTTTTTACCAAAAATCTTTTATATAATTGTGAATCTGAAACGGGAGAAAATATATCTATTGAGATAGATTCGTTTTGATCATTTCCTATTGATAGATTGTGCCTACTTACTTGGATTTGTTTTTTTTGGAGTGGGAAAAAAACCTCTCATATTGATGGATCTCCACACTCCTATTTTTGCCTTGTTTGAATAGTCAACAATTTTAAAAATTAAATAAATAAATCATGAAAAATCATCATCTACCATAAATTGGTAGTCATACAATGTTGCAATTATTGTATTATGGCTTGGAGAAATAAACTTAACATAGTAACTTTCTTTGGCGTACATTTTTGAATATTTTTTTTTGACAAATTTTGTTGACTTAATCTTCCGGATGACGATTATGATGATCGTCGGTTATTATAGAAAAAAACACTCGTTTTAATTTGATTTTGTTTGTTTGTTTGTTTGATTGTAAATGTCGTCCATTCATCAACATTAATCATTGAAATATCCATGGATACAAAATCTCTAATACAAACTGGTAAAATGTTTTTCCACCTTTTTTCTTCTCAAACGATTTATTTGGCGCCAAAATGAAATTATTATTTAGATAAATAAACTCAAATAACATTCCAATATTTTATAATGATTGATTTGAATCATAATAATTCAAATTCAAAATTTTTTTTAATGATGATTTTAATGATGGAAAAAATCATCTTGTTGATTCATAATTTTCATTCATAAATTCGTTTAAAAAACAAAAATGAACGATGGATTCACATGACTTTTCAAATATTTCATTTGAATGAATGAATGATTGAATGTAGATAGAAAGAAAGTGAAAAACTTACTGAACCGCCTTTTTCCGTTTTATCAGATTACATCTTTCAATTCTGGATTTTATCTATGAATGAAAAATGTGAGAGAAAATTTCAACTGTTGTTTGCTGTTTAATGGTTTTTTTCTCATTGACAAACCAAATAAAATTGATGGCAAACATACGCGAACTATAGCGAAATAGACAAACAGATGGAAACCATTATGGAGTAGATATTTTGTTCTGTTTAATTTTGTGCGAAATATTCTTTTTGAAAATTCATTTTAAAATCACATTGAACATATTGTTGATTTTCTCTTCATAACTATTTTTGACAGTGTTTTTCTTGGTGATACATTTTGTTGTTGCTGTTGTTGATTCCCATTGATAAAATAGCTTTGACATTCGATACTAGCCCAAAGTCTTCAATTAAAATGTTGTCACATTTTTCTTTCCTCTTGTGTTTTTTTTTAGTTTTTAAAAATTATCCTAGTATTGTTCAAAACTCTGAGAAGAAAATTTACTTTTCTTCTATTCAATACAAAATTCATAACTATAGCGAACTAAAATATTCATATTCGGTTACCGAACTCGAATATTTAATAATAATTTGAAAATCGACTAATAAGACACACATATGGCTTATTTGGATCAAGTCAATGGTATTTAGGAAAAATAATCTTTGCCACACTTATGTTCATCATTTTTCAAATTTATATGTAAAAATAAACTTTGTTATATTCTGATTATTTTTTTTTCGAAATCCAATATAGAATATTCGGCTCGATCAAATAAAACATATTTATATTGATGTTTTATTCAGTTCAGTTTGTTTCGGTTCGGTTTGTTAGCTTTAGATGTTATATAAGTAAATATCATTAGTGTCAATGAGCCAATGATGATCTGACGGTTCAACGTTTTTCTTCATCTGAATTGTTTGTTTTGTTTGTATCTAGCAGCAAAAAAAACCACACAGTTCATTTCACTTTTCATTGTCGTGTATTGGTTAATGATATCTTGTCATCTGCAAGATATATTCATATGTTATTGTTTTTGGATTTTATTCAGTTCAAAGCCAAAGAAATCCTGTTCGAATGAAATGTTTGAATTGTTTAGACCCGAACATCTTATTCTTTAATTACCTATAAATAAAAGGATTTATTTTATTTTTTCGTCATTTTAAAATTTTCAAATAAATTATGATGCAATACATGACCTTTTAAATCCTTTTTTTCAAAATTTACAGACCATTGTGTCTTTTTTGGTGTTGCGCTTCATTTCTATAAAATCGTCTATACTTTGTATGTTTTAATTATTCTTTTATTTTATCAAATATATAAATTTTATATACATTTTGATCATGTTGATTTTTTTTAATACTGTTTCGAAATCATCAATCACGAAACATTTCGATGTTCATGTTTTTTTGTTTTGTTTCACTCACTTCATATTTATCGCCGGCGAAATGCCAACGACAACCATATAATATTATTGATCAATTCGAAAAAAATAAGAGTTAACGAAAGAGAAAATGGGAAGCAAATGAAGACACCTTATTGAAAAAAAGAACGTTTCATTTGTCCATTGATTAATTGATCATTTTTTACGCAGGATTTATCACCATGATTAAGGGCATGATTATAGTCGATTTAATAATTGGTTAAATGATAATCAATGGCCTTCGTATTGCACGTGTTTTTGTTCGATAAATTTTTTTCCTTCACTCCTTTATCTCTTCAAAACATTATAAAATATATCATGATTGATTGGTAAAATATCGATTAAATGAAAATTAATCAAATCGATTCATTCATTCAAAATGAAATCATTCATAAGAGATGATTTATTTATTTTTTTTGTTCAACAATTTCGATAATGCCGACGGCTTTTTTGTGATTGTTTTTTTTTGTCGGCCACTATTCACAATCATTACAAAGATAAAAAATAGGGAAATTGAATGTTTTTTTCATTTGACAAAATTCGGGCAAATTTCTCCAATTTCAAAAAAAATGTTATTGAAAAAAGGATCCACTCTTGAATAATCAGGAAAAAATAGCCAAAGAATGGCAAAATAGCCAATTATTAAAAAGAGCTAAAAAATGGAAATTTTCTTATCAAATCACTAATGATCGTTACCACCTTTTTTGTTGTTATTGGTGGTGGTGTCAACATTTCCTTAATGTTTTTTACAGTTTTAATAATGATAATAATCTTATAAATGATTATTACCAATTCAAAAATTTCTTATTATTATTCGAACATCATCAGCTATCATTATGTAGATCTTTTTGTTGTTGTTGTTGTTACTGTTTATCATAGTCATTATCATCATTATTATAGATTGCATTCAACTTAATATTCCTTTTTTTCAAACTTGTGGTATAATCAATTCAAATTAAAATCAATTTAATTTTTCGGCAATTTTCCATTATGTTCGTATCGGAAAGATTTTTCATCAATCTTTCAAATGTTTAGAATTTTATAATTTTAAAAAATGAAAAAAAATGTAGGAAGCCGGTAACTAGCATCATCATGATGATGAAAATCAAAAACGAAAAAAGCACTGACTGACTGACTGACATTAATCCTGTGTTGTTTTTTTTGTTGCTTCTGTGAGGAAAGATGAGAAGATTCGTGACCAATTTTTTTCCATTATGATAATGATTATAATCCAATGAAAAATTGTTGCCAAAATATTATTTTTCATTTATACACACACAGCACACAGCACCTATCTATCTTTAGCTATAATAAATGAATGGATTTGCATAATCCAATTGAAACTATTTATTGTTTTACCTGTTTATTATCATAACCTAATTTGGTTTTTTTTTCTGTTTTCTGTTGTCGATCAATATGATCACTTCTCAAATGTCGAAACAGATAGAATTATTTTCGGTTATTATTAATTTCTTCTTTCTTTTTTGACGATGTTCTGGATTTTTTTTCAAAAATTTATTTTGTTTCATTTTTTGTTTTCAGCCATCATCTTCATCATCGACTACAAATACTAAAATCATTGTACATACATTAAAAACATGTCGCGATGGAGCCATTCTTGATCCTGATGATCGACTATACGATGTGGCCGATGATCGTGAACAGGTATGAATAGTTTTTATTTTATTTTATTTAAACATCACAAATTGGATAGTGATGATGGTTTAAAGCTAAATTTAAATCAATAAATCTTAAAATATACATTTTTTGTTGTTTGCTTTCTTTCTTTCTCTTTATTGATCCATTCAAATATGTTGGCTACTAATTATTTATTCCAAATTCGACCTAGTTGATTGCTGTGTTTGATGAATATCCACAACATTCTTTAAATCTAAAAAACAACAACGAATCACCATCAAGATTGAGCTGTCAAGATCAGCATAATGATACGAATTTAGTCGAAAATATGATAAAAATGGCTCCTTCCATTCAAAATCGACAATCATCATTATCATCATCATTATCGACGACATCGAATCCTAAAACAAGCTATTTCCTATCAAATCAACAGCAACAATTATCTAGCCAAAAAACTATTTATGGTCATAGCATCAGCAATAAACCACCGTTACCACCACAGCATTACCATAGTAACAGTATGTCCGATTCGTTACTAGGTAATGATCAGATATTAATCAGACGACAACAAAAACATCAAAATGAGTCATTATTTTTACCTCATAATCGATTATCATCTCTATCATCATCATTATATCATCAGCATTCAAGTTCATTAAGTGACAATAAACCACAAGAAGTTCATTGTTCGACGAACAATAGCAAAATCACCGTTACGGATTGTTGCCTAGATGAAGCGGTGATCATGGCAACTGATGATGATTCCGGCTCAAATATATCTACATCCGATGAACCATTAGATGTAGAAATAACTGTCGATGATTCATCGATCAATACATATTCTGCAAATATTCCTGCCATGTTACATGTAAGACATGGTAGTGAACCGAATCTGAATCGTAGTTTTGTCCATAATTCAAATGATATTTCCATGGACAGTAGTGATCATACTCATCATCATCATAGACGAAATGCATCAAACGTTATGGTTGATGATGATGACAATGATCATAATCATATGAATGCCATCAAAATGAATGATCTCGAACAATCTAACTATCATCATCATCATCATCAATACAAATCAACAAGTAAACGTTGGTCAACTGCCATAGCTATTGGTGATAAAGCCGCAGCAACTTTAATCATGGGATCACCATCAAACAAATCAACAATCAAGCCATCATCTCATCATCATCATCATATGGTTAGTATTTGTTTTATATCATTTCATTAGGATGACTCCATTTAAATTCGATTAGCTATAGTTTTATTTTTTGAATACCTGTATATCATATATTTTTATGTGATTAGTCTGCTACCTGGTGGTATTCATACTTATATAAACATCATTCTACCTGTTCGTTAAGAGCAAAATAATACAAGCCACTTTATTCGAATGTGCTATAGCGAGTGAGAGAGAAAGGTTGTATTTCTGGCCAAATGAATAGATAGGATAGGATAGGATATGTGAGTGAAAAGACCACGACGACGACAACAACATCAACAAGTGTTTTCTTCTTCATAATAGAAATTTCATCTTAAGAATGTGTGCATTGTATTCATGACTATTCATTTCATTCTTTTTTTCTTGTTATTACAATGATAACATCATTGATCCATTCGACACCTGGCTACTAGTTGGTTTATTATGGATCGAGATTGGGTTTTATTAGTATTTTTTTTCTAGGTGTGTGATGTCTTATGTCATATACATGAATTTTTCAACTGTTTAATTGAAGACAATTATCAAATCAAATAATTATAATTTATTAAAAACAAAGCATTACAAACGTGAACGCAACATTTCATTGTATCATTCATTTCATTTTTTTGTTATTTTGGTATTGCGTCGTCAATGATGATAATGAGGATGGTGATTGCAACAAGTGTGTGTGATGATTATAATCATCATCCCATTGGTTCTTATCATCATCGTTCATAACTTTAATTGGAATTATTGTTGTTGACGATAAGTGCATGTGTGTTTTAATGTGTTTGAAATGAAATTGTATTTTCAAGTCAATTCTTTATATGCTTTGTGGCTGTGTTTAGCTTACACAATTGACACCTGATTATATCCACTCATATGTTTCCGAGATTTATCTTACCATCATATTTGTGAAAAAAATTGTTGCGTTTGACACTTTGTTTTTTATATTTGTTGGTTTTTGTGTATGTTTTTGGAAAAAATTGAGCTTATTTTGAATGTAAAAAATATATTTCGCTCCACATGCTTAGTGTGAGTTTTATAGATTTTTGAATTTGCATTTCCTATTTTGTGGTTTTCACTCATTTCATCTTTTTCTTTTTTAATTATCAATCAATGATAATAGGTTTCGAATTATGAACACTCCGATGAAGACAAGTCTTTCAGTCATTCAATCTCACCGCAAAGTACCAAAGAGGAGGGCTATGCTAGTGAAGAACAATCGGCAAATTCTCAATCTGATCCGCCACCTCCATCTCATCATCATCATGAGCATAGTTCATCTACTTCACCTTCCGGTTTGAATAGTCCGACAATGTTTCAACAGCAACAATCAACTTTTGCTCGTGGATCTGGCCGACTTTCAATGTTGGCACAGAACATGGATCAATGGGCTGATGCAGCCGATCGACAATTAATAAAATTGCAGAGTAACTCACACGATACCAGCAATAAAAATCATCAACCATCTGCATCTACATCTTCATCTGCCAATCACACTCATTCTTCACAACAGTATGCCAAACTTCTTCAGCCACAACAATTATGTGACAGTTCATTAGGATCAATGGGATCAAATTCATCGCAAGAGAATGACCATTTGACTATAGGAGATAAGCAACAATCTAATCGTATGACTGTGATAATCGATTTGACCAAACAATCAGGACCATTAGGAATTCATGTACTGCCTGACTCCAGTGATGGTTCCAGTTCTCGTCTTAAACGTGGTCTTGAAATTCAAAGTATCGAACCGGGTAGCCGTATTGATCGTGATGGTCGATTAAATGTGGGCGATATAATCATCGAAATCGATGGTCATCCATTCGCTGGATTGGAATTCGGACGAGCACAAGAACTTTTTAGATCATCATTATATGCCAACAACCAAATCCAGTTATCAATAATCAAATCCCAACTTTTCTGTGATAATTCAAAAAATCAACAAACTGAGCAGCGACTTCATCGACAATTCGTCACTAATAATAATGTTAGTGATGAATCTGATTCTAAACATTGTGACACTACATTAAAATCCGAATCAAACATGTTATTAGTCGAAGGTGAAGAACGATTCGGACCAATGACCAAATTAGCGACTGTAACAACAACAAAAAAACATTCACCTCAAGCTGTAACAACATTGATCGGATATAAACCGGCGACATCGGCTATTGTCATTGCAAATACGAGAAGAATCGGCAAAAAATTTCATATTCAATTGAAAAAAGGCGATCATGGTCTCGGATTCACGATCACTACCAGAGATAATCCGGCAGGTGGTCTTAGCCCAATTTATATCAAAACTATTTTGCCACGTGGTGCAGCTGTACAAGATGGTCGCCTTAAGCCTGGCGATCGATTGTTAGAAGTATGTGGCATTGAAATGACTGGAAAATCACAAGAAGAAGCAGTCAAAATTCTAAGGAATCTTCCTTCTGATTCGATTGTTGATCTAATCGTTTCCAGGCAAGAGGTCGAAGTATCCCCTAGTCCATTGATGCCCCGTCAATTGCCACCCGAAGCAGCAGATGAATCGAATTGTTCTTCCACTAAAATGGAACGTGAAGTAATGACGTTCCAAATACCTCTAAATGACACTGGTTCGGCTGGATTAGGAATTTCTGTCAAAGGTAAAACATTGACTGCTGATGGTCGACAACAAGATTCCGGGATATTTATCAAATCAGTATTGCATGGTGGTGCAGCTTCAAAAGATGGTCACCTAAAACAAGATGATCAATTGATTAATATCAATGGCATTCCATTATCCGGAAAAACCAATAGCGAAGCTATGGAAACATTGACAAGAGCAACGATAAAATCGGCTCATCAGATTACATTGACCATTGCACGACGTGTTTGTCATTCGCCATCACATCAGGTTTGTGATTCTGGTGATCATTCATCGTCCGAACATTATCCTCGACATCAACACGAATCATCCATTTTGAGCAATGATTCGTATGATATGTCTTTCATTCATCCTAATCAAACATCGATTGCTGAACAATCTCGAAATAGCAGCTATTCCCATGAGGATAGTTTTCAATCTTCAGCCGAGAATACCGTCATTTACAGTAAAAAACCTTTGATTGAAACAGATCGATCCATTCAACAATCGACAGTTTCAAATACACCTGCTTCTGCTCAACCACCGCTATCATTGAACGATAGTCAATTGTCATTAAATGATTCAAATGGTGGAGAACAATCATCTATATCAACAGACGACCGATTCCGACGTGATGGATTCGGCCGGCAAAGTATGTCGGAAAAACGTCATGCCCAATTAGATGCCAAAACTACCGATACATATCGAAGGAGTAAAAAGACCAAGGAACATCCAGCTTCTAATCAACAAGATAAATCGACCGAACATGGAAAGAATCAAGATGATCCAGTCATCAATAAAGGTAGTTTTTTTGTTATAATCAATTGTATTGATCAAACTTCAAATTCATTTATCCTTCTTATAGAAAATATCGATATTCAAACTCCAAAATCAAATTTAACTGCAAACAAAAAAATCAAATCACCAATTTCGAAGAATCAAATTCTTTTTTCTCCTGTTTGTTGTTGTAAGCTACAATATGAGTTCTTTATTTGGTTTCCAATGTAAATAATTTTTTTTTCATTTGTTTGTCACAATTCATAGGGAAATGTCAATCGCCTGGATCATGCCCATGTCGCAGTAAAAGTGAATTATCACCGGCCGACGTTTACCATATGAATGGATCACATTCATTACAAAATGCACGTGTAATGTCCGAACATCAGCAGCAGCTACTCTTACAACAAAAAGCCAATAACAATGGTGGGATTAATATTGTTGGTGGATCAACGTTGAGAAAATCGTGCAGTTTGGAATCATTACAGATAATGATGCAAGATCTGCAAAAAGAACAATTGCAAGAACAAGTTAGCGGCAGTAGTAATGTTGCAGCTAATTCTTCTGGTGGTGGTTATATGGGCCATCATCATCAGACCACTGGTCCGATTCGCATGAGTAAAAATTATCCAAGTGAAAGCTTTCGCGCTGCAGTTGATCGATCTTATGATATTAAAAATTATTTAAATACGACAAATATTCATTCAGGTAAACCGATGTTCAGTTTTTGCCAATAATCTAATTAATTTTGTTTATAGTTTCAGAAGAAAATGATGCTGACGATACTATGAGCCGGCCATCAACGTGTCCATATCGCGTTGGTGGTGGCCATTCAATGGCAAGCACCAATTTCACAATGGAAACCGCTACGACAACTCAAACAACGACGACAAATACAGATGATCACGCTAATCTTTTGAAATCGACTACTAGTTCGGCGAAGAAAAAGAAAAATTCGCTATTCAAAAACCTTTTTCACTTTGGATCGAAAAAAGGTCGATCTAAATCAATGGATCCTGGTAAAAATTCAATCAACAACAATAATAATAGTCCAGAATCATCCACGATTCATTCGTCATCACAAAGTGAAGAAATGAAACACTTTAGCCCAGATTATCGACATAAATATCAACAAGAGCAAGAACGAATCAATGCACAATACCGAAAATTATTGGAAGAACAAAAACAACGACAACAACTTCAACAGCAACAACAGCGTCAATCAGGTTTTGTTCGAAATCAACTACATCCGTTGCATCAATCAATGCCTTTATCGAATTCAAATCGTTCTAAATCTGGTGTTTCACCACGTAACCAACAACAACCAACCACTAAATCACCTCAAATATATGATGTTATGAATACTGTGGGCGTTCCTCATGCTCAAAACAAATCTAGTGATAATAGCACTGTTAAACCTACTACAAATGCATATCTTCGATCGCATCATCGAATACATCCGCAGGATTGTTCGCCCATGTTCAATGATGCTAATCATGCTCAATCGACACCAGAAAACCCGAGACATATGAGAATTAATTCGCAAGAATTCTACGTTCGTCAATCAATGGATAGGTCTGTTTTATTTTTTATTTCATTAACTTATCAAAATTGATTCAATGCTTTTTTACAGGCCTACTAGTCGTGTAACAGTTCCTGAAAATATCAACTACGGAACATATGGAATGATTAACAATTCTAATGCTCAACGTATTTATGGTACTGCTAATAGATTGTCTGTCGATCCAGAAAGGATTATCTGTCATCCTCAACAACAACAACAACAACATCATCATTATAGGCAATTATCATTACGAAATCCGCAACATCATCGGCAGATTTCTTCACCGGCCGCAACGATGACAACTGTCAATCAGAATTTTTACAAACAACAACAGCCAAGAGGAAATCATTACGTTTATGAACAGCAACAACAACCGCAATTACCGGTTCGTGATCAACGAAGCTATACAATTAATCCAAGGTCATATACGGCCAATTCTTACGGTCAGCTTATTAGTACTTCTAAATCTCCAAACATTGAAACAACATACGGAATTATAGGCCAACATCATAACCAACAGCAACGCACAATACCTTCCAATATAACAGGATCATCTAGGCTGCAGCATGCACAGACACCACATTCAAATATGAACGTTTTTCGACAACAGCAACCCATTTATCATTCCAATCAGGTACAAATATATGGTACTGTTTATAACAATCAAACAAAATCGAATAACCAACCATCACAACAACAACTTTATGCAATGTCAACTAAATTAAATTATGCGCCAATTAACGGTTTACCACCTTCCAATTAATCCACAGTAAGCCGAATTCGCCTGGTTGGATGAAAAGAAATTCTCATTTTTACTTTTGTCTACATAATAAAAAATAATTTTAAAAGACAAATTTAAACAGGAAAAATATTTCATTTTGTCCCTTGTTTGTATATTGAATTTTTGTAAATGTTTTTGCTTATCGGATTTTATAAACGATTTTTCATTTGTACAAAAAAATTGAATTTTTTTATCATTAAACAATATTAATTAATTATATCGATTGTTCATCAACTATATGTTCGATTTGGTTTAATTGTTCGTTCAGGTTTGCCATTGTTGAATGCCATTTTTTTAGATTTGTTTCGCCTGCATTAATTTGTGCATCGATTTGTGTGGCAAAATTTTTTGCTGAATGTGCAAGAATGTCATTTGTACGTGATGCTTTAATTATCTGTCGACATAGTGAGCCAACATTGTGTACATTTTGTACCATTTTTTCACATAATTTTATCCGCGAATCTTCATACAATGATCGTTGCTGCTGTATGGTTGTAAATTGCTGTCCGGATGACGATTGTTTCGACATGACTGCTTGTCGATAGTCGTTAATTTATGTATTTTTTATTATTCAAAGAGTTCTTTAAAATTCAACACAATAACAACAACAATGAAACACCATGTATTATCATCGAATATATCACTTACATGCAGTTGCAGTCAATGACAACAATTTCTTGGATACTGTGTGGATAATAATTCATGCAGATCGTATAGATTGCAATCACCTATAGGCTTGGTAACCACCATCGACCGTTTTTTGGATTGTATTTGTGTGTTTATATAAACACAATGTCCTTCAATCTGTCATAACGAATGAATGCAAAATAACCAGAAATTTATTTCATTGTCATTTAGTTAAAAGGAATGAAGTTAATTTTTTACATTATAAAATTCGAATATCAATGCGATCGATTATTTAAAAAAAAATTCTAGCCATTAAAACAATTTATATAATTTAAAATTTTAGTCATATGTTTAGCTATTTAAAAAAACCATCAGCCGGTGAGCAGTCAATTATCAATGGAAAATATGTGCATTAGAAATATGAAGCTTAGTGCATTACACGATAAAGTTCTGCTATTCGTGGCCATGGCTGGTTGGTTTACAATGGCTTCTATGCGCCGTTGTCAAAACACAACAAACAACCCAAAGTAAACGAAAAAGAAATCGAGCAACCGAAAAGAAATTTACAGCGTTGTAGTGAACAAACAAATAAATCTGTCAACAAAAAAAACTAATTTTATTTTTTTCCCTTAAAACTATATCTTTTATCGATATCTTCATTCATTTTTTCCGAGGAGATTGTTGTTGGTGTTTGTAATCAAGTTTACTTAATTTTCCAACCATAGTTTTCAATGGCTTTTAATGATTATAATTAATTGGATGATTTCTATTGCTTTTCGGATATCAATCGCAATTGTATATAATCATTCATAATGGTTCAATAAATGATGACTAATGTAGAAACTTGATACCTCATTCTAGAGGTGCCGTGATAAAGTTATCATGTTGTATGAACAATAACGACGAACAATATTTTATTCTATAATTTTGAAATCCTCAATAACGGATTGTTGATTTTGTGTTTGTGTGTGTTAGTGTTAATACGTTCCAATTTTAAATTCTCCATTATTAATATTGTCATTGTTGCCGTTACTGTTTGCAATTTTTCCGTTATTATTTCCGTATAATGGAAACTTGGGTGAGGCAAATTCCAGAATTATTTTGGATAAGCACAGAACGTGTTGAATTTGGATTGAAAGAGCTGAGCAGTCAACTAATGCTGCGTTCACCTCCAACGGATTGGTTGACAATATTGTTTGATTTGGCTAACAATGCTACTGATCTTTTGATCAATTTCTATCTGGTCAATCCTCGAACGTTCTTTGCAATATTATTGTTTTTATGTTATGTTCTCTATTATATTCGCAATGTTGTCCATGTAAGTAACCAGGATCTAAACAGCATTGATATGATATTCTTATCGAATATAGAAACCAATGTTCGTATGCGCTGAAGGTCGTTTTAAATGGTTCATTAAGGCCAATTGTCCGATTGTTAACGAAAATTATTGGCCAACAATATGGTGCTATGAGACTCATTTGCTCACTCCTATTTCCAATTTTCTTCGCAGTCTTATACCAGAATTAAAATATCATAGGTAATATTATATTATCTTCAAATACAATTCAATTGGACATCTGATTTTCACATTGACACATTTGACAATTTGATTTACAGAGAAATATTATCCACTTCAGATGGTGGTCAGATCTCATTGGATTGGTATAATCCTGATGGCAGTGAAACAAAAACTGTTTCGAATCGTCAAGAACAAAGTTCGCCGACACATTCCATGCATGAACAATCTTTCCATAGCAAACCGATCGTTCTTTTCCTACCTGGATTAGCAGGATCATCACAAGCCGAGTACATCAAGTCATTGGTTCCAATTGCTCATCGAATCGGTTATCGTGTGGTTGTCATTAATTATCGAGGACTAGGAAATACTCCTTTATTGACTCCTCGAATGTATTGTGCAGCCGATGATGCTGATCTGCGTACAGCATTGGCTCACTTACGTGAAACGAATCCAAGAGCAAAAATCATAGCAGTTGGCATTTCGTTAGGTGGTATCATCTTGGCAAGATATCTGATTAGATCGGGATATCATTCATTGGTAGATGCAGCATTCATGGTGTCAGTCTGTTGGGATATAATGGAAGGTATTGCCAGTATGGAAAAAGGTTTGAATTTTGCTCTAAATCAACATCTCACTCGAACATTAGTGGGCATTGTTGAAGCTAATAGGGAGATATTTCAGAAATTACCAAACATCGATATCGATGCAGTTAGTAAATGCCGTAACCAAAGAGAATTTGATGAAAAATTCACCATACGTATGTTTAACTTTGAAAGTGTTTCTCATTATTATTGCGAAAGCAGCCATAAAGGAAAGATTGCTTGCATTAAAACACCAACATTCTGCATCAATGCTGCCGATGATATGTTTATGCCTTTAGAACGTATGTAAATTGATTACAGCGAACTATTTATTTTCACTGATTTTCATTTCTATTCGTTGTAGATTTACCATTGGATGAAGTGCTTCAAAGTAAAAATGTAGCAATGTTGGTCACACAACGTGGTGGTCATATCGGTTTCATGGACGGATTCCTACCGAATCTTAAATGTGAATTCTACTCTGAACGAGTAGTTGAACAATATTTGAGAGCATTATATCATCTGTCTGATATAAAACACGATTTACTATTGTGATCTTTGCAATTCTAATAATTTCGTTGATTGTTTGCTCCATTATTCAGTGTTTATCGGTTTATTTATTTTTTTAGTTTGTTTTTCCATTCTTTCGAAATTCTATATAACCAACCGATATCTGACAAATTGTATCAAAAATGTGATTGTTTTAAAAATATAAATTTATTTAATTTAAAATCACAAATTTAGAAAAATAAAACATTTTTAACATGTGTTTATCACGTGACTATCGATTGTATCGTTTTTTTTCGGATTCAGCAGACAATATTGAAGCGTTGTCACAATATTAACTTCAGAATTCTTTTTATTTTCTTTGATGACAATATCACCTACATCCACATCATTCTGTGATATTTTGTACTTATTTTGATTTTAATTAAAAATTTTTATACAACAATGACTACCCATCGTAAAACAACATCAAATGCACAATTGGACGTAAAACCTTTGTTCGAAAAGATTCGTGAATCAGTTGTCAAATTGGATGCCTATCCAAAAACTTTAGAGGATTTCAGAATAAAAACATTTGGTGGTGCTACAGGTAATTCTTCTTGATCTAGTTTCATTTGATAAATTTGATATTGACATTATTGATTTCATAGTGACAATCATCAGCATCGTATTGATAGTTATATTATTCATGCTCGAATTACATCATTATTTAACGCCTTTCGTTCAAGAAGAATTGCTTGTTGATTTATCCAGTGGAAAAAAGACAAAAATCAACTTTGATATAACGTTTCCTCATGTCGTTTGTTCACGTAATTAGAATCGCATAATTTTCAAAGTTCAATTTTTAAAATTTTTATTGCGACAGACTTGTCATTGGATGCGACCGATGTTTCGGGTGAACAACATATTAACATACAACATGATATTTTCAAACGAAGATTAAATGAACGTGGTGATCCTATTGAACTGCCTCAGAAAGACAATAGTATGTTATTCTTACTAATTATTCAATTAATCAATTATTATTAATCGTTAACAAAAGCCATAGTAACAAAGAAAAGTTCAAAGAAAATCAACTCGAATCAAAATGGCCTTGACGATTCAATTGTAACGACATTAGATCCGAATCGATGTGAAAGTTGTTATGGTGTTGAAGATACGATTAAAAAGTAAGTTTTAAATGATGGCCTTGATGAATCAAATAAAATTTTTCTTTTCGTTTATCGCTAATCATCATAATAAATAATAGATGCTGTAATACTTGTCAAGATGTTCGTGAAGCATATAACGCTAAAGGTTGGGTATTCGATCCTGTCAATGTTGAACAATGTAAAAGAGAAGGCATTATAAGCATGAATAATACGTCCAAAGAAGGATGCCAATTATTCGGCTCGATCGTAGTGAATAAAATCGCTGGAAATTTTCATATTGCACTTGGACAAAGTTTTGAGAAACATCATGTACATGGTAGGCAATATTCATTTGTTTTTCAAAAACATCCTTTCATTTTTTAAAATCTATATGACCATTTTAGTTCATGATATCAACTTGGGCGAATTGATCTCGGTAATCAAAACAAAACAAAACCAAAAATTCGATTACAAACTAACCAACAGGAAATTTTTATTACATTGTAAAATATATAATATAGATGAACACTTCACACCGTATCAATCATCTATCATTTGGACAAAAAGTCCACACCATTGAAAATCAATTGGATGGAGTTTGGTTCATTAGTGAACAAGGTAATTTAAGGTTGAATTAACATCGAATGGCTGTTCCTATTGCCATGAATGTACCAAATGTACCACCACCTTGTATCATAACTTTACCCAAAGATGACAATAGTTCACGACCACGTAGGCCCATCCTAAAATATTAGATGAAAATTGGAAAACCAGAGATTTCATTAAAACATGATAGAACTTACGATAATGCTCGAAAACCGCCAAATAATCCACCTGATGCAAGGCCAACACAGGCACCCATCATAAAACCATATTTGACACGATCCCAGCACGATGGTTGATAACCACGTTGGTATACATTACTTACTGCAGGCATAGTTTTAGAGTGACTGTTGATTAAATTTTATTATTTTAACGAAAATGATAGAATAGTAAATCAAAATGAAAGGAAAACAATTATAAAATTCTCAACCAAAAAATTCACATGCGAATGTCTGCTCTGATGATGATAATCCATCGCATGTTTTTTTTTGATAGCGGTGTGATACATAGATGTCGTTATCATCATTTTTTTGAAATTCAAAAAAAAAATTTCCCTCACTTTTTATTTTTGGATTGATTTTAGGTCATGGTTTAGCTACATTTCAGTATTACATCAAAATTATACCGACAATCTATCAGGATCTCAGGAGTCAGGTAAATTAAAAAAAATGAAAATTTTCTTCAACAACTAATCATATGTCACAATCAGCAAATTGAAACGAATCAATTCGCTGTGACTAGATTTAAAAAAGAATATGGTTCAACGTTAGATGCAATAACGGATGCAAGGTTACCGGGCGTATTCTTTATCTATGAATTTGGTCCAATGTTAATCAAATATAGTGAACAACACCGATCTACATTACATTTCCTGACCAATTTATGCGCAATAATTGGTGGTATATTGACGGGTAAGTTGTTTATTTATGATTTGGCTATCTGAATTTGTTTTTATTTTCTAACATTTATTTCGTGACTATAGTGGCCAGTATTATCGATTCGTTTATCTATCATTCACATCGAGCTTTACGGGCTAAAATTCAAATTGGAAAATTGGGCTGATTTTCATTTATTTACAAAAGAATGCATAATTTTTTTTCTTTTTTTGTTTATATATTGAGATTTAATTATTTTTTGTCAATAAATATATGATTATCTTGTGCAAAAGAATCTTCCTTTATTTAAATACATAAAATTAATTTGTTTAAATTTACAAAGTGAAATAAAAATATTCAAAACAAAAAAAAACAAACTAAAATTCAATCCCTTCACCATTCATGGAGAAAAACTTGGTTAGTCTGGCCTTGGCTGTAGGTATTTTTTTGGTAACTTTTCTTTAAAAAAACAAACGCAAACAATTTCCGGGTTGATCATATTGAAAAAACGGATTCTTCAATAAAATTCATATAGTAGCCCAAATATTGGGACACACATTTTAGATATGTTTGTTGCTTTTATGATATAGCAAAAAGTTTTTTCGTTGTTGTCTTTCATTGGTGTTCATAAACATTTATGGTTTTTGCGCCGTCGAAACGAACAACGACCTGAACATTTAGTTTGGCGTTGTTTGTGTTTGTATGTATGAAAGAATATGCTGTTTTCGATCAAATTCAATGATTATGGCGATTCTTGCGCAGTGTATTGCATAGTGATTCATGAAAAAAATGTCCATGTGTGAAAATAGAGATGATTACCATAGACAAAAAAAATGCACATTGAAATGATAGGCGATGCCATACACTATTTGATGGCCATATATAATCGTATCAAATGATAATGTTAGCTTGATTGGTTCAATTCACCAGTCAATAACCCCAAGAATTTGGATTCTGTGCGCAGAATGACCCTAGGAATTTAATGTGTACAAGTTTCATTAATAATCATTTCGGTACCTTATTGCGCCGACTCTTGACCTAAACCAAATAAACAATTTTGATGATGGATCCCACCATTATCTTCCGCATATATGTGTTTTTTTTGTTAGTCAAGAAAATTTTCATTGATCATTATGCAATGACATGGGCACATTGACACACTCACACCAATTGATTCGAAACATCGATCTGATGATCATACAATCATGATGATGACGATTATGATGATGGTGCTTAAATATTTCATTGATCCTGGTGGATATTTATGGTTTTATTTGCTGCGAATTTTTTATTTTGAGTGTAATGATTTACACCAGAAAAAAACGCAACTTAATTCAACTAAAATTCTACGTTTAAGCTTATAGGCTGTATGTTGTGATCGACTTAAAATGTGACTGAAGAAGTCATTGTATCCGAAATTAGAATCTGGCTGATTGTATCTAGATTCTAGACTATCGTGTAATATTCTTTATAAGTTATGAATGGTGACAACGGTAGGGCTTTCATCATAATCATTTCGGGTGAACCAGATTTTTCGATGGATGGCCTGCCTGCCATGTGTCTTTGCCTTTTTTCTTTCTGCATGTCAGCTACATTTGAATTTTTTTTCGTTCTTTTCATCCATTCAACCAATTCATTTGCCGAAAAATATTATATCGCACCATTTCAATGATAATACGTTTTATCGTCTTATATTGTAGTTTTGTGTTTTAATTGTGTTGATAGTTTTTTTGTTTTTTTTGTTTTGTTTGTTGAAATTCTGTACATTTTGATGAATGATCATTCAAGACAAAAAGATGATTATTATGATCAACAAATCTGATTATTGATTGATAAATAAATAAATAAATTTCCTGCTGTGATTAGCACGTGTTTGTTTTGCATCATTGTGATCCTGATTCATCATTGCAATGAATGAATATTGCAACCATCAACACACATCATCAAGGATAATAAAATTACTTGCTGGCTGTATTCAACCAATGAAATGCCAGATTTCCATTTGCAGAAAAAATCCCTACTTATTGCATCATCCATTTATTCGCAAAGTGGAATTCATCACTAAATCACTGTATGTTTATGTATGTAAGTGCCACATTCTAGTGATAACTAGATCTAACCTGATTCGATTTAGAATAAATAAATAGCCAACCTTGAGCCACTATTGTGGTAATCATTGTGTGTAATGAGAGAAAACAAAATTTAGCAGAGAGAATTTTTCCATTCAGCTTATAACTTGTCCTGATTCAATTCAACTTGTAATGACCGAACTAAACCTATCGATCAACGACCCAACAAAAAAAAGATGATAATATTGTTGTATGGTTAGATTATAAATACAGGAATTCTTATTCTCTTGTTTAAGACAGAAATTAATGATTTTCGTTAAAAATTTTGACTAACAATTTCCTCAAACAACCAAAAAAACAAAATACTTCAAAAAAATGAAATTCATACTTCGTTCAAAGCTAGAAACTAACAATCTGATATGGTGTTCAAGATTTCTTTAAATTCATTTTTCAATCGAATAAATTATCGATAAAATGACCAACTCTGATGAGAAAAATAACGTTACAACCATTTTTTTTGACTTTGTACCACTAATATTTAGCGAATAAGAGGCAAAAACAATAAAAGACCCTTTGAATAATAGTAATTACCAAGTGTAGAGAAAATTACCATCATCACCCAAAGGGCAAGTGTGTTGTTGAAAATTTTGTTCTTTAGTTGATCCAATTTTTCATCTTTTTGAATGCTCAGAGTGGGTGTACCAAGGACAAAGGTGATATTCATGTCCTTGAAACGACTACTATTTGAAAAAATATAGCTAAAAGTTTCAAATTAATATACCCATGTTTATTCCATTTGGCCTTGAAGAAATTTTCGTTCAGGTCTCTTTTTGGAATATGTTTTGGGAATCGTGAATGAACTATTTGGTGCATGAACTTTTTTTGAACACATGTCATGTCAAAAGTTCATTAGAAAACAACAATTCCAACCAACCAACCATCACAATCTACCACTGCCATACTAAAATCGATTGTCCACATGTGTTCATATGTTTTATCCCCACAAATCACCCACCCATTTAAATTCAGAAATATATTCATTCATTCATTCATTGATATCAAGTTTGATTGGATTTTCATATACATTTTGGCTACTACTATCTTGGCCAGCAGCTAAATTTTTTTCTGTTGTTCGTTCATATGTACGTTATTATTTCAAAGTCGGCCATATTGCCGCGCGCTACAAAAATGAAAAAAAAACTGAAAGACAGCCACACATGAATGATGAATGATGAAATAAGGAGAGTTTTGAAAAGGTTTGGTCATATAAAAATCAGCAAACAAACAATACAAAGTTAGCTAAACTTTGTCGTTGTTATTGTTGTTCAATTTTGGCCTAAAATCTATACTCATCAGCTTTATACATTGTTATATGTAGTGTATGTTTATAGAATTGCTGAGCTAGCTGCAATGAGCTCGTTATTGGTGTTCTTTTCCCCTTCCTGGCACTACTTTGTTGTTCGTAATCATTGATTCAATTCGTTGTATGTTATATTCAGGTTTGTGTGCTGTTGAAGAGATCTCATCATTCAACATACATTTAATGTATATGCTACTCGAACAAAACACGAATGACGGCCCAAAATCAACTTTGAACAAGTATGGTTTTTCTCTTCAAAAAATATCTCTTTCTCCATAATATATTTGTATAATGAATCAAATGTGGCCAAAATTACATTCATATAGTATCATCTCATAATCACCATCATCATCTGAAATATCATCATCGATAGAGAAGGCAAGTGGACACAACAAACCAAACAGCACTGCTACAACAACGATCATAATTTTGAAAGTCCACTTCCATTCATCCATTGACGACGACGATCATCATCGTCATCGTGGTTAAATAATAATCAACGAAAAAAGAAATTTAACCATCAAAATTTGTTACCATTGACGTCGACAGAAAACAAAAATTTCATTCTAACCATTGGTTTGTCATTGTGTTAATATTTTTTTTGAATATCAGTATTTTTTTTTGTTGCCTTTTTGTTTTTTCCAATTTTTGTCCATCATCATCATCATCATCTATTGGATGTGAAATAAATAAATTTGTCTAGCAAATTTTTTTTGCAGCTACTGGCTAGCTGCTTTTTACAAAACAAATTTCCTTTTACGCCTGTTGAATTTTTGTTTTAAGTTCATTTATTTCAATGAAAAATTAGCTTGGAATTTTTGCTGTGTGCGTTTGTGCATTGAAGAATATTCTTGTGAATTCAATATTTATTTATGTTTTTTTTTCGTTTGTTCGAATAGTGATCAATAAATTTGTGTATCAATCCCATCAACAACAACAAAATTAATCAAATATGTTTCAACTATTTGGTTCGTTGAAACAATTTATTAAACCACAAAGCTGTGTAATCGATAATCACATTTATCGATTACATTATAAAGCTACCGTTCTAATATTGGTTGCATTCTCATTGATGGTAACAGGTATGTTTCGTTATTTTTTTGTAATGAAAAATTCAAAACCCCCTCTCTCTGCCATTCCTCCATAAATCAAATAAAGCAGTAAGACTAGAAAAAATCATAGGAAAATAAGACAAACCAACACCTGGCTTTTTTAACAAGATGTAACCGGATGGACATTGTCCGGCCTGACGTTCTTCTTATTATTATTACTAAAAGAAATAAATTTTAAGGCTTTTGTTAAATAAAAAACCAATAATTTTTCATCAAATAAACTCTTCTAGTTGTGTTCGATTGGCCTCAATAACCTAATCGATAATTATTCAATTTAAATGTTATGATTTTTCTTTTTTTTTCAAGATTCAAAATTTTAATTACATAAATTGTGTTACTACGACAACAAATGACTAAAAATTTTATTTTTTTATTTTATTCATAGCTCGACAATATTTTGGTGATCCAATCGACTGTATCTCTCGTGACGATATTCCACCAAATCTTCTCGGTATGTTGATCATCTAGTTCATATATTATATTTCTGTGTTTATGTCTGAAAAACAAAAAAAAACAACAAAATATTCAATCATTAATGGTTGACACCATTAAAATACTATGTCACTATCGTGTGGTAAATTTGATTTTTATCGCGATAAGTTTTAAAAAAAAGAAATTATCCCTTTGATAAAAAGGGGAAAAAAATATGCGAACCGTTCTGATTTTCTGTTTCTCTCCCCCGCCTCAATCGATTTCGATTTAGTGATATCGCCCAAATGAAAATATTCACTATATTTTATTTCGAAAAATAAAAAGTGTGAAAAAGTTTTTTTTCTGATTTGAAAAAATATTTCCATTTCCAAAGAACCATTTGCAAGTATTAATTATTAGAGAATTCAATAATTTATTTTTTCCATAGTTTTGTTTATACGATTGCGAAAAACAACATCGATAATAACATCTGTGCAAAGATAAACCACTTGTTGTTTTTCCTTGTTACTGCTACTGTTGAATTGAATTGTTTGTAAATGAAATTCAAAGGCATTTATCATACAAATTACTTGGGTGTTTTAGCTTGGAAACAATTTGTGCTGTTGTTTGGTTAAAATTACAAAAATCCTAATGTTTTGTTATGTTAATTACAAAAAATATTAAAAAAAAGAAATTTATCATTAATACCTGTGAAATGCAAGTGTAAACAGTTATTCTCTTTTGCTTGCCAAACAACATGATTAGAATCGGATTTTTTCTTTCCCTTATTTGATAGATGAAATGTGTGTAAGTGTGTGTTTGTGTGGGTACAGTGTTTAAAAGAAAATTAATGTTTTTTAAATTATAAAAAAAACTTGAATTTCTTCTCTTCCTCCCCCTATTTTATTTAAGCACGACATTTTTTTCAGTAATCAAAGAAATAACTTTTCAAAATCGTTTTTATCAGCTTAGAAAATAATTTGAATGATTTTTTTGATTAGTTACTTCGATACTTCCACCACAACCACTTGTTGAATGTATGTTTTATGTGTGATCTGATCTTTTTCTTTAAGATCTCGTTTAAAAAAGACATTCAGATCACATATTTTGATACTAGGATGTTAACTATGATCAATCTGAAATGTCATCTATATCGGTTTTCAAGAAAGAAAATCAATACCTTTCATTTATAAAATAACGATGTTATGTGAAATGAATGCATAAAAAACTAATTAATATTCGTATGATGAATGTTTGATATTAGCAAACAGCAGCAGCTTATGAAAACCAAATGACCATATGATGACAGTGATTAAAAGTTTCGGCCATTTTTTTTCGCTTGCCAATGTATTTTTGATTGGTTACCAAACTAATCATCATCATCATTCATGATATAGCCTAGCTCAAACAAATTTTTTTTGTTGTTGAGGATATCAATGTATTTTTTTATGCAAGCAAACCACTGACAATCATGATAAAAAAAGATTTATTATTGTTGATTTATTTCAAAAATGAAAAAAATGAATTTTTTTTTTCATTTTGATTTTAAATGATGAAAAATGTCACTCATGCGCGTTTGTTTGATTTGGATAGCTTGATGATGATCTTAATCATCGTTAACAACAACATTTTTCTTGCCTTTTTCGTTTGCGCAATCCATTGACCCCGATCAAGGTTCGATCAACTTTCTTTTTTTTGTTCCTTTCGGTTATTGTATTTGTCCAAGTTTTTTTCCCTAAAGGATTATCCTTTTAACAAGATATATTTCGTCTGTTGATAATGATGATTAAATGAGGACGAAGAAGCCTTTGTGCCCATTCATTATATATTTTTTTAATTTTATTTTTGTTTGGTCATTTTTTTAATAATTTTGGTTTTCATTTCCTATATTTTTTCGGTTATAGATACGTATTGTTGGATTCATACGACATTTTCCATAGAGAATGCATGGAAAAAACGTGTCGGTGAAGAAGTGCCATATCCGGGTGTGGATAAAACTACACCGAATGAAAAACGTGTTTATCATGCCTACTATCAATGGGTCTGTTTTGTGCTTTTCTTCCAAGCGTTAGCCTTTTGTGTTCCTCGTTATCTATGGAAAGCGTTTGAAGGTGGTCTTGTTAAGAATCTTATGCTTGGTTTAGATCGGCCTATTCTTCCGGATGAGGATCGTATGCGAAATATTGATCTTGTTGCCTATTACCTTTACCGTAATAAAAAACTTCATAATACATTATTCCTCGTCCATACAATCACCGAAGTGCTCAACATGTTCAACGTTATTATCCAGATGATGGTAATGGATCGATTCTTGGGCGGCGAATTCTCCAGTTATGGCTGGGAGGTTCTTAACTTCACTGAATGGGACTGGTCTGTTCGTTTTGATCCAATGGTGAGCATAGAAATGATAATTATCTTCAATCAAAATAATATTTTTTTTTCTTTCAGATAAAAGTGTTTCCACGATTGACCAAATGTACATTCCATCGTTATGGCTCATCTGGTGATGTTCAACGACATGATGCTATGTGCATTTTACCAATCAACATTGTAAATGAAAAAATCTATATATTCTTGTGGTTCTGGTTTTATTTCATGGCTATCGCTAGCGCACTTGGTTTAGTGTATCGTGCATTGACCATCTTATATCCAGGTATCCGTTTGATGGCTACACATTCACATTGCCGTATTGCTGAAATAAACTTGATTCGTAATGTTCTTAGCCGTGGACAAGTTGGCGATTGGTTTCTTATTGATATGATTGCTAAAAATATTGATCCAATCAATTTTCGCGATCTATTAATTGATCTGTCCAGTAAATTAGAAATGGATAAAGAGGGTTAGAGAAGATAAAATTCCGAATTCAATATCAAATCGCCAACCATACATTCTTGCATGACGATCAATTTCAATAATATTATTGTTGAACCACGATAAAACGACCAAAAAATTTAATAATGAAGAAAAAGATCTCCTATCTCTCGCTTTTTAAACATACATGCACACGAAACTCTATAAACACACACCTTTTTCGAACCAAAAACAAACCAAACAGAAAGGAACGCATAAAAACAATCAACTAATAAGGCCATATTATGTTGGATCATAGATTTTTTTCTTTTCATGTTAATCATCATCGCCACTTTTTTCAATTAAAAATTCATACATCTAATGATACACCACACAAAAGAATTGTGATTTTATACCATGCTCCCCTACATTTATACAATTTAAATATATATCATGATATCTTTCCATATATATTTTATATTATCATTCTATTATTATCTGTGTCGATATGTGGACATGAAAATTTTCAACACAATTCGTCATTCTAATTGCTATATCAATATACATTTTATTCTGATAGCCAAGCCAAAACATAAACATCTGAATTTCTGTAATTTCCTTACGACAAATTGCAGAAAAATAATTTGAATTCATTACTATATTTTTGGAAACATTTTTTTTTCTCTTCCTTCCTCTCTTGCTCTATTTGTATTATCATATATTTTATATTTTGAAATTATTCCTTTTTTTGAAAACATTTTATGATTTTATATTATATTATACAACACATGCATGTTCAATACACACACATACACCAAAATTACGAATTGTGAAAACAAATTTTTTTCAAAAAAAAAAATCAAACATTGATGGTCATCATCATTATCATCATCATCATCAAAGCAATCAATTAATTATTAAATTGAGTACAAATATATCACACCTACAGATTCTTTTTAGGATGTTTAATAATTTTATTTGTTTTTTTTTTGAAAATTATCATTTTTCTTAAAAAAATCATTTTTATCAAATTAGAATTGAATTAGCTTGATGCTGTTAAATTGTGTTTTTTTACTCATTTTTTCTAACATTTCAAATTTTTAAAGTGATGATGAAATTTTTTTTCAAAAATCACCTCTGGATCTTATAACATTTGGTCATAACAATTACAATGTTCATAATAATGTGACGAATAATAATTATTATTGATTTGACGAATCAGCTATAACATAAACTATTAAACGGGGTGTAGAGGTGAAGGAAGAAAAAAAATTACCGATTTGACAATATTTGTGTTTAAAGAGAATTTTCGTTTTCTCCATTTGAAATCCATATCCATAATTTGTTACAATTAAATGGGAAAGAAAAATAATTTTTACCGCTATAATAATACTTGAAGATAATTTTCATCGATCAATCATAAGATGACAGTGATACAGTTGATTGATTTAACTCTTTAATTTTTTTTCTCTCCAATTGTACAATGGTATTTTTCATTGTAGATCATGTGACAATGATTGTATGACATGAATATTGTTCGCAATTTTTTCCATTATTTTCGGGGCAAACAATTTTTTAATTATTACACACGAATGATTTGGATGCGTTTGAATGATTTTCATCCATAAGGTGTTTGTTGATTACTTTCTTTTACTCTATCTTCTAATTGATTAGAACATTGCTTGCATCATAATCATGATTATGATGATAGATCAGTTAATCAGTTAGGCCAGTCAGCCAATCAATCGACTTATGTAGGTAAAAACAATACTTAGGATCATTTTCATTTAGCCAGATTATTATCTTTGTCAAAGATTTTTTTTGTTGTTAGTGCTTTTCCATTATTATTGGAAAAATGGTGCCAAGATAAATTGATTAAAATGAAAACTATTCATTATCATTGAACAACAATAATAATGATTTAACTGAAAAAATGGCTGTTTATTTCAGGTTCCGAAATTTTTAACTGTTTTCCTCATCGTCGAAAATATTGTCATTGTTGTCATCATTTTAACTGAAATTATTAACAGACAAATAATTAGAAATGTCAACCTTAGTTTTTGAATCGAATATTGTATGGCACAATGATCTCTCTTTCGGGACTTCAAGATACACAGATATCCTGTTTGGCCAAATTCAGTAAAATAAGTTTTTCATTCAGTTAGTTTCTAATCTTCTGGCTGTCAACAACTTCAATAAATTTTGATCTGATTTGCTGTTTGAATTTTTGTTTTGTTTTTTTTTTGTTCTATAACACTTTATAAGTGTGTGTGTGATTGTGTGAAGTTGGTGTGCAGGGTGTATGAATAAGATTTTGTGAACAGAATCTATGCGATTAAAATGATTGATTATAAAAATCAAAAAGGATTGCCGGAAGCTTTAAATGAATCAAAATCTTATGAGGCTCAATATGTCTATAAACAATATAGCCCAGAAAAGAAAGCCGAACGAGATTTTACACGAAACAATATAATATTGCCAGAATGGCAGATGAAAGAAGAATTAGTAGTGAGTGGAATGTCTGGCCGTTTTCCTGAAAGTGATACGATTGATGAATATGCATACCATTTGTACAACGGTATCGATATGGTCACAGAAGATGAACGAAGATGGCCTTTTGGTAAGTGATAACATTCACGATACTTATGTTTTTCTAAATTAAATTATCTCGTCTAGGCTATCTTGGATTACCTCGAAGATCAGGCAAAATTAAAGATATTTCATTGTTTGATAATGAATTTTTCAAAGTAAGCGAAGAAGATGCACATTATCTTGATTCACAAATTCGCATCATGTTGGAAATTACATTCGAAGCCCTCTGGGATTCAGGTAATTTGAAATAGCGTTCGTATTTTTCATTTTAACTTCATATTTATCATAGGTATCGATCCTAATAGCTGGGCTGGTAGTAACACTGGTGTGTTTTTGGGTCATTGTTTTGATGAATATATGGCTGCATATTCAGATGCAGGAAGTGACATACCATCATATAGGCAGACGTATTTTTCAATGTTGCACAATGTTTTTGATTTCCGAGGGCCAGCGAAACATTTTGACACTGCATGTGCATCCGGTTTCAGCGCTTTTCATCAGGCGATAGTTTCGCTTCGTGCTGGAGAATGTGATCAAGCCATTGTTCTCGGCCTAAATATTTGTCTTCGTGCTGGCACACAGCATCAATTTCTTAATCTCAACATGTTATCGCCAGAAGGCAAATGCAAATGTTTAGATGATGACGCTAATGGTTATGCCAAAGGCGAAGCTTGTGTAGCCGTAGTTTTGCAACGCAAATCACAAGCAAAACGAATCTATGCTCGCATCATTCATTCAAAAACCAATTGTGATGGCTTCAAAGAATTGGGCATTACGTTCCCAAGTTTTGAATTGCAAGCTGAAGTTATATCCGATGCATTTAAAGAAGCTCATATTGACCCACTTGAAATTGAATATTGTGAAGCACATTGTACCGGTACCCAGGCTGGTGATCCTTCAGAAATGAAAGCAATTATGGATTCTATGTGTGTTGGTCGTACTAAACCATTGAAAATTGGCGCACTAAAATCGGTCATTGGTCATACTGAAGGTGCATCCGGTCTTTGTGGATTAGTCAAATCGATTCTTTGTTTCGAAAACGAAATAATACCGCCTAATATACACATGACTAAACCAAACCATCGTATCGAGGGCCTAATTAATGGTGTTCTTGAGCCGGTTACCGAATGCACCCCATTTAAAGGACAAAAAATAGCAATGAATTGTTTTGGATTTGGTGGTGTAAATGTGCACGCTATTATCGAAAAAAATACCAAAGAAATTTCTGATGATGATTATCGATTTGGAACATTACCACGTTTAGTGACTTTTTGTGGCCGAAATCAAAAATCATTTGACAATTTACATCAATTCTTTATAAATAATCCCGAAAAAATGACCACTGGATTTTTGGCATTATTGGATCAGATTGCAAAAACCAGTCCATTTCCGAATCGAATGTTCTCCGGAATGACATATAGAGGTGCTCGTTTATTTAAACCTGATGATAGTGGCCGTCTGAAACCGTTTGATGAAGTGCGATTTAATCAGGTAAAAAGCGAAACAAAACCATCAGTTTGTTTTGTCTTCACTGGCATGGGTTGCCAATGGCCGACGATGGGAAGAGATTTGTCCCAAATTGATTCAATGTCCAGTGTTTTTAGCAAGTGTTCGGAAGTTCTAAAACGAATCAACAACTCATTTGATCTTATGAACGTTTTGACAAGTGACGATCCAAAAATGCTGCAATCTCCAATCAATTCATTTGTTGCCATTGCTGCCATACAAATAGCACTCGTTGATTTTCTTCGACAATTAGAAATTGAACCCGGTTTTGTTATTGGTCATTCCATTGGTGAATTGACCTGTGCTTATGCTGATCAATGTCTCAGTCTTGAAGAAACAATTACGGCTGCTTACATTCGAGGTTTATGTATGTCCGAAATGATTGAACAGAAACCAGGAAAAATGGCTGCCATTGGCTGTACTTGGGAACAAGCGCAACAATATTGCAAACAGTATTCTGAAGGTAAAGTTTGGCCAGCATGTCATAATAGTTTTGATTCGGTTACTGTTGCCGGCTCACAATTCGATATGGACAATTTTATATCGAAACTACAGCAACAGGAACCGGATCTATTTGTGCGTGCTATCAATAGTTCAAATATTGCATTCCATTGCCCGTACATAAAAGAAATGCGTGAACCATTGAGACGAGCACTGAACAAGAATTTATGTTTTAAGCAACGAATGCCAATTTCGTCTAAATGGTTGACGACAACGTATGAAAAAGATTGTCAAGAATTCGATCTAGAATATCTGGTAGATAATTTGCTGGAACCTGTAAGATTTTACGAAGTTTTTCAACGTTTACCTCCAAATACTATATTCGTTGAGATTGCACCTAACAATTTACTACAAGCAGTCATCAAACGTAATATTTTTGAACAAAATAAGGATTCGAAATATGTTGCCACAATGGTACGTAAAAGTGGTCAAAATAATATCGATATTCTTTTGATGAACATTGGTCAGCTATACGTAAATGGATTGAATCCTCTAATTGAAAAATTATATCCTTCATACGAATATCCTGTGGCTAGAACTACTCAATCATTACATTCAATAATCAGTTGGAAACATGATCGTCATTTTAAAGCCACAAAATATCCAGAATTTTTCAATCATGATCAACGAAAAAAGACATATAAGGCTGTTGACTTGCAAAACATTGAAGATAAATTCTTCACAGATCATTGTGTCGATGGTCGTATCTTATTTCCAGCCACCGGTTACTTATATTTTGCTTGGGAATTGGCTAGCCGAACATTAAATTTAAAACGAGAAGAAACGCCCATCATTTTCGAAGATGTAATTATACACCGAGCTACAATTATGCCGAAAAGTGGTATGATGAGTTTCGCCATGAAATATAACCAAGAAAATGGAACGTTTGCCATGTTGAACAATGGAACAGTTACTACTACTGGCCGAATTCGAATACCAAACAATGGATCGAAGTTTCTAATATATCAGGATATGCTAAACACGATTGATACTGTCAAAACAAAAAAATGTCGAATGCAATTGATTACAAAAGATGTGTACAAAGAATTTCGTTTACGTGGTTATGATTATGGACCGGAATTTCAAACTATTAATGAAGTGTCAATTAATGATGAATTCAGTGTGGCTACAGTCAAATTCAAAAATTGGGTCACATTTGTTGATGGTATGATTCAAACGGTAATTATTGGTCGTCCGATACGTGCATTATTAGTACCGGTACGAATTGATTATCTAGCATGTGATCCGATAATAATGTCTCAACATTTGAAATCAATATCGGAAAATGACTCATCAGCAACATCTTCATCATATTTGGATACGATCTATGATTTTTGTCTAAATATTGCCGCTAGTTCAGGCATCGAATTCCGAGGAATAAAAGCTAATCTAGCCCCACGTAGAATACACCCGATCGCTCCATCTAAGTCTACTTATGAATTTGTGCCGTACAATCAACATGATTTACTTTTGGCCACAAACAGATCAAATAGCTATGAACATCGATTATTTCTTACAGAACAATTGTTAAAATATCAAGATCTTTGTGCAAGTTACGTACAAAATCATTCCATTGATGAATCATTCAATATAGAACAATTCGAAACCAAAGTGGCCATACCAGTTCTAATGAAAATACTTCAACAAATAAATACCGATAATTTTGAACAATCACAATTTGATACAATCGAAGATGACATTCTCTTTAATTCCTACATGAATGAAGTTTTTCTTCGTCCACAACTTGAAACGGCCGTCGAAAATTGCCATTTGGAACCATTAATCGAGATTTTAGAAGTAGGCCAGACTAAAAATCTTATGGCATCGAACATACTTAAATGGATAGCGATGGATACGTTCCGTGTGAATTTTAATTGTCGTTTATTGCATTCATCACCATCCACAGTAAATCCGGATCATTTAAATTCAGTTTATTCACAGCATGAATGGCTAGCCGAAAAATCGAAATTTCCTAACGACTTGGTAAATATCGATTTGATCGTCTACAAGGATTTTAGCATTTGCCCTTTGCTATCCAGACATGAAATTGATTTATCACTCATGTTTGAATCATTATGGAATTGTCTCAAAGATAATGGCTTTGCTATCATTTTGATTAGAGATCATCCGTTTGCGGTAGAACGTTATTTGTTGGAAAAACTCAAGATGAAAGTGCCTAACGTATCGCGTGTTGAACAATTCATGAATGCACTTGGGAAAACTTCGTTTAAATTGATAGGTGACCGTAGTGATCGAATGGGTGTACATTCTTTCCTTATTCGTAAAATTTCCTATGAAATTATTCCAGAAAATCAAATTTACATAAATTTTACAAATAATGTTGAAGATTGGTTCGAAACGTTACAGAATAGCCTTAAAGAAATAAAAAATAGCCAAAGTGTTGAGCAAAAATTCGTATGGCTTATTGCTAATGATCAACATTCAGGTGTATTGGGTTTTGCCAATTGTTTACGTAAAGAACCAGATGGTTTGAAAATTCGATGTCTATACAATGGACAACCAAATTGTACGATTAACAATGAATCCGAAATTTTGAAAAATATCGTCAAACTTAACCTACAAATGAACGCTATTGGACCGGATGGATCTTTTGGATCGTTCAAACATTTTTCATTGTCTAATGAGGATACTGAACTTATGCCAGTGGAACATTGCTTTCTTAATGCACATACACGAGGTGATTTATCAAGTCTTCGTTGGTTTGAAGCTCAGCACAAACTTTGGCCAGTGAATCGTAAACCGAATGAAAATTTCTTCACCGTTTATTATGCCGCATTAAATTTTCGAGATGTGATGTTGGCCACAGGTAAATTACCACCGGATGCCTTGCCATTGGAAATTGGTCTTGATGATTGCTTATTGGGTATTGAATTTGCTGGCCGTGATGAAAATGGTAATCGTGTAATGGGTATGAAACAATCAAAATGTTTGGCCACCACTCTTGTATACGATGATGCTAGCTGTCTGACATGGCCAATACCTGATAAATGGACAATGGAAGAGGCAGTCACCATTCCTGTTGCTTATGGTACTGCATATTATGCCTTAGTGATTCGTGGTAATCTACGAGAAAAGGAAAAAGTTTTAATTCATTCGGGAAGTGGTGCTGTTGGTCAGGCAGCCATCGCTATTTGTCTTAGTTATAATTGTCATCTATTTATAACAGTCGGATCCGAAGAAAAACGAACATTTTTGATGGAAAAATTTCCTCAATTAAAACCAAATCAATTCGCCAGCTCACGTGAAACAGCATTTGAGAAGATGATTTTACAGGCTACAGATGGAAGAGGTGTTGATGTCGTTCTGAATTCATTGGCCGAAGATAAATTGTTTGCAAGTGTTAATTGTCTGGCTCCATATGGACGTTTCTTGGAGATCGGAAAGTTCGATTTGTCACAGAATAGTAAATTGAGTATGTTTTTTAAAAAAGATAAGTAAACATTTGTATTGATGACTTTTATTTCAGATTTATCACAAATAATGAAAAATAAGACATTTCACGGCATTTTACTCGACAATATGATTCATGTTTATGATTGTACACCGACGAATATCCTTCGACAACGAGGTAAAATTCGAGATTTGATTTATGAAGGTATGACCAACGGAGTAATTCAGCCATTGAATCGAACAATATTCACGGCGGATGAAAGTGAAAAAGCATTCCGATACATGACAACTGGGAAACATATGGGTAAAATTCTTATAAAAATTCGTGAAGAAGAAATAGGGGGAAGTCCAGATTTTGCAGAAATAATGTCTCGTAATAATAGCCTACAAATACCAGCACTACCTCGTACGGTATTTCATTCGGGAAAATCATACATTATAACAGGCGGATTAGGTGGATTCGGTATGGAATTAATGAACTGGATGATCGAAAGGGAAGCTCGTCATTTTGTTTTGACTTCAAGAAAGGGAGTCAAAAATCTATATCAGAAATGGCGTATTGATCATTTCACCGAATTGGGTGTAAAAATTGAAATATTCGTTGATGATACAACTACCAATGAAGGTGTCGATCGATTGATTGATACGGCTCAACAAATGGCTCCATTGGATGGAATTTTCCATCTAGCAATGGTCATTAGAGATGGTCTATTTGATAATCAAACATTGGAATCATTTCAAGATGTTATCAAACCTAAAGCTAACACGTTTCTCTTATTGGACAAATCAACAAGACAACGATCAATATGTTTGAATTATTTTGTTGCTTTTTCATCGGTCAGCTGTGGCATAGGAAATCCTGGCCAGAGTAATTACGGATTAGGCAATTCGGTTCTAGAACGTGTATGCGATCAACGACGACGTGATGGTCATCATGGATTGGCTATTCAGTGGGGACCTATCGGCGATGTTGGTTATATTATCGACAATATTCGGGGCAATGACATAGTTATTTGTGGTACAATTCCGCAAAGAATACCATCGTGTTTAAATGTACTCGATCGTCTACTGCAAAGTCCATTTTCTATATGCTCCAGTTTGATATGGTCAGATAAACAATTTGGTCTACACTGTGGAAAGACTAGTTTAATCAAAACGGTTGCACATATTTTGGGCGTGAAAGATTATGAAAAACTTGAACCGAATGTAACTTTAGGTGAACTTGGCATGGATTCATTGATGACCGTTGAAGTCAAACAAGTGATCGAACGTGATTACGATGTTGTTTTTACTCTGCAAGATCTACGTAAATTAACCATTGCTCAAATCATTGAAATTGGTCAGGGTAAAGCAAAAGAGACGCTCACCACTAATGATACAGACAATACGATCAATGCAAAACAATCAATGGATGAAAAATTAGCACCTAGCCAACCAATTGTTTATCTGAATGACATAATCAATGGTGATCCTATTTTATTCTTCCCACCTTTGGATTCTACATTCGATGGAATGTTGCCGATCGCCCAGAAACTTAATCGACCTGTTATTGGTGTGAATTGGACACAAGAATTAAAAGGCGTCAGATCACTTAAAGATACAGCCGCATATTTTATAAAAGTGCTTGAAACTCAGCTACCGAATCTGGATCGCTATGACACGGTAGCTTATTCGTTTGGTGGAGTCGTTGCACTAGAAATGGGCCTACAGTTACAGCAAAGAAAATCAGACCGTTTGAAACGTTATAATCAACTAATCCTTTTGGAATCATCACCGAAACAATTCAAAATCTATACCGATGTCATCGCCAAGAAATATGCGATTGAAAATGATAAAATCAATGATACAGCATATGTTGATTCAATGTTGATGTATCTACGTGGTAAAGTAAATATGGATAATACAAAAATGCGTGAAACGTTGTTAAAAATGAACGACAATCAACAACGAATCAAATTTTTGGGCAATATCATTCGACAAACACAAAATATGGACATAAAAGATGAAACACTTGATTACCTGATGCAAACACATTATAATAAATTGTACATGGTAAATCAATATGATTGCCCAACAAAACAATTTGAAGGCGATATTATACTTATACGAGCTTCAAATGTTTTACTTAAATCTGATTATGATAATAAGAACATCCGTCAAGATTATTGTCTTGATGATCTGGTAAGAAATAAGTGATTTATTGCTAATTTTCAAAATTAATTTTCATTTTTTTTCGTGGTCAGATAACTGGTAAATGTCATTTACATATCCTGGATGGTGATCACGAAACATTTATAACAAATAATTATGATCAATTAGTAAAATTGATTAGAAATTATGTCTGAAATTACACTTTACCCTTTTTACCCTCTCTTCTGATTCATTAAATTAATTTTTCTTTAGATTTGAATTTTAATAAATAATGTTTTCAATTTTATTTTGTTTATTGTAATTAAAATTTCATCGTTGTATTTTTACGACACGGCTTCGAAAATTTTACGTACATTATGAATCGTAATTTTTTCAACACATTGGAATTTTTTATTGCGGTCAAAATATCAATCCGAATTTCGGATGATCTCTTTTTTTTGAAACATCATGACCGTTCTAATTTTGTCACGTTTAAGGCCATTAGTCCGAATAACAGTGATCAGCAACAGTCAGAATTTTAATCAGGTAATTCGAAATTCATCGATTCGATCATTTTTTTATAGGTTCAATCAAAATGATTCGATCTCAAATCAAACTAATTTGTTAAAACAAAAATATGGAATCAAGTCGGATTCCCGAAAGTATATGTCTATGTTTCATTCGATCCGAAAATGGAAACGGATGAAAAAACCATCCATTTTTTTCATTGGATTCGCAGCAATGTCATTGTTCGTAGTGATAGAATTTTTGTATGATAAATATCGTCGTTCAGGACTAACATTAACAGAATATTTTCGTTCATCAATATCGAAAAATTCGAATTTGATTGTCACATCAAAAGTTGATGACTTTTCGAATAAATTTCAAACAAAATTTGCTTCTGTATTGAATGAATCGGAGATTCCACAAGTAAAACCAACCAGGATTGTAAGTATTTGTAATATATTCTAGATCAAATAAGAAAATTTACTTATTTGATTTTTTCTGATAGATTCCCGGGACGATTGCACTTGATGGCTTGAAATTATCATTATTTCAATATCAGAACTGTCCTTTTTGTTGCAAAGTTCGGACATTCTTGGATTATTATGGATTACCTTACGAGATAATTGAAGTAAATCCGGTGATGCGACAGCAGATAAAATTTTCAAAACATTATGGCAAAGTGCCCATTTTGTTGATTACAGATCTAAAGAATTCATCAACCAATGAGGAGGCTGAAATTCTGGTACGGTACTTCTTTATATAACATATGGCCATTATAACTTAGTTTTTTAATATATAATACACAGCAAATTAACGATTCTACATTAATTGTTTCTGCAATGAATTCCTACATTTTGTCCAAGAATCCAAAATCGAGGCACAATGGAGAATCACTTGCAAATATGATACGATGGTATTTAAATAGTCAAGTTTTATCCAACGAATTAGAAGGAACTGAAATAGACAAGGATGGATCAACATATGGAGCCACACGATTGAAGGATGAGCTAATAAACCGATATTTTCTTATGATTGGCGATGTTGATCAAAAAAAATATGAAAAAATTGATCCATTACTAGCCCAAGATCGTCGCTGGCGGCGTTGGGTTGACGATCATTTGGTTCATGTTCTTTCACCAAACATATATCGTACAATGGATGAAGCATTCGATTCCTTTAACTATTTCGCCAAAGTCAGTGAATGGGATAAAATATTTTCCAAATGGGAGATAATGATCATAACGAATGTTGGTGCCATGGCCATGTATATGATTGGAAAGCGATTGAAAAAGAAATATCGACTCAAAGATGATGTTAGGCAATCATTATATGATTCATGTAATTATTGGTTAAAAGCAATTGGTCCAAATCGAAAATTTATGGGTGGTGATACTCCTAGTCTATCGGATTTGGTTTGTTTGCTATTTCATGTATATTAGAATCTTTTATTGACATAAAAATTTTCTCATTTATTGCAGACTGTTTATGGAGTTTTAAGTTCAATCGAAGGATGCCAAGCATTTGGCGATCTGATGCAAAATACCAAAATATCCGAATGGTACTATTCAGTCAAATCAATGGTCAATGAACATCATGGAGCAAATGATATCCAACATTTGTTTGTTCAATAAAAAACGTTTTTATTAAATTGTATCATAATATTTGGTCTTTATATTGACCTGATTAAAAATTAAAAGGAAAAAAATTTCTCTATGAGTTGAATGAATTCTATTGATAAATAATTTTTTTATATAATTCCATTCTGGATATAAAACAGTTTATCCAAGAATTTGGCAAACGGACAAAACTTAGACAGAATCTTATGAAGGAATCTTGTTAATTACATAGTTGGTTACATCCATTAAATATGCGTATTTAGTCAATACTTGTTGACGAGTAGCTTCATTGTTACATTTAGGATACAATAAGTGACATTGGTCACAATGATAAGCGCCACCTAATTCTCTACCCTTTTCGATCGCTGCCAATATATATGATACATATGCATCATCAGTTGGGTATGTATCAAAATAATTATTGGCCGACTTGTTCATCTCATCTTGACAGGTTTGTTCGCACATTACCTGTGCTGTACATTGTGTCAGTCCATTTTGATGACCTAAAATAGAATCCGGAAATTGCTCCAAAAATTAAATCTTTATGATAGAAAGTTTTATTTGTTACCAACCTATTGTAAGAAATACACGGAATATAAGATTACGACCAGCTCGTTGTGTCAGAGATGTAGCTCCTAAGCTTCTTATCAATGCATTACGACGATGTGGCATGGAACGTATTCGTTCAATAGCCTCTTCAATAGGTATACCGACAGTCATCATTTGTCCAGCATTCCATCGTTTCATTGGACCATCTGATTCTTCATCGATTCCTACTGCAAAACTAGATTGGAAAAATAATGTTGATAACAGCACAATCAATAGCACAAAAATGGTGCTCAAATCAAATAGCACTTGAGACACTTTCATTTGAATAGTTCGTATTCACATTACAAAATCAGTAACAAAATTAATTCGACCATTGGTTATGAACATTCAAGAAAGCAATCGTTTTTTGTTGTTTCAACATCGAATTGTCTTGATCAAATGGTTAAAACCTTATGATAATGTAAACAATTTCGGCAACAGTTTTATTTATTTGTTTAGTTGCAACTAGTGTTGTTTTTACCGGAAGACCAACCTTTTCCGTTAAAAATTATAAAATGGGTAAAGTGATTTTCTATGCTTGGTTGATCTTTATTGTTTTCTCAATATACCAAATTTCTTGTTATATTAACTAACATCCAGCCAAACGTACATATTTAGTATATATTTATATTTACTATAGTTGTCTTAGCCTTGAAAACTATTAAATTCATAATATGATTGTCACATTGATTTCTTAAAAATACAAATAAATGAATCCATACAATATTCGAGCAAAACAAATATCAAGGACAATGAAAATTCATAATTTTTCATATTAAGACTTTTCAAGAGAAAATATAATTTTTAAAAATGAATTTTCGTCAAAATCATCCGGATTACATTTTAGTTTATTTTATTTCATGATATAATCCAATATTTTTTCTACAACTACTTAAATCAAATGATAATTTCAAAATATATGAATGTTTATTGCAAAAAAAAATTTCACTGAGAACAAATGCGTTGTCCACGTCCATGTTGAAAATAAATGATGTAAAATTTGTGGATACGTTCTCAGGAATGAAGCCATCTTCGTTACAGTAGTCCAAATTCCAATTATGATCATAATAATTTTTTTTTATGATTTTAGATTTTTGACTGAAAATTCATACGATAGAAAAATAATGATGCTCAAAAATGATTCATTATTGATTTTGATTTTGATTTTTTTTTCCAATTTGCTATCTATCTTATATGAACTAAACTAATGAGAATAAAAATTTGATATCAGTAAAATGATGTTGTAGATCACGTTTGTTTGAATTAATCAATAGTTGTTGTTTGTTGAATAGATCGGAAACAATGGTTACTGTAATGATCGTAAAAGATGGCTTCGTTCTAGGGGGGATTTTTTCATTACATTTGACGACGGCATTCCAAATTTTTTTGGAATGCTTGTGGTGCATAACGATTGTAAAGGCCCCATACGCTGTTCATGAATTTGTGATTATAATTGTACATCTCTCCGGTAACTATGTTGGTCATTTGATTCAAATATGAAAAAAAAGAAACAACAACAAAAAAACAAAAAATTATTTTTTAAAAATGCACCCATGCAGATCTAATATATACATACATTGGCTTTGTATATTCGATTTCATGTTATCATTCGAGTCTTTCAATTGTGAACATGATGGTGTTCGATTTGATTGCGAATATTTTTGACCACGTGGTGGATCATCACGACCACCGGATCGTTGTTGTCGTTGTTGTTCACGAATTTTCTGATGAATATCCGGTGTACTAAATGTTATGAATGGAATTGCAGACATCCTGGAGAGTAGGAAAGTAAGATGGGCTTTTTCTGGAATTAACTTTGTTATTTTGATTATATTGCTAGATTATCATTATTATAAAACAAAAATAATGAATAAAAAAACATAAAAATTTAAAAAATTAGTCCAGATTATAATGCATATTGAAATTCTTGTCACAAACATAAATAAAAATCGTATTGGTGAAAAAAAACATACACTTTTTTACAATTTAAATGTTAAAATTTCAAAATGAACACTGACTTTTAATCCTGCAAACAAACAAGCATAACTAAAAATAATAATAATCTGAATTCGAATGAATGTACGAATCGTCACAGCAAACAGAATTTGTAAAGATTAAAATTTTGGTGTGTAAACACATAAATCACTGATTTTATTCGAGCAAATTTCAAATAATTTCTTATGTGAGAATCTATAGTGGAATTTGATTAGACTTTTTTTTCTCATTTTCAGAAATTCACGCAACACCGGTTATTGTTTTTCTCAAAATTTCTAACAAAACAAAGAAACAAAAGAAATGTTATTAGATTATTAGTGAAAATAAAAATAAAAATCTTTCGAAATATCCTGTTGTTGTGATTGATAAAATAAATCCATACAGTATCAATGAATTGGTAACAAGATTTCAATATGGACAGAATATTGTGTTATAATCAAATCTGAATTCAAATTATTATTAAATTACAATTGATTATATTCGTCGTTGCCGTCAATTTCCAGTATGTTTGTGTTTGTATTGATCATACAGATGATAGTGTGAGTTGAGCAAGTGAGATAATAAGACAAATAATAATTTGAAATTCAACGATGATGATAATGGCGTTGAATAAACTTTTGAATGTAAGTAGATGGACACGTTCGGAAAATAATAATAATTTGATTCAGTTTTTCTCGTTTAATGATTTGAAGAATATTGTGTAAATTTCTTTCTTGAATTTTGTCGTTTCGTATTTCTTAGATTAAAAAATTGAATTTTATTTTATTTTATTTTATTTTCAGTTGTTGTTCATAAACAAAAGAGAAAAATTTTCATAGTAAAACTAAAAACAAAATAAATCAACAAGAAGAATGGGATTAATTTTCGGGCTTGAAAATATCTTTACTTCTGCGCTAGCAAGAAGTCTAAATTGTGGGCGCAAAATTGATTCAATTTATATACAAACCAGTAGAAGTGATAAATTGACAAAAAAAAAATTCGAAAATTTGATTCGTACTTTTCGCTAAAAATGAATTATGTCATACTAAGAAGAAGCAAAAAAAATAACAGAGAGTGTGTATATGATGATTGTGATCGATCAACAGATCATTTCGAATTTAGCATCAAATTTCATTCGCTCGACTCTAAATAGATGATAGATAAAACGATGATAGTGCTGATTATGATTTGAAAAAATAGGGACCGATTTTTATCATAAAATTTTTGTTTTGTTTTAAATCTGTCGATGTTATTATCATCATCATCATTGCTATGAAATCAAGCTAAACAAATATTAGTAATCAGCCATTTCAAATTTGGATTTTTATCCTCATCATCATAATGAATTTAGGATGCTTGAAAATTGATGACAATGATCAAAGTCCTTCGATAGACAATTTTTGAATATTATTATCAAAAACTTTCAAGAGGCCGTTGTTGCTATTCGAAATTTTATATGCATTTTTCGACGAAATAATATAGTTTATTTTCTCTAATGATCATTGTAATAATCAAATTTAAAGTTATCCATCGATTCAAAAAAAAAGAATGTAGGTGTTTTCAACAAAAAAAAAATCATGCTCATTTCTCGATAAAATCTCAAATTTTGTTTTTGTGGCTGGTATTCCATTCACCATTTTTCACACTTTCATATTTTTTCAAACAAAAAATTCATTTGTTTCTGTATTTGATTTCATTGATTAGAAAGTTATTTAATGTAACCAAGTGGAAAAAACTACGAATACAACTCGAACAAAAAATAATGGAAAATGAAATTCATTTTTTTCACCTTTTATTTCTGGTCAAAAATTTCGTAATCAGACTATATCGAAAATAATATTTCCAATAATAATCATCAAAATGAATGAAAGAAGAATAAAATAGTGATCACTCAACAGTGAAGTTTATATTCACAAATATTATAGAATAACGAACTAACAATAACAATTGATAACAAAAAAAAGAAAGATATTTTGGTCAATGAACAGTTCATTATTTGAATTGAAAATATCGAATCGAATCATTGATATAGCCAAAAAAGAAAAAAACATCATCAAATCGAATATCATTTTTTTTAGGAAGATAGAATAGAAATGATCAATACACATTGGATATTAGCAATCATATAAATAAATTTGGAAAACAAAAATGTAAAGCCTCTCTATTCAATCGAATGAAAGAGTTGAATCGATATGTATTCGGTTGGATGGCTCAAATGTCAACACCATATTTGGTTTTTCTTTCTGCTATGATGATGATGATGATAATAATAATAATGATGATTAACCAATTTTTTCCGAACGAAATGACGAGAATAAATTTCCAAGGGATTTCATTCTTGAATTTTTTTTCTTTTCATCGATTTGTAACCATCAGAAGATTAAATCTATAATTGTCAAAAATTTTGTTTATATTTCAAGAGAAATAACAACAACAAAAAAAATCAATATATTTCGATGTTAGAAAATTATACGCCCATATGTTTGCAAACACAAACATTTTGGAAAAAAAAAGAACGAGAAGATCCAAAGTACATTCAATGTTATCATTCGAACAGTGTTTGTATTGATCGAATTTAATCATGCATCATACATGTTACGATAGATATATTAGCTAGTGAAAAAAAAGAAAAATATTCTTATAAATGACAACATTGAATTCCAATTTATGTTTATAAACGATTTGTCGATGATGGCGGAAAAAAAGAAGAAAAAAGTAGATTTTTTTCTGCATATTAGAGATAAATAGCAAAAATATAAACAGCCGAATAAAAGAAATGATAATAAATTAGCATGCATTCGATTTATTAGTTTGGATCGAGAATGAGCTACAATTTTGATTATCATCCATGATTTGTTGTCATATATGAAATCAAAGTTTTTTTCTCTACATTTCACATTGATTTTAAATTCACAATCTACACATTATATCCAAACAAAATGCTTATTCGTTTACGATTGTTCGTAGACAAACATAAAAAACGAATGATCATGACAACAACAATTTCGGTAAATATCTTCTCAACAAAATAAACTAAACTCTTTCACTTCTATTTGATTACTTTATCAAAAAAAAACGAATGCATAGCAACGAAATTTCGATATATTCAAATAATAAGGCATGAATGATAAAAAAAGAAAGTCGATACTGTTATTTGTGAATGCAAATTTATCATCCAACTTAAGACTTGAACTTATATAAATGTATTTTAAAATCTTTATAAAGATTTTTTTGAATCGTTTGAAATAAAACCAAGAAGAGAGGTTGAAGAGAAGAAAATATCTTCCGATATTCTTCATTGGCCTTAAGCTTTTAGATTCGAAATAGACTTTGATCCTGGATCGATTGAAGCGACGGATTTTTTTTGATCCAAATTAACTGATCAGAAAGAATGATATATAACAGTATGACCACTATCCTGGATGTATATTGTGACTTAAATTCAAAAAATATAATATATTTTTTTTCATTTTATTAAGGATTCTGATGTGTTGGAAGTAAATAGAAGAATAAATTGAAATTTTGTTCTTTTTTGAGTATTTCTACCGAAATAAGGTAAGCGACAGAAAATAGAAAATCTCAAATAACATCAAAATGTAAGATGCAATCTATTTTTGGTTTGTTCTTCATCTTCATTTAAAATCGTTTAACCGTTTATTATTATTATTATTATTATCGTTATCATTTGCTTAGTCGACAATAGTTAATTAGAAAGTGAGCACCAAAAAACGAAACGAAAAAAATGGCTACATCAAATATATAATAATCAATTAGTAACAAGAATCAGAATCCAAAATCATGAAAAGTAAATGGCATGCTAATCGACCAAAAAAAACGAAATAATATCTACCAACCAACTACTTCTACTACCATGATGATGATGATGATGATGGCTAGGTTATGGGCGATGGAAAAAGTTTTTTGTTTTTTGGATTCATATATTCTTTACAAGAGAAAATGAAGGAAAAAATGATTCAACTCGAAATCGTTCTAATTATAATCGTTGTTGAAGAGAATGGCAAATTTCTTTCGTCCATTCAGCCATTCATCCATTCATTCATCCATTATGTAAATTCCAATGGGAACTAAAATTTCTATAACTTTGGTTCAGCATTTTTTTGTTGCTGTTATTGTTGCTGTTGATGTTTTTTTAGCATTGTACGCAAATAAAATGAAAACATATTATAGACAAGATAGCAAAAAAAATATTCAATTCTCATAGAATCAAATTAAAATTATCTTACTTAGTTAAAGAGATTTTTTCCCCATAATGCACTATGAAATACCTTTTTTATCATTTAAAGAAAAGGATTCTGTTATTTTATTTCTAAGATTTGTTATTTTTCCTTGGATTATTTTGTACCCAAAAAAATTTATTTTTATTTATTTATTATGCATGGATTTTTGTTTTTGTTGTTTTTGATTGAAAAACAAAACTTAGATTTTTTATATCTAAATGATAAAAAAAATGAAAAAGCAAATAATACACCCATATCAATATATATCATTGCATGATTTTCATCATCAAACAAAAAAAATAAGGTCGTGTCCATTGATTTCTTTCATATGTTTGTGTGTAATATGATTTTGATTTATTTTCTTTTTAAAATAGGATAAATCTTTATAAATAGACTTAAAAAAGTTATTATATAGAATAGTAAAAGTTTTTTCTAAGCGAATGTATGTGACTGTTGTTATTTTATTGTCAGAGAATGTAAATAAAATATGAAACTGTTATTCATTCGAAGATTAAATCCAAAACAATTATCGGACCAAACATCACATGAACAAACAAACCCAACAACGACGACAACAACAAATGCACTCGTTGATAAGAATTCTTATTTGAAATTCTTATCCGAATAAAAAATCGTTAATAATTTGATTCCATAATTTCCAGAACAACAAAGATCACAATCAAAAATATAATTTCAATATAAGAAGAAAGTGTGTGTGTGTGTGCGTAAAAGTGTGAGCAAGATAGAGCAAGAAATAAAGTCACGTAAATTTGAATGCGATAAATATTGTTTACTTGTTTGATAAATTGAAGGACAATTTTTATCCACAGATTGAAATATTTTTCTGTTTAGTTTGTAATTATTTTATATAATAGCAAAAGAAAAATTATCACGCAAACCAATATTGACTGTCAACTTTTGATATCATCAATTTTTGCTTTACATCATCGAATTTCAAGCAACAAAGATTATCTTCATGATTATGATAATCTATAATCGATTAGAAATTGATTTCATATGTTAACGAGATAGGAAAAAATTGAGCAGCAATGAAATAAATGATTTACATTTGTTTTTTGGGTGGATTCAGAAATAAAGCAATATTTGTTTATTTACTGATTTGATTTTCTTTTTTTTTCATTCGATGATGATTGATTAACAATACTATATAAAATAGATTTCAGAAACAAGAGAGAGAAAAAAAACATTCGAAAAAGATTAAAAATACATTATCAGATTCAATTTGTTTAACTACGTTGGCGTCTAGATTCTTTTATTTAACAATGAATTTTTTCCATCTGTCCATTCATTTAGTTTCAGATGTTAATGAGAAAAAGTGTGCTGGGAAATTTTTTTTTGTGGAAAATACATTATCCGGTTTCACAGTTCCGATTGACTGAATGATAAACGATGCAAAAAAAGCGAAAGAAGAAATATGATTCAAACAATGAATCTCTAAATCAATTAATAATAATTGATAATCATTCCATTCATTTTTTTACATTCATCAATTCATAATGTAAATTTTTATTTAAATCATTAAAGAAAAAAATTATTGGATTTTTTCATTATTTAAAAATTTTATTTCGTCAAAGAATTGAATCAAGGAATTATTAATATTTTTTTTATGATTTTAATGAAATAAAAACAAAATGGTTATTCAAATCAATCATGATTCAATGGATAATTTTGAATGAATATTGTTGTTGAAAAAAAAATTAATAAAAATAATTTAAGAAGGAAACCAATCAACAATAATAACAAGTCTGTAACGTTTGTTCTATTATTAATGAATGTTTGTGTGTGTATGTGTTGGTGTTCTTTAACAATTATGAAATAAACTTTTAATGACATGAATATTGAATTGATGATTATGTCAGGCAAATTCATTTTTATCGTAAATTTTTTATTTGTCATTATTGTTTCATTATTCGATTCATCGTAATCGGTAACATTAACATTAATTACAAATGACAGCAAACATCATTGAATCTTCACTCGTTTATTGATAACAAATTTGTCAATTTTTTTCCATTCTTGTCCTCGTCAATCAACCATCATTTTGTTCTAAATACCGTAAACCAAACTACATGGTCAAGAAAAAACATTGGATAAAATTGAGTGATTAGATTAAAAAATTGATTCGGACTTCGGTTTGATCATAAGTTTTTTTTCGGTTTTGGTTTTGTTTAAACAAATGAAAGAGTCATTTGCTATTTGATTGGCTTAACTTTTCTTGACAGTTAAAAAGTTTGTCTTTGATTTTTTTTATTATTGTCCACTATTGATAATGATTCTGCTATAGTAAAACTGTGTACTCATTTTAAGTTTATTTTAATCAATCAGTCAATTGAATGTGTTTGGGTGTAAATGAGTGTAATTTTTTTGACACTCTTTTTCTTGTAAGAGGTTATATAATTTGTGTGTTCATTTGATGTATGCGGTATATTGAAGATTAATCATTCCTATATAAATAAATAAACACATCAAACATGATGCTCATTATTCTTGAAACCTTTTTAAAAGTGTTTTATAAATGTGCGTGCGTGGGTGTAATAATCTTATTTAATTTATAGGGTTCTCAATAATGACAATGATTGATTTACTTTAAATTCAAAGTTTTTTCCAGTTGTTGTTATTTTTGTTGTTTCATTTAATTTGATTGATTCAAAAGCAACAATCTGATCGATTTTAAATAATTCATAGTTTTAGGTAAAATTCCATGAAATTGGTGATATTAATAAAAAAATGTTTTATCTGAATCTGTCCAGAATCTTACTGTCTAATTCTTGAAACTTTTTATGTCTATTTTATTAGTTTTTATTGGGCTGATCATCATCATTGTCATTGATTATTTTATCACAAAATCATAAACATAATGTGAAAATTATAAAAAAAAAACATAATTTGTGTAATGTTGAAACTTTTTTTACTATCATCTATTCTTTGCCGCATCATTTATTTCGTGTTTTTATATAACTTTCTTTCTAAAAAAATCAATCATATAAAAAAGAGAATCAAATGTTGATAGATTTTTTTTACCTGTTCACATAACGGACAAAAATATTCGCCGTGAAAATAACAAAACAAAAACATTCTATCATTGTTTGATGATTGAAAAGTTTTTTGTTTGGATTTGTTTTAATGACATCATTATGTGTTTGATGATATTGTACAATACGTCCATCGCTAGATAGTATCGATAATGATGATGATGATTATCTGTGATATGCTCTATAAATATACCAGTATGTGTGTGTACGTTAGTTGTTGTATGACCATTGATGACAAATGGATGATAATGATGATTCGATTTGGCTACAGAAAATGGCCGGTATTAACATTTTTTTCGGTCGTAGAAAAGGCATGTGTTATAATAATAAGTATCTTTTGGTTGATTCTCAAATACAATTTTATAAATGATTATTATGATTCACAATTCGATAATGATGATGAACTGTTTTTTTTTCGTTTTGGATATCGATATTTTTCTGGAATAATGATCAGAATAGAAAGCAAAAAAAATGTGTGTCGAATTAGAGGAAAATATATGTGAATTTTGTAACAAACAAAGTTAATGATAAATGATATTAATGATAAAAAGAAAAAATATTTTTATATTTTTATATTTTTTGGTTTTACAATTTTGTCTGTCCTTGTTGTATTACTTTTATATCACTACTTTGGTCATTTTGAATTGAATTTTTTTTTTGTGATAATCATAAGTGTGTGGATGTGGATATTTGTATGATTGATAGTTCAGATGAAGAAAGAGTAAGAGAAGAAAAAATTCTTGATTATGGAATAATTTTTTGTAATGATAACAAATGATGATGTGATTAGCGTTATATGATGTTTAATACAAGTACATTTTGCTTTTGTTTTTGTTTAATTATTTGCTAAAGTTGAATAGAACCTTCATGTAGCTCATCAACTGTATCACAGTGTACTTGATCGCCATTTGAATCTGTTTCCAATATTGTTGGTGTACCGAATGGTCCAGTTGCATATTGTGAACGTAGATGACGATTTAAAGTTTCACGTAATGCACTACTTTTACGATATGATGTTACTACCAATACAACAAATATGATTATATAGATGACCAATACGACCTTGTTTGAAAAAAAATAAAATATAAAAAAAGACATTATTTATAATGATTTTTCCCTGTATCGATGAATCAAACTTGATCAATAAAATAGAACAACAACAACAGCAAAATTAAAAATTCATTTTTCCAACTAATATTTATTGGATACTGAAAAAATAATGAACTTCGGTGCAGCAGCTTTCAACAGGAAAAAATGCTTAATCATTTTCGATTTAAAACAAAATTCAGATAATAAAAATTAATTCACCAAAATATTATCAAAAAATGTTGAGTAAGCAAAAAATAAAATTCGATTAAATTCTGCAAAAGCCTATCAATAATGAGAAGAGTGATCAATGATTCTATAGTAGAAGAGGTGACATATAAACAATTGCTATGGGCAATGCTGAAGATTCTTCTCATTACATTAGAAAATGGATGCATTTCAATTATTTCATTTATTTTTTTTATGTTGGAATGTCAACTTTCAATTTTGCCGGTCGGTCGGTCGGTCGGTTGATCAATCGATGGATTTTGTTTCGTTTTTGTTTTATTCTTATTTTGATTACTGTGTATTGAGAGAGAAAAAAAAGCTATTAACATTGTGAAATGGAAAAAAAATTCTTGTATGAATTATACAAGTTAACGATAAACAATTCATGTCAGACATTCAATAGTCAACATGTTGACGTTGAAACTATTCAAGCGAATAATCACCATCGACAACAAGAATACAGTGAAGAAAATGATGACCAAAAGAAAGAAACAGAAATTGTGTTTTTTTTTGTATTTCTTGACATAAACACAAACCGAAATTGATAAGAAACAACAAAAGTAAAAAAAAGTAGGCGACTATGTTCACATTAATCTTTTGACATGAATTCTTGGATTTCAAAATATATTTTCCTTCCCCTAGTTGTTAATAATAAAAAAAAGTATCGTCTTTTTTTGCAGCCGAGATTTCGTTTTTTTCGGAAGAGGGATGATGAAATTGGTGACAAAAAACATACACACATTATAATGGATAAACAAACAATGCATTTTACATTCTTTTCAAGTATTTTTACTATTTATAAGCAAGTAAGGCTATCGACCAAAATGAAAAATCTTGTTGATGAAAGTTTGGGCTATTTTTTTCATGAGGTTTTTTTTAAATCATATATTTTTGTTATACAATAATAGAATGTATTTCTTTTGCCATTATCATTCCACTGAAAAAATGGAAAATGAAATTTCAATAACAAAAAATAAAGGAATTCTGAAACCGCCTTAAGGTGTTGAATATAATCGAAAAAATGAATAAAGCGCCATCAAATTTGAAATTCCAATCATTCTTCAATACACATTGTTGTTGTTATTGTTATTGTTTGTAAATGACAAAAACAAAAATTTTCAAAATAAAAAAATATAGAAATATTACCGTTACATAGATGATAGCATCACGAGATTGGGCCGAAAATACGACTTGTATGGATTCATTATCACCACCATTCATTCCAACAACATTATGTCCCATCGAATTATAATGTGTATTCGATGATGATGGTATCAATCGACATAATAATGAGGTAGATGATAATGGTGATAAGGACAATGATGATGATGATGATGCTGATGATGATGGTGAATGTGATGATGTTGATGAACGAGATCCAATCGGATCATTTAGGCTATAATGGTTAACAAAACAAAAGTAAATAAAAATAAATAATTAGATTAATTTTTTCTAAGAGATTTTCGATATTTATTTTGAACAAAAGTGTGCATAGGATTTTTAAAAAAAAAACTTTAAAAATTTCGTTAAAACATTTTGACAAGTATAATTGTAAGAAAAATGCAAATTAAGTGATATTTGTAAATAGGGTAACATCAATTTAATATGAATAGAGAAAGATTCCTTGATTCTGATTTCGCAACTGAAAAATTTCGTTTTTTTTTGCATAATGTTTTTCTCTTGAATATTGATGTGTTACAAGAATACTTCATCTAAATAATAGTTTGAAAGTGATGACAATTTTTTTTTTGTTACACAATGAATGTGTAATAATGAGCTTTTAAAACTTTTTAACTTTTCATTTAGCGAATAAAAACAAACAAGTAATTTAGATATTGAAATCATCAAATCATTTAAAAATCTATCTTTGTTTTTTTGGATTGTTAACCTGTGTGTGTGTGAAAATTCGACATTATTGCTGATTCATATGTATATGATTAGAATTTCTTTTCATTATTTGTTTCAACAACAAAAAAACATTACATGCTTACACAATAAATTACCATATATAACAATTTTATATAAATTAAGCATACATGTAGAATTCAATTCTATGTTTTCGGAAACTAAAACAAATGGAATATTTTCTATAGAATAAATAATAACCTTGAAAGGCATATTCTCATCAAACATTTGATTCATTCAAGTTAATTATTTGAAAATATTTCCTGCATGCATATTTATCCCATATAGAAAAAAAACGAAACGAAACGAAACAGAATAAGAGAATAGAGAAAGAGAGAGAGAGAGAAACTGTATGTATGTTCATTCATTCATTTTTTCCATTATCGTCATCAAGAATTCATTGCGGAATAAATGAATGAATGTTGAACGAAGTTGAATGATTAGATGGCTTAATTAAACATTGAATCTATTTTTTTTAGTTTAGTTTATAATGAACACAAGTTGCTAGAGGAATAAATAGGGTAAAGATGGTGTATACAAAATAATAATATAAAATATTGTAAGCAATTCCAATTGAATGGGTGAGGAAAAGAAAAATGAAAAAAATGAGCAATGAATATTGATTATCAAAAAATCGAAATTCATAAATGAGAATTAATTCTATGAATTATATATTAAATAAGTAAAAGTAATTACAAATGACAAATGTAAAAAAATAAGCACATTTGAAATTCTTAATTTCAAATATGGTTTGGGTGCTTGTTTTTTTTTGAATCATGAATCGTTGATGATGGCCATCATAATCTTTAAACTTTTTTTTGTCACTGATAAATATAACGAAAAAAGATGATGATGACAACAAAAGTTTAGCATTAAAGTGCGTGATAAAAACTAATTTTTTTCACCCTTCATTTTTGCTATCACAACATCATTATAGAATATATAAATAGATAGATGGATATGCCGACCAAAGTTATAGATGATGACAAGGGCAATGTGAAAAACGACAAGGTTTCTTTTTCCAAAAAAAAAACAACGTCATCATCAAAGATTATGAATAATATTTAAATTCTGTTTTTCCTGTTTTTGAATGACGTTGATAATAAATAATAGATTTTACTCAGAAAAAAATTTATCGATTATATTCATAATGACCACAATGCCATAATCACAAGGACATTTATTTCATTTAATATTCACAATATAAATGTTACAAGTTTCAGGTGTAAATAAGAAAAATGAATAATTGAAAACGAAAAGGTGTTTTTCTATTTTTTTCTTTCGATCAATTATTATTATTATTATCATGGCAATGAAATTCGTTTCGAAAAGATTATTCAAAGTATAAAAAACAAGAGATATTATTAATAAATGATACATGAAAACATGATAATTTTGTTATGTAAGAAAATTGAGAAAAAGAGAAGAAAAATTGAATAACACCTGACACAACGAAATTCGATTAATCAATTGATCATGATGAAGAAAAAAAAATATAACCCAAAAAAAAGTAGAAAATTTGAATAATATATTATGGGGAAATAAATACATCAATATCATATCGTAAATGGGAAATCATCATTGATGATGTTTATAAAGCATTATCATATTAGTCAACATTTGAAAACATAAAAAAATAGAATTAAACATAAGAAAAAAATGATCCTGTCAAAAAGATATTTGTTGTTGGCGAAATGAAAATGGTCGAATTCCTAATACGATCCCATTATTTTCAATTTGAAATTTTCAAACAAAAATAAAAAATATTCTGATCTTTTTTTTTTGCTTTGTATTCCATTACATTCATTCACATTTATTATTTTTTGAAATTCTATTGCATATCAGCAAAATTTTTGAATTTAACTTTGAATTCAACAAAATGAAAAAAGAAAGAATGGAATATGAGATAGAATATCGACATTTTGCAAATGTCTATTGAAAAATAGTCACGAGAATTGAAAAATTTTCCAAATCTGATGATGAAAATATGTCTGTATTTTCTTTTTTACTCATTGTTAAATTCATTTCTTTTTTTCATCATTATTTCGATCATCATCATCATCATCAGCATTCAAAACCTAAAAAAATTTCTCGAATCAAGGTAAATTCATTCAAAATATTCATGTTTGATTTGATTTGATTTGTATGGATGAAAAGTATTTGTATAGGAACGAATAAAATACAATAGGTGTTATTCGTTTGTTTGGGTAAATATTCTGATTTCATAATGTTTGATTTGATTTAATTCAATTCTATTTCAATTCAATTCAATCTTGATTTTGTCATCATTGATGGTATTGCGTAGGCAAAAGAGAGAGAGAGAGAGAGAGAGAGAGAAAAGAATGTAATGAATTGATGGAAAAGAAAAAAATATGTTAAAAAACCATGTATTGTCAAGTATTATTTGATAGAATATGATGAAAAGTTTAGATTTTTTTTCACTGGGAATTTTTTCATTGTCGGATGATGATTTGTCTCTAGACGAGATATTTGTCACCACCCTGAAAAGTGAAATCTGTCATGAAAATATTCAATTTTTGACAGAAGACTAGGACTTTGAGGGAAAAACCTTGAAATAAGATTGAAATATTTTGAGAGACAATGAGCAAAAATGAAAAATGGAATAAGATAAGATTCCAAATTGAAAATGACAATGAAGTCCATTCTAATGAATTTTTTTTCTCTTCATATCAAATCTGTATTATATAACGTTTTTTACGTGTCTACGTTGTCATAAATTTCAAGATATGCAATTTTTTCACATTATCTAACAAGAAATAAATTGAAAAAACACATACACACAATATTCATTGATTGAATAAATAATTCAATTGAATAACCATTGTCAAATTGATGAATCAATGTTATTTAATAATAATAATAATATCTTTTCGTGACATTATTTTTTTTTGTCATTTGACATAACTCACTCATCCATTGATTGTAAAACCATACAAATGTCGTGTATTGTAACAAAGTTTTTTGCAATTCTATTTGATAATAAATTCTGTATATTTATCTATACAGATAGCGAAGAATAATGATAACGAAAAAAAAAATCAAAAAGAACACAAAATTTTTTTTCCAAAAACTAGTTATTATTTACCAATTAGGACTATAGAATTATTAGAGACTAAAAACAAATGAAATATGGCTGCACTGATAATAATAATAATAATAATGATGTCAGCTAGATACCATCACATTTTTATATGTGTGTGTGGGTGTCTGTGAAATGATTATTTCCAAATTATCATTAGATAAAATATCTTGGATGTTTATTACATGATTCATTCATGAATTTTTCATTGAAAACACTACAGGAATGAATTTAACTAGCAAAAGAAAAAAATAATTCATTCCAGAAAATTTTTCGAAAGTGAATAAACACTGAACACTTATAAAAAAAATTTAAAGATATAGATGAATGAAAAATTCGGCAAAAAATATATTTCAATTTTGAAATGTTGAATATTCTGTTTTTGTTGTTGTTGTTGTTATTGTCCATCTGCATTGAACATGTATGATGTAATTCAAAAAAAAAAAATAAAGTGAATGGTCAGTGAAAATGATTGAATTAAATGAGAAAAATATTCAATTTCAATATATTCGCCAACCAGAAAAAAAGATGTTCACGAATTCATGTTGTAACAGTTTAGGATTTCATTTTTGAAATAGATAAGAATATGAAAAAAATATGTTCTCGAATGAAAAAGCTTTGAATATAATAAAGATAATCATTCTTTTAGAATGTAAATAGAGATAAAATAAAAGCGAAAATATACGATAAATTGTAAACGACACGGAAAAAATGCAATTCGTGACAACGATGATGATTATCGTCATCATCATTTGATGAAGATTTAAGCATTCATCATGCGACAATTTTTATTTCAAGATTAACTTGACTAAAAGAATGATATAATGAATTAAAAAACTAAAAGTAAAAAAATTCTAACTATAAATGATGATGAAAGAAAGAAAATTCATTTTGACATTTTAAGATAGTAAAACCGAAACAAAGACCATGATATGGACTTAAATATAAAATAGGTGATAATTTCACCAGACAAAGAGTAAGATGAAATTGATGAGATAGCCTCAATTGTCAGAACTCATTAGATTAATTCAACAACAACAACAAAACATTTCAGATGACAATAGTGATAATAATAACAATAAAGTCGAAATAGTCGTTGTAGAAATGATAATGCAAAGACAATGAAGATAGAGATGTCTTTGTTTTGACCTGATTCATACATGAAAAGAATGATAATAATTTTGCTCAATGAAACCAGATATTCTTTTTTCGGACTGTGTTACTTTCGGACCATTGTTTGTATCTCTGTTTGAGATTCTGTTGAAAATTCCAAAAAGGTTTGGCAACCGATCGATAATGTTAATCAAATTTTCTAATGGAATCTTTTTCTCAACTCTCTCTTCGTCAATTCGATACTAATTAATTTTTCTTCATTTATTTAATTTAATTAT